CTAGTCACCGCTTTCTGTATCATGCCAATCCTCGTAATCGGTTGCCCCCGCTGCTGCAGAACTGTGTGTAGCAAGCGATTTATAGGTTTCTTCAGTCAACGATTGCAGCAACTAATACGCCAACTAATTCTAGTGCTGCGTTCTTGCATCCGCATGAGTTGTTCGTAGTAGTTAGCGGTAGCATAGTATAGCCTTTGGATTTAGACTTCACTGCTCCATGGTAGTTTTGCCAAGGATCTATCAGTGTACTGACCGATACCTTGAATTAGGTTATCTATGAATAAATTAATCCAAACGACTCGTCAGTACATTGTTTCGTACGTTAGCGGAGACCTTTTCTGGAGCTGCCTGACCTCTCATATGTTTCTTACGGCGGACTCCACTATCATTTGCCTCCGTTACCACATTTAACCGGAGTTCAGCCACCCCTTGAAAAGGGTTCCACGCTTCATGTGCATAAATCGTCGGTCGTCAACTCTTACCTTAAACTTCAACGATTAACGCAATCGTTTGTTTGCTGATACAAACGGGGCCCCAATGAAATAGATCATTGCAGTGCTATTCACTTTGTGTTGTACTTTGGTCGGTTTGAGGTGGCAAAGGTGTAGTTTACAGTGATGTAGCTAGCAAAAGGTCACATCCATTTTAGCAGTTAATCCATTTTCTTATCCCTTTTTTGATGGAATGCCACGTCAGGGTGCGAGTCTTGTGTGTAACTTCTCTTTTGTTGCTTCCTTACCGAGAGAGCGCTCATAAGTAGGGCTTATTGACTTGGAGCTTGGTTTGCCGTGTGTGTATTACGTTGTTGCGTACATCGCCGCCAGTTTTCTCTCCACTTCTATGCCTGAAGTGTTTTCGGCACACGCTGCTACTACCAAAACGGTGTTTCCCGTTCAGTGTGATTGCAGTCGAATCCTTTGAAGCTTTGGTAGACCAAATATAGCCAGTTTTCGACGTTCGGGTTAAACTTGTCAGTAGAGGGCGACAATAAATTACCTTACTGTAGGTGGCGCTGATTTTTCAAAAAATACGTGCGCCTCCCCGCCTCCCGTTTTGGATGGCATTCGTCGATCGGCCCCGTTGAGGGAAAGAACCAAGTATCAAGGTCCCTGCACAAGACTGGCGCGCACAACTGGCCCGGAACGCTTACATGCGAGTCATGGGTAAGGAATATGTGTTACTGACATTTGCGTCTATTAGCCTGACTCGTCGAAGCGCCCTCCAGGTCCGAAGACGCCCATGTGACGCGTGGGCAGCGCGACAGTGCTGAGTCGGAGTGGAGTCGGAGTCGGCAGCGCCAGCGCCAGCGCGAACTTCGGCATGAAACGGACAGGACGCAGCGCGATCTCCCCCCGCTGCCAGTGTACAATCGCGGTGTGCTGGAAGCGCAGCAGGCTGCGAACGTAGCGCGCGCACCCCGCGACGAGCAGGAGATTCGGCTTGCGATGGACGGCAGGCACAAAGTCACCCGGAGTTCCACCGCCAGGCTGCGCAGCGAGGCTGGGAAGAAGGCCGAGCCATGCGCGCGAGCCAATCATGTACAAGCGGTGGGAAGCACCGCACACGAGATGTTTGACATGGAGCGGACGGCACAGACGAAGATGCCGCCGACGACGGCGAAGAAAGTGAAAGTGCTGACGAAGACGACGGTGAAGAGAGTGAAAATACTGCTGACGAAGACGACGAAGACTGGCGCAGGAAGGAGGGCGACGCTGCAGAGGAAGAGAGCGAAGTCGAGATTGAAGAACACGCAGAAGAAGAGATCGGCGATGACGGCGACGAAGGTGATGAGTTTCGGTCCGAACCCAAACCAAACTCCCACCGAAGCACATCCCGAACTTACGGCCTTCGCGTGAAGCGACGTAGGCCTGTGGGATTTTACGGCTTCCTCTCCACGTTCGACTCGTGAGAGCCGTTCCACGACGCGTTTAATGACTTTCAGGCCCAGACGTTTCAGCAGTTTTCGAATATACATACGTCCGGAATACAGGCAACTTCGAAACAGTACTCCCCCAATACTGAGTTTTCCTACACGGTGGATTGTGCAGAGCTCAGAAAACAATATCGATTCAAGCCAGCTTCCGTGTGGTGGTTTGAATCAAGGCATATGTCCGTCGCGTCCGAAGACACGAGCACTACCAGGCGCTACAATGTACGTCAAGGCCAAGGCGATATCACAGAAGATCATTGACCAAATGGCTCTTCAGTCAACGCCGACATTTTGGGTCGCGCTGAAGTGGCTTCAGGATTTCTACTCAGCCCCCAACTCCGGCAACGTAGTCGCCTTGGCAAAGCGCGAGGTTCCTGTACTCACGGGGGTTTTCAGGTGGCTGTCGCAGCTGATGGATCTATCATCAAAGTTGAAGACAACGGTTGAGAAGGAAGAAGTGAAGAGGAGCCCTGCAATTCTGGAGCTGGAGTCGATGTTGCCGCTGCTGGAGAGACTGCAACTGCCGGAGATGCCGACTTTTGCAGGTGAGGTTGGCAACTTCGCCCAAACGTTGTCACAAGATTCTACCGAAGCCACACAAATATCTACCGAGTCACAAGAGCTGCCGAAGGAACGCAGGAAGGCAGTCGCGTGGACATTTGCGGAGCGTCCTGTGATCAACGGAACGACCAATCCCCACCGGAAGCGAACCCAAGCCAAGCAGGATCGTGAAGTCTCACTGGAGCTGGCAGCTAAGTACCGTAAACGAAAAGTGGAGGCGGTGGCTTCATTTGATGATGTTGCTGGTTTGCTAGACGCCCCCTACTCTACTCTCTATTTCACTCGTAGGTGATGGTTGAGGCGCTTGAATTGCCTTAAGTTGAGGTCGCTGGCCCTCGGTCCGTTGATGAAGCAAAAGATCGATCTTCTTGCCTACTGACCCGACTGCGGCTTCGCAACTTTCGACCACCTGGGCGATATGGTGAGCATCCGCGAGGCGCGTCAGAGATTCGCATTAGTGATGCCCACGACCAAGTGGATTGGCGAGGTGGAGTGGCGTATTGCAGACCTGCGAGAGCTGTTCACGGACACATGCACAATCACCAAGGTAAGGAACAAGCCACAGCATTTCACTTGAAGATCTACCAAAACTGACAAAATATGTTGTGTATTGCAGAATGAGTACAAGGCATACGTAGGAACGCTCAACATTAGTGTGAATCGTGTGTCCAATGAATGCGTGAATGACCATCAGCTGCTGGTCTTTTGTGAGAACCTGTGGCAGCATACGACGTCGATCCTGGTGTCGCTGTTGGCTTTGTGCGACGCGTACCCGGACGTAGGCATCGCTAGTCTGAGCTATCACGACTTCGCGTTGCCTGAACAAACACGCATGACTACAGCAGGATTTGGGGCCGCCAACCCGAAGAACAAACGCGTCATTGGGACCATTCACATCGACCGACACGGGGTAGCCTTTCTAGTTGATAAGACGCTCATCAAGGACATGAAGAAGGTCATGTTCGACCCTCCCCAGTGTCGAAGCAACAAGGCGGCCATTCAGAAAGCGTGCGTTTGGTGGTTGAGGGCGTTGTAGTATTGGAGATGCTGCTGTGCAACTCTTCGTGGGACCACTGCATGTACAGATTGCTGCCCTACCTGTGGCTGCGCTGCCTGCACAAAGCTCTTGCTTTCATGGGCAAAGGGCAGCCCAATACGCTTGAGAGGGTCACGTCAACTTTAATATACTTGTCTTTTGATTTTGGTATTAAATTTGGTGTAACCGCAAATACTGTACCAAAACTTAACTCGATCATCACGAAAATCCGCCATTTCCCACGATTCCCAAATTTAGACCCGTTCTAAAAAGACTGAAGCTCAATGGTGTATTTTGCATTACAAAAACGAAGATAAAATAGTTTCCCTCTAGTTAATGGGTAAGAGCATCTCCAACGGTAGTGCAATATACACAAAAATGACCAAGGTTGCGCAAGTGCAAAAAAATCAATCTCCAACGGTGTAGTGATAGGGGCACAGAAGTAACAGTGAAGTAACATTTGAAAAGTGATTGTGCACTAGGGAAGCCTTGTAGGGAATAAAGCCCGGTTTTCCCCTGCGAATCGGCCCGTAATGCACACGTAGTGCACAACGAAAATATTCTCGTGCGAGCGCCTACTGCGTTGACGGATGCTGGAAACAGGTACACATGCTCCTACAGAACGTATATAGGCACTAGTTATACAGCGGAATTTCTTCCTTGGTAAGGCGCTTGCAACACTCTCACGGTTGCTATAGTCTCAAGACAAAGTGGCAGTGTACTCCAAACCCATATTTGCAAGCAGGGAGAGGTGCAGGTCATCAAGCAGGTTCTCGCGATAGTAGGATGACACCTCTACTATGAGGTAAAGGCAGTTGCATTGACTGTTCTGGGGCAACTCCTCCGCTTTCGCTATGCATTTCTGCAATACGTTGGGGAAGCGAAAACAAATGCAAGCTATTTCATGCATGTTCGTCCTGTTTTGACGTAGTGTCCAGCCGTTCACTTCGCCTTATCATTTTTGCACTATGCACTACCGTTGGAGATGCTCTAACATTTCGACACGTGTTTTTGAGGAACAGCGGCGCACCCTAAATGATCAAATAACGGCCGTCTTAATTCGGTGGTAACAGCATCGTCCAGTGTTTTCTTGGTTCGGCTATGGCGCGCCTCGGCTTCTTTGGGCATTCCGAATTCGTACCGATCTCTGAGCGTTTTGACGGGGATGTACTTGAAAAATAGAGACTGTACCGGTATTTTCGAAGTACCCTTTGCTGTGCGAGTCAAACCCCCACACTAAACATAATAGCAAACATACGAAAATCTGTGATTATATTACATGGCAATCCAATTTCGCGGTATGCTTGTACTCCCGACATCTGGGCTTGCGATACTTTGAAGTTACGCTGGCAGTATGCTGTATTTGTGCATTGACATGCTATTGCATCAGTCTATTGTTGGTTCTGCCCCAGCGAGTCTTGATTCACTTCGCAATTTTCAATCAAGTTCCGAAGTGCTCAAGATCTGGGTAGCATGCAGTTCGGTTTTTTCCTGCTGGTTGTTATTGCCGCACTCGCTACAAGCTGCGAGGCTGCCCTCGACTCTACCAATGCTGCCATCACGCTTTCAAGCAAGGCCTCCACGGACATCGACACGAACGCGGTCGGTGCTGTTTCTGTGTACGCTGCCAGGTTCTTAAGAGCCGGCGACACACCTAACGCTGATGCTGCTGAACACTACGACGAGCCCATCGATCAAGAGAGAGCAAACGCCTGGTATGACAAAGTGGCAAGCTTCGTAGCAAACCTGAACAAAGGGAAGGCGGCTTCGACTGAGAAAAAGGCTGCGGCAGATCTCACCAGAACATTCAGATCGCCACCGACTGCAGACAAAGTGACCAGGTCAAAGTCGTTTTCGTATCAAAAGGCTACAACGCAAAAGCTGACTCGATTCGAATCGCTTCCGAACGTAAACGCTTTCACAGACAAGGATGTCCTGCGCAAGGCTGAAGGTCATATCAACAACGACTTCAAGAAGTTTGACCGGTTGGAAAAAACTCCTGATGACATTATCAAGCGTTATGACCTCGATACCAGCGTATTGACTAGTGCAAAGTCTAGGGAGCAACTGCGGGGGGCAGCATAGGGGGATATGGACAAGCTCGGACAAAAAGGGTTTTGGTACCTGTACTCAGCGTACTACAAGAGCAAGCACCCCGACTGGGTTAGCAAGGTGCTAGAGTAGTTCGTGCCGAATAAGCCTTCTCAATTGACGGGGCTTTGGGATGACTGCAAGCCAGAAAGCGTTGCTTTTGCATTCAGATACAGAGAGCACAAGCTCGATATGTACCAACTTCTCTTGCGAAGGCGGTACCGGATGATAGTTGAGAGAAATAACGAGTACAGGCAAGTGGATGCGAAATTTTAATCTCTTCTCCCCAGGTCGAAAGCATACCAGTAGCATGGGTACAATCCTACTAGTAGGCGTGCATAGATTAATTTTTATATGTGGTCTATGCTTGTTGTAGCATAGTGTTCCTGGCGGTGATAGCCGCAATAAATTGTAAAATACTAATGCGCCCAGGCTGGATGCCCATGCAGGTTCTTCGAACCGCTCTGGCAAAATTTTTGAGAAAATACTAAAGGATAATCACCCGAAAATGTATCGCTTCACTACACAATTTCCGACCGGCCAAGTTTCGTAAGGTCCTTGTTGGTATTAATAGTACTCCCAGCCATGCGCACGACATCCCTGGATTGGAAAGCATTTACAATCGGAAGCGATTCGGATCGGGTCAGCTTTTTTACCGCGGCGTTTGGAGACGAAAACGGCTTAGGTCTCGTCGCTTTGTCAGCTATCGGAAGCTACCTGAATGTTGTGGTCAGATCCGCCGCAGCCTTTTTCTCGGTTGAAGCCGCCTTCCCTTTGTTAAGGCTCGCTATGAAAAGTGATTGCATGTGAGTAGGGCGCTAGGCAGGACTCACTGAGCCAGGTCTTGCCTTATTACCGTAAAAATGACCGGAGAACAGATGACCTTACGCACGATGACTGACATGGACAATTTTAAGCTACGTTAGCCCCCATGCCGCCTATAGGACTGTATTGACCCGAGATGAAGGTAAGTTTACGTGCAAGACGATCTTTGTTGTACATGGTAATCAGCCATCTGTGCATTGAGTTTACGCTGAACATTGGAACTTGGTGTCTCCGGCCAATCGTGGCCGAGGGCGTGTGGCTTGGCTCTTCGTGAAGGTGTGGGGTGCTTAAACGTATTTGCAGCGTCATAACCAGTCTATTCTCCGCAAAGCGAGTCCTGCGACCGCGCCAGTGTGGTTGCTCGCCGTCCCGGGGAAATACGAGTTAACAAAAAATGTTGCAAACATATTAGCTTTGAGACCCGAAAATCGTTGAGCTCCTTGTGGAGACCGAGCAATATTCGGCCACCACACTAACCCGTAAGCTTTACCAACTTGCTTTTACTGGGAGGTCGGAAGCGTAAGCTAGCTATTGGGAAGCCCAACAGGGATTAATTTGAGGACAACATGATGATGTGGTAAAACAAAATTCGCGTGGAAGGACACCATGAAAAAATGGTCGTTTGTCTACGAAATGGCCCCGTGCGTCGATATGGTCGGTGCATGAACGAATTATTACACCATTTTCCTGCCTCATAAGTGCAGGAAAATGGTGTGGTAATTCGTTCATGTTTTTAACTTGCATGGCAATATTCGCAGCTGATGGATCCTGCTTGAACCGACGGCATCATTCGTAGCAATTAGCCAAGCAAGAATGATTGCAATGTCGGGGATGCAGCCCGTCTTTTTCTCTTAACCCGTTGAAACCGAGGTAGTACCGTACCCCAAATGCGCATAAGGCTTAGACGTTCTAACGTGTATGTGCGGGAAAGGGTTACTATACGAACCTCTATATAATTTCATAACTTGTATAGTGGATAGTCGCATGCTAAACCTAAACTTCATGGATGGCGTTCCTCGCTAACGTGTATGCTCCATCTTTCAGCAGTGAGAAATACACGTTACCACTCATAACAGGTATGCGCTGCCACAAAACCAGTACATGCATGTGATAGAGGCATTGCGGCGACGAACACGGCCGTGAACAAGAAGTGCATAACTGCGTCCACACAAACATTTGCTGCCGATCAGAAAGGCGTAAAATTTTGCTATACTGAAACTCAATAGAAATGTAGCCTCGCTATCAGCTGTTCAATCAGTAACCGCCGCATCGTGTACACGACGGGCCTTCTTTGACGGGCGTGAGTCGCCCACCGTGGACTCATCACTTGCGCTTCCACCGCTTTCGACTCCTGCTTCATCCCCGACTTCATCTTGGCGCCGCGCTGGAGCCCGAGCGCGGATCGATCGCTTCCCTCCTCGCTGCGGTGCAGGTGCCAGAGCGCTATTGCCCCAGCACTTGTGCCAGATATAAATGCACGAACGCAGCTCTCCCTTCACAGTGTGGCGCTTCTTCTAGCACAGGAAGACGCGCCGCGCCATAGGTTTCTTCGACGAGGTTTGTAACGTGCACGTACTGCAGTACGTTGATGAATCACCGCCACTGGCGCTGCTGCTGCCCTTGAGCAGAGAGCACACCTTGCATGCTCTTGTTCGGCGCTTCCGGCCCTGGTTGTTGTTCCCAGGCCGCCATTCATCGTTGGGGAGCGGCTTGTGGCGAGCTCGGCGAGTTGCACGCGCCTGTGGCGTCTTGGACGGCGTCGCTTTAAAGCTCTCAGTATTACTGAGGACCTCCCAGTCTTCGTCGGTGAGCTGACACAGCTCAAGATGAAGCTGTTTCAGAAATTTCACGTGGCTCGTCTTGGGGAGGCCTGAAGCTGCACGGGCTGCATTGAAGACGATGTAGGTGTTGATAATCGCTAGGTCCACGAGGCCAAGGAAAAGTCCCTTGTAGTACTTCTTGTACTTGATGCAAAGCTGTAGCGAGTATCTGTACAATGTAGGATACACGATTAGAAATCAGATAACTTGTACATACAAGATATGATCACTTACCGTTGAAGTCGTAACTGGTCGTGCACGTCAACACCCCCCATGTACGTCTGGTAATCCTTGACGACACGGGGGCAAGCGATTTCCTGTTGCTCTCCTGACATCGCGTCGCGTCGAACGATGCGGTCCTGTTGCACGCTACCACCGGTACTCAGTACATGCACAGCCCTGGTATCCCACCAACGCAAAACCCGCATCTCCGGAACATGCAAGGAGTCAGCCATGATGGACGTCCCCCGTTCAATATTCGCTGGTCGGTTCTTGGGGATCTTTGGCGGCTTTTTCTTGTCGCCCTTTTTCTCCTTTGGAATAAGCTTCGTACTCAGCCCTTGGCGATCCGTCCGTACCGTACCAATAGAGTAAAAACCCATTATTACGAGCTGCATCGACAGCGGCACAGGCGAATAGAACCGATCCATGACGACGAGCCTCATCTCTCCACTCGGAGGGGCGGTTGGGCCGAACACTTGCTGAAGATTGCGGGCTACGGCGGCAGGGCCGGACTTGTGATCCGTCGAGCTTGTCTGGCCTGCTCTCTCTTTTTTTCCGCAGTATACTTCAAAGCTGGAGTATACAAGATAACAAAGTGTTACTTTGGACCATACACGATAAAGAAACTTGTGGACCAAAAAAAGCAGGCGTGTCAGAAGACGCGCCCGATACGCACCGAATGCAGTAAGCCGTAGTTGAGCAGCACAGCATGAACAACTTGGTGCCCCACTTGTGGGGTTTGTCCTTGATGTACACACGCATGCGATTGAACGTAGAGCGCGACGGCAACAGCGCCTCGTCAAACGCCATAATGGCAGGTGGCGTGTAGCCAGCAGCAAACCGCACCTGTAGTGCGTCGGTAACTGGACGCAGCTTCCAAGCGCGGTCTGTCGTGGCCTTTGGATCATCATTCGGGCTGAAATGTAGATTTCTGGAGATATGCATGAACCGATCACGCGTCATGAAACACCCGAAACAACCGCGAGGTATCGCGCCTTCTTTCCTCGTTTTCCAATGATTCGCCAGTTTTTCCTTGTTTGGTGCAACGGAGCGTGCTATCAAAAGACCGATGAAGACACACAGCTCTCTCGACTCGATGGGTGGCGCTTTCAGCACGTCCTCGTGAATAGCTTCTTGCGACTTGGCCTTGTATTCAGGGTGCTTGCGTTCTCGCGCGACTTGTTTTGCGTGTTGGCCTTCGACACGCTCGTCGATATTCGCCGAAAAGTAGTCGGTCGACTCAGCAGCAATGTCCTCCCAAAGCTGAGGCTGTAGAAAGTAGAAGAAAGCTCCCGAAGGAGTCGAGGCAGCTGCTAAGGCTCTTGGGGTTGGTCCAGAGTCACCACCGTACAGGTGTGGATAGTCTTCACACATTGAAGCAGGAGACCGGAGCTCATAAGGCTCTTGCAGGTAGTCGTACGGCGTGTGGGTTGCCAACTCAGACCAGCCATTCACACCCATCTCTTTCAAAAATGTGTCTGGCACTGCGCCTGACGCAATGTTCTCCATCCCACCGAGTGACGACAGCAACGGACCATCGAATCGCATTTCCGGAGGGACTGGCAGTTGCACAGCATCATCTCCAGCGGTATCGCCAGGCAGGTCCTCATCATCCCCATCGTCGTTCTCAGCGTCCGATTCCAACACTGCAAACTTGCTTGGGTCATCATTGGCTGCAGCATGATTGATATCTGCAGGTACAACATAAACCGAAGATACACGTTAGCACTATTCATAACATGTACATACAAGTTTGACCAACCTTCATTTGAGTGTTCATTAATTTGCGAGTCTTCATTTGATTCTTCGGGAATACCGGGCTGGGTCGCATTGGTCTCGGACTGGTTTTCATCTTCTAAGTCGTCCGCCGAATCGCTGCTCTCATGTGCTTCCTCGAAATCAGGATCAAGGTTTTGTGGCCTGATTGTCGTGTCTAGTACACGATAGAGGGTCAGATACAACATTAGATATACATAGTTTGGACATACAAGATAACCATACAAGATGTACCTTCAATGCTGCTGTCGGAGTGACCGCCGTCACTTCCGGGTGAGTACGTCGTGTCGTGCGAGGAAATAGCTTGTAGGATAGCCGAGGTCGCTGGCGCGTTTGGTCTAGGGGTAGATTCGGGCCTCAACGTCAATACGGGGGGCAAAGCCTGGGTCTGCCCTGGCAGACCACTGGCAGGTGAGCGAAGCGGTGAGCTTCCGGCGGGTGTGCTGTCACGGGAAGCTGCATACAGATACACAATTAGAACAAGGCAGGCGTAGGTTGTTCAGCACACAATACACGTAGGTTCTGCTGCACCAGGTATGGTTGTATTCGCAGCTTTGGGAGTGTTCGCATCCTTTCGACGTCGCGCAGCATTTGCCGATCCGTCGCGCCGCGCCTGCTTCTTCCCGTTGAGTGCATCTGCTCATGCATTCGGTTTAGCACACAATCGCAAATGCCCATCAAATACAGCATGTAGTCTTACCAAGGTCGAGCTTGTCCAGATACTGCATTAGGGCCTCCTCGCCCACAAACACATCCTATCCTTTGACGTCCTTGATCGTCTTGCCCGGCATGAGATATATGAAGTCAACAGAAAGACCAGTGGGCCGCTTGGAGGTCCAGCCAGCCTTCTTCAGCTCGCGCCATCGAGCTTGAAATGCCATTTTCTGTAGCAGCGTGGGGTTCTGCGGCCGAGGGAGGAAATCTTAAAGTGAGACACGATTTTAAGTGGCGGGAGGCGGTTGTCTGCAAAACAGCATATGCTCATTGCAAGTTTGATCTGCAGATGGACTTTCTAAAAGTCTGTCTATATCGAGGATCGGGAAAGCAAGGATACATTACCTGCCCCTCTTCGACTTAACATTTGTATGGGCCAATACAAAAAGCAAGGTTAGAAATCGTTAACTTGTATGGTCCACGTTAAGAAGTCGTCCTTATTTTGTATAGTCCAGGCGCTTGGGTTCAAGGGGTTAACTCGTTGTTAAGGACCATTCTAACTGCTCCCCCGCAAATGGGTGCATCACCAGGGCTTAGCATTAAGTGGTAATATTGTGAGTTCTACTCTAATTTTCCGATCGTGGCAAACCGCCGGCGAATCGCCAAAGCACTTGGGTTGACTATGGTCGCCTGTCTATGCCCCCTTGACTCCCTACTAAGTACGGATTGGGCTTGACATGCTGGCACAGAACCATATGTTTGTTGGCCGGCGATTCGGCAAGTGACTTGATGTTTGTATTGGTCGGTTGGACAGGGGCCCCAAAACCGACCCGATTCGGCAAATTTGGCCGGAATTCACAATACTCAATACGGTATTAATACAGTACCCCATGCCTACTGTATTGCTACTGGGTGTACCACTATCTGGCTTGTGTATTAGCTGCATTACTATAGTTGTAGTTTGTATTATTACGGTCGTAATACAGACGGGGCCATGTCTACCAGTACGCAGAGTGGCCGCAAATGGCATTGAATCCCAACACTTTAGCATGCAATGGGCTTGAATAGGACTCCTGCTGTCGATCTGGGCTCCCGTGGCATGGATGACCGAGATATCGAACCACCGAAACGCGCTCCATCCTATACTTTCATTCATAATTATTTAAGTTCTCTACGAAATGCACACGACTCTACAGTAGACTACGCAACAGTATAACAGCAAACTACAAAGCCAGTATCCGGTCAGTTCTCAATTCGTACTTACTAGCTGTGAATCGCACTTATGTGGATACTATAGTTTATCCTAGTAAATCTTTGGGAGCTCATTAGACTGCTGCTGTATCTACTACTGTACTACAGTAGTACTGTACTACTACACACCCTGTCTATTAGGGGGAGTTGAACCTGGAAAATCCCTCCTAAAAAGTAAGCCAAGGGATTCCCAATATCTGAGCAAGAAAATGACCAAAAGATAAGCAAAACCTGAGCGATACGGGGTAGTCAGAAATTGCTCAATAAATGTGAGATCGCACTTAGTGAGATACGATGACCCCCTTCCCGGCGTAGGTGGCGAAGCCGAGAAGGCGCTCGGGCGCGCTAGAGCAGTATCCACAGCGCAAACACCCGCAGTAGCGTGCGCGCCCTCGATGGTATTCTCGGAGGTGGTGTTGGCGGCCGCTACGGAGAGCCTAGCGAAGTAAGCACGCGACAGCAGAACATACGCAACACTCATGCTGCGGGTCTCGTATAGCTAGCTTTCATGCCCTCGCAGACAGCTTGGAGAGCGCCCCACTGGCTACGAGTCGACACCTAATGCGCACACACCTACGGACAGTCCTTGCACGTTCATGCCCGCGGCCGCCTGCGGCTATGGCGTCGCGGACGAGAGCTATGCTTCACCTAGGCGAGCTCGCAGCACCCCGATCCGAGACCAGAAGGTGTCGGGGGCTAAGTATGCTTTCGCAACGTCGAACTTGAACTTAGAAATAAGCAGCTCATTTCACAAATAAGCCACCTCTGGAGGTGGCTTACTTCGGAAATGAGCAGAAAATTTCCCAAAAAGTAAGCACCGTTTTTGCCAGGTTCGACCCCCCCCTATTTCTGTGCAGCATGCTTTACTATAATAATGCACACCATTCATCCGTATTACCTGTAGTGGTACAGCTCAAAGGTGGTTAATGCGAAGCCCTGTGCATCACTCACATGAAGAAATAGACCACCCCCTTCTCCGTTGATTACACTCTTGGCCACAGGCCCCTGGCGGTCTTTGACATCATGATATCGTGTGTGAACCAGCTAAATGGCTTCTGCAAAATCCTTGATGGGCTAATGTTGAATCGGATACGAACGCTCTTGAACAACACCATCGATGTCGAGCATGCCCCCCCCATTAAAAACACGGACCGATCTATTGTTGCTCCGACATGCTATGGCTTGTTGCACTATTACGGATACGCTATCTTACCGAACGTCTTCACACGACGCGCGCCCTAAATCTACCTCCCAGACTCAGCAACGCATCTAATTGCGCTTAAACGAGAAGAATTGGTGAATATATCCCTTTAATACTGATTATTTCTTGATATAGTTCTTTACACGGGTTTGTACCACTAGAAATGGTACGCATTCCGCCCACCGGCTTCTCTCCCATTCATCATCATCACCCGCATTCCCGCCGAGAATCTCGATGGCGACCCCGGGGGAGAAGCCCAAGCGCGCGCGCTCGTCGTTCACCAACGCGCAGCGGCTGGAGATATGCAACTACCGCGAGCAGAACCCAAAGCTGACGCAGAGCCAGTTGGCCGCCTGGGCGCAGGAGGCGCTGGCGCTGCCGCGCAAGCCGTCGCAGGCCATGATTTCGAAACTCCTCAAGAGGAAAAACGACCTGGAGACTATGACAACCGAGGAGTTGACCTCCAAGTCGCGCCGTACCGTGCGGTTCCCCAACCTGGACACGGCACTAGCTCGCTGGGTCTCGTACTGTGAAGAAACTGGCGTGCCCGTTACGGGGGAGGCCATCCGAGCCAAGGCCGCGAGGTTCGCGGAGATTCTCCAGATCGACACGCCCTTAACTTTCTCCAATGGGTGGCTCTACAAATTCAATGAACGGCACGGGTTCGGAGGCCTACGAGCCCATAAAGACACCAAGTCATCAGTGGAGGCGGCGGTGCTGGATCTGCAGCGCCGTCTGCAGAATTACAACCTCCACGACATCTTCAGTATGGACGAAACGGGGTTGTACTTCACCATGTTCCCCGATCGATCGGGTCGAAAGATGACCAAGAGATTGACGGTGGGCTTGGCCTGCAATGCCGACGGGTCTGAAAGACTCCCGCCACTGTTTATTGGCAAGGCGGAGAAGCCCAGGGGGTTCACGAGCTCCACCGCGGCGGAGATGAACTATGTGTGCAACTCTAGCACGATGATGGCGCGGGAGATATTCATTAAGTGGATCAAGGATGTGGACACTAAGTTCGCCAAGCAGCAGAGGAAGTGCATTATGCTGGTTGACAGCGTGGCAGTGCATGCTGGCTTCAATCCGCAGGAGCTGAGGAACGTCGAGGTGGCGTTGGTTCCGTCGGGAACGGAGAACAACTTGCAGCCGCTTGTTGCGGGCGTTGTGACGGCATTCAAGCAGCGGTACCGACGACGCCAGATCCAGCAAGCGCTGGACCAATTGGACGCGGACGCAGACATGAGCACAGCAGCCAAGTTTGACAGTGTGGGGGTGAAGCAGGCGATAACGTGGTGCATCGAGTGCTGGGATGCTGTTCCGTCAGCGGTGATCGTCAGGGACTGGCAGGAAACTGGGCTGCTTCACATCAATGCGAACCTTGCGAACGAATATCGTGGCGAGGAAGAAGCCATCGCGGAGGAGCTCGCCGTCATGCTGTCTTGGCTGCACGCAGCGGATCCGTTGACGGTGGAGGAGCTGCTGAACCTGCCAGAAGAGAAAATCATCATGGAGGAGCCTACGGACGAAGACTTTTGCGCGCCAGTTGAGTCAGTGAAGGTCGCTATTCCGCAGGCCAAACCGAAATCATCGGATGAAGAGGGCGGACTCGGCGTTGAAGAGCTCAAGGAGCGTTTGAAATGGATTGCCAAGCTTCTGATCTACGCCGACGAAAAGGGAATTCCGGCGGAGTCCGTCAGCGGCATGCGCATGCTGCAGCGAGACTTCCGGGACCAGCTCAACAAGAAGCAGGGCGGCTCCAGCTAAGCCGAACTGTCATTCCGGAACCGAAGAAGAACTTGCACATTTGTATCGGTGGCGATGAGGAAACCACGGCCAGTAAGGCAGTGCAGTACACGTACATTTTTCGTTAATTTTGCTATGCATACTTCGTACACTAGCTAGCAGCTAGGCAGTTATCGACAATAGGAACAACTGTACATGTATTGTGCTTTGCAAACGTTTTGTCGTTTTGACTTGGAGCTTTCCTCGAGTTTGTATAATAAATCGAGATCGATTTAATAAAACGAGATCAAAGAAAGGGACAGATCGATCTATTTACGCAAAGCACAATACTGTACATGTACTGCTAGCGCGGTTTCAGGTGAAGCTGAAGCAAACTTTGTAAAACGGAGGTGAGTGGTTGAAGTTGGGTTGTCAAACGGATCACTGAGTCCGATTTGCCGGCGGTACAGGATCATTTCCGAATTCGACCTCGAAGCACAAGACCCCTCAGCAAGCATGAACGACCTCAAGTACATGGACGCATTCGACCACGACATTCATTATCAAGCGCAAGGCAGACTTCGAGAGCAAAGTGGCCCACGTGTCCGTAAGCAGCTCGCAGCGGATTCCCAATATATTGTGTGATGGTCTCACAAATTCGTTTGTGTGCAACAGGCGGGGTTTGCTGCAGGAATTGGGTCACGATGCAGTGGTGTTAAGTCTCTCCGCCAATTTTGCGTGGCTCACAAGTGGCGCTCGCAGCTACGTCTTCATGGCCACGGAAGGTGGAGTGGGCTCCATCTGCGTGGACGCCTCGCGCGTTGCAGTGCTGACGAACGAGATTGAGGGCCACCGCTTGGTGAACGAGGAGATGCGGGGCCTTGAGAGCGAGATCACGCTGGTGCAGGACCCGTGGCACGCTCAGCGCAGCGCCGTCGACATGGCCAAGGAACTTGCCAAGAGCGACAAAGTGGCGGTGGATGCTGCGGACCCCACTTTAGCTGCTCGCCTCGCTGAACTGCGCTCCACATTGACAGCGTACGAGATGGACGTCTTCCGTGCTCTCGGTAAGGACTGCGGAGAGCTGATCGGTGAAGTGGCCCGAGTTGTTCGCCCTGATATGACCGAGTGGGAAATCGCCAGCCAGCTCTCGGCCAAGATGTGGGCTCGCGGGATCACGCCTGTGGTGATGCTCGTCGCGGCCGATGAACGCGTCGACAACATCCGCCACCGGCTGCCCACGAAGAAGCGCGTGAAGAACAAGGCCATGCTGGTGATCTGCGGTCAACGTGCCGGGCTCATCGCCTCTACAACTCGTCTGGTACGCCCAACGCCTCCATTCCAGAGGACCTGCTGCGTCGACATGAGGCGGCAACGTACGTGGACGCTGTGGTCATGGCAAACACGCGCACCGCTGGGGTCAAGGCTGGAGACATGCTCAAGCTCGCTCAAGACGCCTACGCCCAGAAGGGGTTCGACGGCGAGTGGAAGTTCCACCACCAAGGAGGTTGCGCGGCCTACAAGAGCCGTGAATGGGTGGCCAACCCGTCAGTGAACCGAGTGATGGGCTTGAACCAGGCGTACGCGTGGAACCCGTCCGTCGCGGGGACCAAATCCGAGGACACGGTGCTCTGCTACGCGAACGCACAGGGCGAACCCGTCGTGGAAGTCATCACCTCGTCGCCTGGGTGGCCGGTCATTGAGCAAACCATCGGAGACATTACCATCGCTCGCCCGACGATTCTGCACTTGCCGCTCTGAGCAGTCCTAGATACAACTCATTCATAACGGAACCAGAAGGTTAAACATCGATTCACAATACTAAGAAGAGTGAGGAATGTTCCACGTCGATAGGATGTCAAAAAATGCCTTAAATACGGCTTACTTGCTCGCTCCACTCCGTCGCTATACAGTCTGCACTTCGCCAGTCGTCTCTGGAGGCTTCCAGAAGAGTGAAAAGAGGTTGGTGATGATGACGTCCGCCACATTCATGTCCTCCTCTTCGCTCCCACTCGCGGGTGCAGCATCGTTTGCTTGATTCTGAGAAGGAACAGGAACTCGAAGCTGCTCCAAATCAACAACCGTTCCTTCATCAATCACGACCTCTTCGTCCAGGTGGGTGTCGGACGCATCGCTCGCGCTCACGAGAGAAACCCCACCATCGCTTAACGGCGCATCGGCAAGAGGAGGCATTACACCTTGCGGGCGATTAAGATCCCGCTTGAACGTGAGTGTAAGCGGCCGCAAACCTCCTTGGAGCAACAACATCACGTGCCGGAATGGCGCAAAACCCACCGCATTCTTGTTCACAGCAACGAGTTCGTCGTATGGCTCGAGGACGCCCTTCTTGGCAGCGGCCATGTCCGGCAGCAAACTCCTCACTGTAGCCCCAGCATCAGGAACGTTGGCTTGGAAATGGATACCAATGGGGCCAGCGTCCTCAAACACCACGTCCAAGTACTCTACATCGTCATCATCGTCATTGTTCTCATCTCTAGAGAATGGCGGTGGCGGGACATCTGCGTTGACCGCAGTCGAGTTCGATCTTGACGGACGAGACTCTGACGTTGTCACACTGGGGTTGCGAACAACCGGTTTCTGCTGACTGGGGCTATGATCAGCTGAGGGAGACGTTGGTGCCGCTCCAAGCAACCGCGGGTCCGTCCACGTAGTTGTCGTCGTATACTTGTTGAAGAAAAATACTGCACCCGAAGCTGTCACGCGCATCTCCCAGCCAGCAGGTAATGGAGTGGAGAAATCCTCGATCGTATGCTTGCGTCCGTCATCCGGCGGAACGTGAATATCCTCGAATATGCTATCGTCGTGAGAAATATGCGGTGTCGAGAACGACCGCCGCATAACGTTATCAGGGGCTGCGTAGTCGCGAGCCATTGCACTGAAACCGCGAGTGCGGAGGGTAGTACTGGAGCTTGGGTCTTCACTGGTCGCTGGGCTAGCTTCCTTATCGTCTCCACCAGCCGAGGCTGCAGCCGTCAAGCGCCGCTGAATCACAATCGACACTCGAGGGTCTTCCAGCTCGTTCTCAGCATCATCGCTCTTTCGGCGGTAGCAAGCAACGCCTTCCGCAGTTTTCACTCGCTGATAGTCCAACGGCAGATCGACTTCACTGCAGAGCGCATCAATCTCACGCAACTTCACTTCCATGGCCCGCTCGAACAAAGCTTGCTTGTCTGCTGCAGACTCCTTTTGCCGCGCTAACTGGTCTTTCAGCTTCGCAACAGCAGCTTGGCTGGCCTCTAAATCCAGCTCCTTCTCCTTCAGCTGCTCCTTCAGCGTCTCAATTTCTGCCGAGCTGCATTCTCCATTGACGCTGAGCCTCACAACTGCGTCCTCCTTCTTGAACGCGGCCTTGTCCTCTTTCACTCGCTCCACCAGCGCCTCAGATGCGTCCAGCTCCAGCCTCAACTGGTTACTCACGAACTGCACCGCGTCGTCGGACAATTTGCCGGCCAAAAACACACGCGAGCCCAATACCTCCGCCAGCTTTGCAATAGCTACCTCCGCCTCCCGCTTCTGCTGCAACAACTGCGCCACAGCGTCACTCAGTTTATCCAGCAGCGGCTGGTGTCCTCTTGCGGCTTCATCAGTGGACACCAACTCGCCCCAAATCTCGGCCAGCTGAGCGTCCACCACGTCCATCATGCGCCCGTTGGTCTTGAGCAGCTGCATAAAGTCCGTCCAGCTCTTCTCGCTCCGGTTTCCCGACAACGGCGTGTTGATCTTCAGCTCCGACGTGGGAAGTGGCCCGATACTGAAGTTACTCAGCCCACTGACCATACTACTAGGAGGGGGTGAGCTTGGTGGTGGAGGAGGAGGGGATAACCCCTTCAGTTTAGTATCAATTGACGGTGCATCGGCCGTAGTCAGGTGTGCTACCGCTCGCTTGGTCGGTGATGAATATTCTAAAGTAGAGTATTCCCCATTAGACTCCACCATCGGCTGGAAGATGTTGACGGTCGAGTCCGGGCTATCCGGCGGCTGATCCTGGCTCTCTCGTGAGTCATATCCAGCATCATTCTGCAGCCACTGCTTCTTCTGAGACTGGTAGGCTTGTAAGAGAACCCTCCCTCGGGCAATCAATTGCCTCTCGGAAAGCATATCATCCTCCTCAGTTAGAATTGATTTGGAGATCAGATCTGATTCCTTGTCCGCATTATCACTGTTGTCGACGTCGCTGGAGCTCTCGGTGGCGGAGAACGGGATCGGGGGCAGCGCCACGGACGTCAGAGAAGCGGGGGAGGAGAGCGATAGCGGAGACACCGACGGAGGGAAGCTGGGGCGCCCGCCCTGCTGCGGCGCAGACGCCACGAAGCGCTCCATCAAAGCGTGCACTTGCTCGGAGCAGCGAAAATGTAAAAAAAATGTCAGTATACTACTGAAGTCACTAAAGCGCGGGAGTGTAGCCATCGAGTTATGCAGCCAAACGTCCTCTTCGTCACGCATAACTTCGCCCACACACTTCTCTGGATTGGGACTTCTCCAGGAACGCAGACACGAACTCGGCCGGGTACATCACGTACATCCAGTCCAGAAACTCCAACACCCGCGCTTCGAAAGTGCTACCAAGACCGTTGCATTCCACGTAAGCAATACAATGGCAACAAAGCGACTTCAAGAGCCTGAACCCCCGCGCTGTTGGCACCTTTGGCATTGCACAATCGCCAAGTGGCCGTTCTTGACTGCTAGGCTCATCGCGGCCTCTCAACTCGGTTGGAATGCAGCCACTTCATCATCTCAAGATGCCCATTCTTCGCGGCCACATCCATTGCCTCTGTCGTGCAGCCCTCGCTCCGGTTCGCGTGTAGCCACTTTACAAGGCCAAGGTGGTTATTACCTGCCGCACGGCTGTAGTACAGACCTTCCCGCTCCTGGCCAGCCACTTCACAACTTCGAGATGGCCTTCAGCAGCGGCAGAATTCATGGCGCGGGTTGAACAGCCTTCGTTTCGGTTCTTGATGATCCAGATGTCCGTTGGCTGCTGCTTCGTCCATGGCTTTGCTGCTACACCCCTCCGCTCTGTGTGCATGCAACCATTTGACCACAGTTCAATGCCCATTAGCTGCTGCATCGTCCATTGCTTCTCTGGTGCACTTCTCCGTTCTGTGGGCATGCAGCCATTTCACAACTTCCAAGCGGCCGTTGCGAGCGGCAGCATCCATGGGTGAGGCTGTGCAGCCCTCCGTCTTGCTCTCATGTAGCCATTGAAGCAACTCCAGGTGGCCACGTCCAGCAGCAGCGGTCATGGCTACTGCTACGCCGTCACCCTTTCTTGAGTCGTGGTCTAAAAGGAGGCGCACGATATCGATCTTTTCGCATCCGGCAGCATTCATCACAGCTTTCGGTAAACCGAATCACCGCTTGCGATAAGCAGACAGCAGCCAGTCAATGGTGTCGTAGTGTCCAAACGAGACCACTGGAGTCAGATCCACAAACCCGTCGAAACGCTCAAGAAGCCATCGTAACATCTCTACGTTCCCGTCTTCCACTGCCGCGTCCAGTAGATCCTCCTGTCAGTGACAGAATGCGGCGAGTGCTTTTGGAATGCTATGGTAAATGGAACAAAGACTACGAAGACGCTCTCGGGCGGATATGGTGGAGTCTGTGTAGTATGGGATACGCACTGCTGTGGCAAATTCGAAACCAAGTCGTCCACGAAGGAAAGAAATGAAGAGCTCCACAACAATTGGAATACATGTGGGCCAGCTGCCTGAGGCAAATAACAGCAGTGGCACGCAGTGAACGGAACAAGCCATCAACCAGAACAAATGGGCTTCGGCTACAGCTCACTCTGGAATCCAGAGTCTGGATTGCTATGTAGCCATCACGATTGAGGCTGAACCTCCAGATTCACCTCCAGCCCCAGCGCCGTGGCTCAAGAGGAAGGAGTCAGCGCTGATCAAAAGACTTAGAAAATTTCAGGAGGCTATTAACTAAGGTTCAATAGACTACCTTCTCTCTCTCTCTCCACTGCCGCGTCCAGAGCCCCGGTGGGAGTTCCATCGCGACCGGGCAGATTGTAGACCCATTTCAGTGCCTCCATGTCCCCAGCCTTCACCGCCGCCCGTATCCACGTAAAAGACACTTAGTTCACTCGGGGCAGCAAAGCGCACCTTCTTCACCGTCAAAGCTTCGGAACTTGACCTCGTCCCCCTCTATACCGACGACTCGGGCATATATTGGTAGAGGGAAGGCGCCTGCCGCTACGTCCTCAGGCAGGAGATGCAGTGTCGATCGCGACGTTAGACGCGGCATGTTGCTGAGGCGAATGCAGAGAGCCGAAGGGTCGCTTTTCTAACGCTGTGAGCGCTGTAAAGAAAGTCTGAAACTAACGCTGTTCTACGTCTTCATCTGCGTTGGTTTCAACTTCCTGCCTTCCTTCTAAAAAGCTATTTTCACTGCTCCACTCGTGAAAATCTTCAATACGGACCAACTAGAATAAAGTGCAAGAAGTCGATGCAGTATTCAATTCAAAAGTGTGAGTTTAGAATGAAAAGATAATCGCCTTAGGTTCTCCACGGGTTTTCATGAAATATAGCGGGGCCCTGCTTTGGTCAAAATGTCTGCTGAAGTTTGATGACGCATCGATTAAGCACCGCGAGCCACAGCGTTTGCCTTGCTCTGAGCTTCATCATGAATCTGCTGGTGAAGCCGAAGAAGCCAACTGGGATCTGTGTCCGTATCAAGGAAGCGCCAAGATATGACGCGACGGTTTTCGGCTTCTAGCAACTCCTTGTAGATGTCTTGGTTCGCCACAGGCTTCTTGTTCGAGTTCTTCCAGCCGTTCCTTTTCCAGCGAGTGATCCGCCTATGCTCGCCGTTATGGTCTGCCATCGCGTGCACAAGCCCCTGGTATCGGGTGTAGATGACAAGAGGTCGTAGCTGCTTCGGGTCCAGTCGGTTAGCAATAGCTGCGGCATCTTTTGCCGCTAGGCAGTCAGCACGATTGTTCGTCGGGTGGTCGATAAGTGCCATGGCATGAGTACGAATGTTCTCCAGAGGAAATGAGACTGCGTATGCCGCTGTGCAGCCCTCGCGTCCATTCAGAGGTGCGCTACCGGCACAAAACGAGACGAGATGTTTGTCATGCCGGGCTCGTAGTTCTTCGGCCCACATATCGCCTCCTTGGATGGTATCCCTGACTCCCATTGACCCCAGTTGCTGGCTTAGGACTTCCACGTCATCTTCGCCTCGGGGTACGTCAGCGTTCAGGTTACCGGTGTCGATGGCATTACCGCTCTGGTACGTCTTCACGAACTGGCGTGCTTCGTCTTCAGTGAGGAACTTCTCATGCTTGGCCTTAGAAAACCCCTTGATCTGCTGCTCGGTTTCCGGCCATGTTCGGTAGATCCCCGGGCGTCTGCCCACCGCCACTGCGTAGTACCATTCTTTCTCCTTGGCCATGGTGTCCCGGCGAGCTTGAGGTTTCGAGGGAGAAACGAGAAATGAAGTCTTGTTAGAGGGAGTCCGCGTCGTGTGACCGATCACCTGGGAGAGGTCCTTGCGGTCATTGAAGGACTCTAGAGGGAAGTGGAACGCTTTGAATCAGGTATCATCCGATGGCAGTCCGCCATTGGTAGACAGGTAGAGGGACCGGACTCCGCTCGGCTTTGGTGTTGCATTTTGGGTTGCCCTCGGAGCATATATGTTTTGGACAGCAAAAATAATTCGTGGCAAGAGACCTATGAATACACCCGAGGAACTTTACCTTGAAGTAGAAGTCACGATATGTTGGGCCCTGAGGTGTGCACGATGTCCTCAACCTCACCGCTTCCTGCATCCAGACGCGAAAGATTACGTGGATTCTGCAAAGCCCGGTTCTCCAAGCTCGTCGACGCATGGTTCGCAGTTCAACTCGCGCACTACGGGGGGAAGTACTCGATTGAAAGGATGCTGGCCCTGGAGGAATATTCTCGTGACACATCGTTAACTCGAGTGTTGCTTGTTACCGTCGGCAGTCCACTATTAGTTTTTGCAGTCGTTTTGTTGCAAGAAAGTATTCCTCTTCAAGACCCAGCGGCTGGCTGGAAGGCCAACTACGGCTTTTGGTTTCGCGTGGGAATAGTTGGAATTGCTGTCGGCATTGCAACTACTGTTCACCTGCGGCTGTGGATAGGCATTCATAAGATCTCTACTCTATGCACGATCTTCTATTGCATTGCTACCGGGATTGGATACATTTCGAGTGGAATAGCGGCAGCGACGGTGTGGGTATTTCCTATCCCATTCTATATGTTCACGCTTGGTGGAGTAACTTCGCTGATTATATTGGCTTACATCAGGATTGTGATGGGGTCCCGTGCGTTTTGGGAAATCTTTCATCAGCACGAGCTACTTCGTCGAATGAAGCAAATCTCGATATTGCAAGCTTTCCTCTACGTCGTGTACCCTTTTTACCAAGTGCTTTTCACTAAGACAAACCACACGAACTACGAGCTGCCAGTAATTATGCTACTCCCGGCATTTCGGCTGGTGATAAAGAAGGTGTTTGCCATGGCAGCTTCGCACAAAGAGGACATGATCCCGGTCCACGCCGTTTTCACTGTCGATTTTTTCGATGCGCTGTACCTGGCGACGTTTATGCAGAGCTTGTCGATGTCAACGCTGGTGGCGATTGTGATTGTCGACATTATGCAAAATGCAGTGGAATTACAAGAACTCCACCAGCGAACGCTTCGTATCATTGCTCGTACCCAACGAGTTGTCGGCCCTACTACCAACACTGCTTACAATGGAAATTTGCTGGAGGCTGTACGATCGCTGTGTTCCTCTTCCGGAATACTGCAAAGCCAAATTCGAGCTGGAATAAGCGTGCGTTCTTGCATTGAACACCAAGTTTCACCGGAGAGCAACAGTCTGTTAACGATTCTCGAAAATGCCCGCCAAACAGGGTCCATAGCCAAATTATTTGATCACTTGCCGAGTATCAACCGCGTCCCATCGCAGTCAGCATCGATCCATGAGCGGCGAAGCAATTGAGCACGCGGAGGAGTTCTGGGCAGCTGTAGCGGCGCAAAATGGGAACCTTGAGGCGCTCAAATGGGTCTGCAGCTTACCCGGGGAAACGAAGCTGTGGCGGGCTCTGGCGGGAGCAGTGGACTATGGACACTTGGAGACAGCCAAGTGGATTGTGCAAGAACTTGGGGAAGATTTCTTCAAGGCCAATAAATCTATCCTGCAGCTCGATAAGGCAGTGGTCCACGGCCACTTTGATGTCCTCGAATGGGTAGTTCCGTATTGTCCTCAGAGCTGTCGCGCCAGCTTGGGAGACTCCGATGCCGCTCGAAATGGGCGTCTCGACATTCTTCGTCTGCTCCGAGCGAGCGGTATCTGCGATGATGGACAGTATGCAATGAGCAGTGCAGCGTCAAGTGGTCATCTTGATATCGTCAAGTGTCTGCATAACGAGCTGAAAGAAGCCCCTGCAGAGAACGGCGATCTCGACATTGTGCAATGGCTACACGAAAATCGGTCCGAGGGCTGCACAACTTACGCCATGGACACAGCAGCGTCCAAAGGCAACCTGGAAATGGTCGAGTGGCTCAGTGAGAACAGAACAGAGGGCTGCACAACGCGCGCGATGAATTTGGCGGCGTCTCAGGGCCACCTGGACGTTGTCAAGTGGCTCCACGGCAACCGACAGGAAGGATGCACGACCGACGCGATGAATTTCGCTGCCATGAACGGCAAACTGGACGTGGTAAAGTGGCTACACGAGAATCGAACTGAGGGCTGCACAACTATCGCAATGGTTGGAGCAGCTGGGAACGGGTATCTCGAGATTGTCAAGTGGCTCCATGCGAATCGAAGCGAGGGCTGTACTACACTAGCAATGGACGTGGCTGCCCAGAACAACTGGTTAGAGGTGGTGTGGTTTCTTGATGTACAGCGATCGGAGGGCTGCACCACTGCAGCGATGGATGAGGCTGCAGCTCAAGGCCACATGGAGATGCTCCAGTGGGTGGAATATCTTCGAACGGAAGGCTGCACGGCGTTAGCAGTCGAAGAAGCAGTACGATATTGCGCTCTATCTCCACAGAGAACGAGACGAATGCGACGTCATCCAAGCCCTGCGAGGCTGCTCTATTCGGAAGCAGCGTTGGGCATTCATGGACTGGATGTGCCTTTACTACCAAGAAGAGTTTGAGACTACGATAGCACCACAACTTCTTGCCGACTAAACCCTGTGCAAGCCACTATGAGCGCCCCATACCCACGCTCGAATCGCACAACTCTATTGGTGGCCGAACCTGCAACGAGAAGTTAAACGATGGGTGGCTGGGTGTCAGAAGTGCGGCAGTCGCAAGGCTCGCCCGCGCGAAGTGATCCCTCCATTACGGAGTATGAAGGGCGGAGACGTGGGGGACCGATGGGCTTTGGACGTGGCTGGTCCTTTGCCTATGAGTGATGGCGGCCAACGATACGTGATCGCAGCGGTCGAATACGTAACCCGGTGACGCGGTGGCGGTAACCGTACACCACCACACGGCTGAGAACGTCGCGGAGTTTCTGATAAAGCACGTGGTGTTAAACTTTGGTCCATTTAGAGAATTGTTGACGGATGGCGCACCTTAACTAACGGGGCGAGTGATCGAGCAGCTTGTGGCGATGCTACAAGCGCAACAGACGAACCCTGTACCATACAGACCGCAGATGGTTGGATTGGTTGAACGATTTCATCGTACGTGGAAGGATTGTGTGTCCACGTACATGAATGCGGATGAGCAACACGACTGGGACATGTGGGTAGACTGCGCGGTGTATGCCTACAATTCTGGGCAACATTCAACGGTCAAGTTATCTCCGAATGTGACGATGGGGAGTAAGCTGAGGAGTCCTAACGAGCTCTTACGACGTACGAGTGTTGCTGAGGCGGGCGAGTTGACGAAGTACCATGAACGACTGCTGGCGGCGCTGGCGAGCAGTCAGAGGTATGCTGAGCAGGCACGGGAACGTGAGCAATTACGACAAGCGCGCTATTACAACAGACGAGTGAAACAGAGACGAACCTTTGAAGCTGGGGATCGTGTATGGATGTATCGGCCGCCGAGAGGACCGAAAGCGTCCAAGTTCGTCCACCAGTGGATTGGTCCGATGAAGATCATCGAACCTGCGGGATACGACAATTACTTGATCGAACGAGAGGATAAGAGCGGCGAGTGCGAGCAGTTTGTGGCACATGTTTCATTTTTAGTCACTTATCGCTACCCCGCTGAACTATTACGAGACGTAGCGGCTGACTTGGAAGCGCAGTTGGAACATGAAGGCGCGTTCCAACGCGAAGGTGATGCAGCGACGGCAGGAGAAACTGTGGGAGCAACGTCGGCTCCTGCACGTGCAGCGACTGCAGGACACGGCAAGAAGAGAGATGGACGAGCAGTGGCGAGTGCGAGCGAGTCCAGACTGCAGGACGAGCTCCTGGTGGAGCTACGACGACGGCGACGACGGAATCGAGCTGGCACTACATACTTGAGTACGAGTTGCAGCCCCTACGCACACGTGGACGACAGCGTGGAGCAGCGACGGATGACGAACGGTGTTGGGTGTCCGTACGCGAGTACGATCGACTGTATCAGGCCGGCAGAGTCGTGGAAGACTCTGCAGGTGGAGAAGACGTGTAACAGGACATGGGCAGATGGCGGTCACGGCATGGTGACCACGGAGGCGAGCAGCGGTAGCTGGTCGCACGAGTCGGGCGACGAGTGGGGCATGGCGGACGAGAGCGGCTGGCATGGGTGCGTGGTGGCGGGTCGCGAGATCCAGACGACGGTGGGTGCGGAGAGCCGCACGAACGCGATCTTGGCAGCGAACGGTCGCTCCGAGAGCAGTGGCAGCCGGAACGGACGGCTGGGAGTGGCTGACGAAGAAGTTCTCGAAGCTGAAGGGTCGGCAGTGCGAGCTGGCCTTCGGGCTGGAGAAGAACGAGCGGTGGCGAACGAGTGAGGCGCAAGCGGTTGAGAATTAGCGTGCTTGGAGCAAGCGAGCACTTACGAGTTGGGTGGCCTGGTGACGGGTTGCCGGACAACGAACGAGGGAGGGCGAAAGCTCTTGCTGGGGGCGACAGCTCCTTCTGGACGAGTGACGGACAAGTGGTGGTGGAGTGTCGACGGGCGCTCCGCTGCTACTGGCGAACGAGTGGAGGGTTAGTAGCTCGCGTGCGTGGGTGAACTCTCTTTGTATTGACTGAGTGTAGTTAGCTCTAGTTGTCGGCTGTGGGCTGATAGCTACCAGTTGGCTGAGGACTATTGAGTAATCTAGCCTCCTTAATAAAATTGGATACGTTCGTGTGTGTACGGACGATCCGGCGCAGTAGCTCGGTTAGCTGCTGTCGGCCAGCACGGAGTCAACTTCCAGTTCCCGCGGGCGAACGAGCGCAGCGGAGCAATACGATCTGCCCCACGAGCTGGGCAAGATAAGAAGCTCGTTACACGAGAATACCGATTGGGGCTGTACTGCAGCGTCAATGGATGCCGCAGCAGGAAATGGACACCTGGAAGTGGTCAAATACCTCCATGACAATCGAACCGAAGGGTGTACTTTAGCGGCAATGGATACCGCAGCCGGAAGCGGGCACTTGGAAGTTGTAAAATGGCTACATGTCAACCGTTCTGAGGGCTGCACGACACGAGCGATTGAAATGGCAGCCAAAAACGGTCTTGTTGATGAAGTGAAGTGGCTCATCAAGTACCGATGCCAAACGTTTTTTGCTTCGACCGCGCCATGGACTCTGCTGCCACTGAAGGGCATCTCGGGATACTGCAGTGGCTAGCTGATAGTGGCCAGGACTGTACTAGAGCTGCTATTAATGGCGCGGCAGCCAATGGACATCTGGGGATTGTCAAATGGTTGCACGAAAAGCGGAACGAAGGGTGCACGACTGAGGCGATGGACAACGCCGCGAAGAATGGGCATCTTGACGTGGTGCAATGGCTGCATTCAAACCGAACTGAGGGTTGTACAGATGCTGCCTTCCGACTGGCCGTCAAGGAGGGGCATTTCCAGGTCGTGCATTGGCTGCACAGAAACATCGGCCGAAATGTCATGGAGGCCAATGGCCTTGTGGGTGCAATGGATACTGCTCATTTCGATGCTGTGGTCTACGTTTGCTTGGAGTGCAGAGGCGATCTCGTTGTCGCGCTGTCGACCATACCGAGATCGTACATGCGGCACTGGCAGTTTGTGGATTGGCTGTACTCGCACTACCCGCACGGATTCGCCTCTGAGTTTTTGAAGAAGTACCAGTCGAGACCCGGCTGGAGGAAGCTGTGTTCGCTCTCTGAAGGTTTCCCGGCAGCTCCGCATCGATACTTCTTTTAACCCTTTCGCGAATTACTTGAATTTGTATAGTATACTAGATCAATTGTAGCAAAACTAAAACGGGCCATTCTGGCACGTTTGGTTGTCCCACTATAGAACGGTCCAGATTGGCACGTTTTGGAAGGATGCAATGATTGGCTGAAACCCAATAATTGACCGAACAATTCGTCTATTGGCTAACAGCGCTTGGTGTTATTTGTAATTATGTGAAAGATAGGCTGGCCTGTTTGCTGCAGCGACGCGAAGGAGGCGTCCACTGCTCGGGCATTCGGTGGACGATGTTTGTGGGCTTCCGAAGGGCAGCAGAAGGAAGATGTTGACCGTCACCCGCATCTGTGCGCCGTCAAAGCGTTTGCATAACCGGAGCTCGCCACCGCGCCCACTTCCCCACGCCGGAGATCCGCTGATTAGTCTGGAACGAGGTCAGCGGCGGCACGCTCGGGGAGCACCGTTGGGTTGGACACAGCGACGCCATGAAGATCATGTCAACTACCAAGTTCAGGCCTGCGTACCAAAACCCAGTCGAGTCGGTTGTATGTTGGCGCGCACCAGTACATGCCGTGCATGTGGACCGGGAACTCCGTCTGCGTCGCTGAGCTGCATCGAGCTTCGTGCTGAAAACCAGTCCTGGGTGTACAGCCGACGGCAACGTCACGTCTTCCTTCCCAATCCCACCTGCAGCCTCGCAGCAAAACTCATGAAGCCCATGCTGTCTGCCGCTTTACTGGTAGCAACAGGGCTGGTATACTCCAGCATCCACGTAGCTGAGTTGTTTACCTTTGGACTGCGGGTGTTCTCGATACCCTTGATCAGCTGGGCGCGGGCTTCTGGCGCGTGGTCTATCAGCTGAAGTCGATTTGTTCGCGCAGTTGAAAGTCGTTGGAGTAGACGCAGACGTCGTGGTGGCCTTCTTCAGACATCCTTCATTTTAGATGCATCCGCTAGATACCGGTGCACACATCTTGATTTCAGTATCGAAACAAAAGATCGGCGTTGGCTTTCGTGCCGCAGTGACAAGAAGAGGCTGCACACCATAACGATTCTTCTGGCAGCAGGGATCGTAAAGCATGGAGGGTTTTATTCAGCAGCGTGTTCAAGCGGGTGATGAACAGCCTCCACCCCTTGCTGGAGCAGGAACTCAAGCAACGGACACAAGACAAGAACCGCGCTTCCAGCAGGTCCTGAGTGATAGCCGTGGTCAGACTCAGCATGAAGCTTTGGCAAGGATTCAACCGTCGAATTATCGTTCGAGTGAAGCGCAAGCGCTGACGGAGCCTCGGCGAGGACGTGGGTCAACTATACAGCACAAACAGCAGAAGGCACCTTCTAAACGCAAGGTTTCATCTCCAGCGCGAAAGAAGCAGCCTCGCAAGCGACAGCGGAGCTTAGCATCAGCGATGAAGAGTACGACGCCCAGTGGAGCTGGCGGTGCGGTTGGCAGTAGTGCAATGATCGGCCATACTACATCGGACGCTACTGTTGCCCCTCCTGTCGTGACGGAGACTAGTAGTACGCGCGATTCAGCTTCGCCCACTGCCGCAGCAATGCCTCAGCTGTTTGTCGAGAAGCTTGTGGCGTACTCGCCTGCCAAAGAGTCCTGGCTATCAGGCCGAATATTCGAAGTGCAGGAAGTGCTTACATTGTTGGCCGAGTCTCTAGGTTTGACAAGAAGAAAGCGCTGTTTCAGATTCATTGGATTGACACGCAGTTCCAGAAGGCCGATAAGTGGATAAGCATGAGTGTCGTTCAGCGTGGCATGGAGAACTATAAAAATATGATGGCATCGCCGTCTAAGCCGGCCTGGAAGTCCCTTTGTCAACCAGACAGCACCGAATCTGGTATTGTTGAGGACGACAGCGATTTGGAAGAAGTGGAGGAGAGTTTTAAGCGATATGATCCAGAGGTAATTCTTCCATCTTCATTGCCCGAAGTCGAAAGTATCACCAACATGAAGTTCGATCCTACTGCACAGATCAATGGTCCTTCAGACTTATACCAGCATCCGGATGGCAATGTCAAGACGAGAGTTCGCCCTCATTTCCGCCATTTGTTTGAACATTCGGCATCGTCGAGTTTCTTTGCCTATATTCCTGTCTACTACTGGGTTGAAGTTCTGCACCATACGAACAAGGCGATGCGTGCGCATGAGTTGGAGAAGAAGCTCAGCACCAACAAACCGTTCACCCTACAAGAATTGATGACTTTCCTTGGAATTCTTTTCTTTATGAAACTGGTGGTCAAGGGCGAATACGCCAATTATTGGGGAAGGCAAATAGAAGATTGCATCGTGGGGGGCAACCACCCAGGTCTGGATAAGGTGATGGCACTGAGCCGCTTTAAGCTGTTGCGCCAGCATTTCTGTTTCAGGCACGTGCCAAAAGCTGCTCGTGCAGCGAGTGCTGATGGCGGCTCAAGTACCGCGGTGGCTAGTAGTGGGGATACAGCTGAGACTCACGCCGATCCTGATGCTATTGATATTGACGAGCTGTTGTCGGAAGATGCTACGACGACGAGTAGCTCAACCCAACCTACTGAAAATTCTTCCGTTCCTACCTCGGCATCGAATTCTCAACAAGCTTCGCGACGATCTCAGAATACTGCTACTGCGCCGGCCCCACCGCAGCCAGTGGACCCTGTCAGGAGAATTCGCCCGCTTCTGAATATGCTGAAAATCACAGAAGGGAAGTACGTAGAGGTCGGAAGAGATGTCTCGCTGGATGAGGCGAGCGTCGCCTCCAAAACCAAGTACGGGCGGAGATTGATAATGTTCAACCCCATGAAGCCTGGTGGTATATACCACTTTCGAGTTTACACCCTTTGTTGTGCCACTACGTGGATAGTCATCAACTTTCGAGTGCACTGTGCGAGCGACCTATCCGATCGGCTGCAAGGCGTTGTATCTAAGGAGACAATCGAAGCACTAAGACAAGAACTGGACGAGTTATCAACTGTCCGAAGCCAGGTTATGGAAGTGGTGAGGCCACTTTATCATACCAATCGCGTGATAAATGCCGACAACTACTACATGTCCGTGCAACTTTTGGCTGCTCTGCGAGTGAAGGGCCTTTATGGCAGAGGGACTATACGCGGGAATAGCCTGCATTTTCCGCATCATGTCGTTTTGAAGAAGAAGGAGTGTCGTTGCGGGCAGTATCGCCAAGCTGTTTCAGTGGCGCATGAGATGGTTGCTGTGGCGTGGTATGATAGTGCGGTGGTGAAGATGGTGTCGAACGCAGACAAGTCTTCGGAAACGGCCTTAACAAGGAGAGTCGGCAGTCAACTGCAGCCATTCCCTGCTCCACTGTGTGTGTCAGAGTACAACACCAATATGCAAGGTGTTGATAGGCTGGACCAACTACGTGAACGGTTCTCTTTGGCCGACGGTCACACTTTCAAGAAATGGTATAAGAAGCTGGGGATGGCTTTTGTGGATATTGCCAGAGTCAATGCCTACATGACCAGAAAGTTGACTATTGACGTGACGAGAGATCGTGATCCGCACCGTTCATTTGTTGCAGAGCTCGCGGAGGAGCTAATTTCAGGGAAATGGATGGAGGCACCTAGTGACAGAAGAATGTTCTACTCCGCCCGAGGAGAGTCTGGGGTTGCGGCCGCAGTGGAGGGTTCTGCTATGTGGCATTGTGGGGGCGTGGAACCTTCAACCATGTCCAGCCCTCAAAAATCGTGCGTTGCTCTCAACTCGAAGCAGATTTTTGGAGACAAGAAGCGGAGAAGGCATTGTGTGGTATGTCGATGGGAAGATCGGTTTCCAACAGTTGTCACCGACCACTGTACGCTCCACGGCGTGAGCCTCTGTCAAATTGTCCATACAACTGCTGCGAAGCCATACTTCTGCCAACAGCCCACTTGGACTTGTTGGGAGTAGTACCACAAATTTTACTTGCGCGAAAACCTATTCTCAGCCAAAGGAAACCTAAGGAAGACGTCCAATTTGTTCATTCAGCGTCGTCGAGCCGAAACAGGTTCAACAAGATCAACGCAAGATGAACAGTCTGTAAATGTATATTGAAATCAAGATGAATGCTTATATTTTCAGGCTGAGAACACGTACAGCTCGGTCTTTTCTGTATAGAGATAAACTGTTGCTGGTTTTGATGACCAGCTCACCAACACTTCGACTGATGTTTGCAGCTTCCAGCGAGAAGCTGTTTGTGCACGTGGGACTGTGCCGTGGGCAAATCTCACTTGTGAAGGCAACAATCCACGCGTCCGTCATGTATACAAGCTCACTTGTGGTAGAAGGCTCAAAGCGCAAGTTGTTGGCAAAGACGATTTTTGCGCTGGAGAAAGGGTATATCATCGACAGCTCAATTCGCTCCACATCTTCAGCATACACCTCCACGTTTTGTAGGCCTGGCCATTGCACTACATGCTCAATCAGTATCCCATTACAACGGTCAACCAAATCACGTCGGACTTCAATACCAATGCTCGCGCGAACTGATGTCGAAAGAACAAACTGAGTCATCACATTGCCAACACCAGAGCCGATATCCATAAACACATCGCCAGCCCCAATAGTTCTAACCCGTTGTATTGCCGCAATAAAGGCTGCAATCCCACTGGGCAGTAGCTCACCAGCATTCAAATGGGGCGCGCACGAAGGATAGATGACTTCTTGACGAGCTACAGCTTGCGTTGCAGCCGTAGTCGTCAGGTGCTCTGGTATAAACGAACGCAAACGCTTTTGACGGCGCTCTTCAGCCCCAGGACAAAAACCAACCACATCACCACCTGTCTCCACCAACGTTACTCCTCCACACCCTGAATCCGATGTCACCGACGATGTACCTGGCGCTAGATGGTGGAGTGAATCGCCGCGTGAAGATCCTCGTGCTTGATCTAACGCTAAATCGCGAGAGCTGTCACGGGCAATTTGCACCAACTGCTTGTCCTCCTCCTCTAAGAATGATGTGCCCGGCATTCTTCACGGGAGCCCCAAGGGCCGTATGAGAATGGATTTCAGTATGCAAACTTGTGAGCGAGAACATCTGCACATATTTTCGTTTGAGTATGGAATCTTCTGATGGTTCAACGTCACCAGATGCCTATATTTGTAAGTTTTGAAAATGAAACGATGAGGTGTGTGCAGGGATTGACTGTAATTGAACGCAGTAGTCCAGCGAGGGTCGAAGAGTGGTAGCAAAAGCTCGATTGAACGCGATCTCCGATGCAACACTTGGGAAGGCATCCAAACGTGCCATTTTGGCCCGGTTTGCCGCGAAAGGGTTAAGTTGGTTCCGCTGGAGCACTAAGACCCACTCCAGCAAAATAATACTTCGAAGTACTTAGGTAATAACAAAGTTGTTCGTAAAAAAAGCAAGCACACACAACGGATACTATGTGCCTTAAACCTTATTATCAGTGTGTTTTACCATACTTTGGGGTAGCTGTCGTTAGTACTTGACGGCGTTTTGTTGCGCCGTCCTACGTGCTTTGCTGTACGCCACTTGGTTCCAGTGCGACTCCCACGTTTTGCTTCCGGTGTGCGCCTTCACATGACGCCACAAGACGTCGCGTCTCCGTTGGGCTCTCACAAGTCGCTCCAAGATATCACGATTCTTGACCGCAGTCCCTCTCACTGTGCGCCACCTAGATCCACGTCGTCATCGAGTTGATGAGCATCATGCTGTCCGTGTAAATGTAGAGTACTTTAGTGCCGTCGGCATCCACCATATTAGCACCGACCAAGGCTATCCAAGCTGCCAGATACTCAGCTCGGTTGCTAGTCGCCCACGGTTGAGGCACGGTCCCCACGACCTCCGCGCCTTGGCAGTGCGGGAAAATGCAGGCGTACGCCGCATGACAGTCCGGCTGGCCGTTGCGTATCGCGCTGCCACCGCAGAACGCCACCAAAGTGTCTGAATGTTTGGGGTCAGGATTCATCGGATAGGCTCACCACTGTCGGGGGTTATGGGTGTAGTCGATTTCCAGTCCGTGCGAGTTGAGGAACTCCCGAGCGCCGCCAAGCGTCGAGAACCTTTTGAGCTTCGCGTGCGAGTATCCCCTTGTCATAGCCAACGCATCGTCCAGATCAGTGTAGACCCCCACGCAGTGTCCAGCTACAACCGCGTAGTATCTGGTCATGCCTTCGGCTTGTGATCCTCAGGGTCTTTTGTCGAATGAAGTCGAACCAGGATGCACATCAGGGCGTTGATACGGGTCGATGGCACGAGTGTTGCCGACTCAGTATCTGTTCATACCTCCGGCCAGTAACTTTTGTCGAATGAAGTCGAACCAGGATGCACATCAGGCATTGATACGGGTCGATGGCACGAGTGTTGCCGACTCGCGACCAAGAGATGCACTTGCACTCGACCCCATCAATTAGGATAGGTAGGTTGATGACTGGTTTTGTCCCCATTCTAGTTTTAGTCGCACCAGCCTAAATTTCCCCTTCCTGGCTGGAATCAGGACTCGTCCGCCATCTCCGAGTACAGCTCCGAGTCTGACGGCAGCACCGACATGGCGTACGGAGACTCGAGCAGCTACAGCGAGAACGAAGACATGGAGGTAGACGCAGAAGCAGACGAGGAGGAGGAGGGTGAGGAAGATGAAGACCTGGACTGGTACTACGCCGTACCGATCGGTCGGTGCAGGGGGATCTTTACCAGCCTAAAGGACGCCTTCAGACACACGCGGGGGTACTCCCGCTCGATGTTCAAGAAGTTCCCGACGTTTGAGGAGGCCCATGAGTTCCTCAATCAGTACGGACTTCGAGTCGATCATGGCTACAATTACGCAGATGGGACCCGACTTTGGTTCGCTTACGCCATGAACAGCGGGGGTGGGGACTTCCCGGATCCTCTGCACCCCAGCTCCTTGGTGGCATTCTGTGGCGGGAGTGCACTTCGCAATGGCGAGCCGGACTGTGACGCAGTGTATGCGTGTGTTTTCCCACACCAGCGAGATTGGGACGTTGTGGAGCAAGTGGAAGGGCCCTGGCCGACCAGTAACCGAGCCGAGTACATGACAGCTTTGGCTGCACTGCAGCGTGCCAATATCGAGGACAAGCACAAAACCAAAGTGCTGTTCATCTACTCGGACAGCAAGCTGCTGGTGGAGTCCATGAGCAAGTGGGTCTACAAGTGGCGGAACAATGGCTGGCGCACGGTGAACGGCACGGACGTCCAGAACCGCGATCTTTTGGAGAATAATGGCTGCTCAAGGAAATCGCCGAGTGCAGTGGTGTCGAGTGAAGGCGCATAGTGGAGGGCGGTACTGGGAAGCGTTCTGGAATGAGATCGCTGGAGCTGAGGCGAGAGGAGAGGCCCAAGAAGATTGAATGGGGTTTCAAGGTAAGGGGTTGTGAACTTGTGAGAGTCAGCGTTGGGAGGTTGTTTCAAGACTTCTTGGGAGCCGTGCGGAGCAGTGTGGACTCTATATGCCCTTCATTTCAATTATATGTAATCCATTCGAACTGGAAAGAGAAATCGATACCTATGAAGAAGAAATGGAATCACAGCACGTGGTTAGTTTGGCGTTGAGTCTTACGAGCATTGTTCACTGACTTACCAAAGTGTACAACGCGGAATGTCAACGTCATTAGAACCCCCATGAGTAGAGTTACCTGGATGAACGCCATTTGCTTTTCCAGCACAAACGCAAGCTGGTACAGCGCATTAATCCCGCAGTTGCGCTTCGTGATCTGTCCGAGCACCACAAAAGACCCGAGCTCCAGAAGTGCGTACAGGAACATTCTTAACACCATGCCATTGACATTTTCAAGAGTGACCCCGTGCATTTCCGTGTGGTACTGCGCGCTGGATTGGTGAACCATCGTCAAAATGAACGCGCCGTACAGCAGAGGAATGATCACCTCCACGTACTCGGTCAACACGAGACATTCGGACGTGAATAGCACCTCGAGAGCGTCCTTCAGGACAACAGAGCTGTCCACAACGGATCTTCTTCGGCTTGAGTATATCGAAGCTCTTCTATCGGGTAGATCTGCTGGTGGTGAATTATTGCGGCTGACTATCAACGGCGGGCTAGGCTGTACGGAATTGGAGTTGCTCGGATATCGGCCTCTCGCCAGTACTAATTCACCAGGAGTCGGTCGGATCGATGCTGACTGCGATGGGACGCGGTTGATACTCGGCAAGTGATCAAATAATTTGGCTATGGACCCTGTTTGGCGGGCATTTTCGAGAATCGTTAACAGACTGTTGCTCTCCGGTGAAACTTGGTGTTCAATGCAAGAACGCACGCGTATTCCAGCTCGAATTTGCTTGTGAAGGACCCCGGGAGAGGAGCACAGCCACCGGACAGCTTCCAGTAAATTACCATTGTAAGCAGTGTTGGTAGTAGGGCCGACAACTCGTTGGGTACGAGCAATGATACGAAGCGTTCGCTGGTGGAGTTCTTGTAATTCCACTGCATTTTGCATAATGTCGACAATCACAATCGCCACCAGCGTTGACATCGACAAGCTCTGCATAAACGTCGCCAGGTACAGCGCATCGAAAAAATCGACAGTGAAAACGGCGTGGACCGGGATCATGTCCTCTTTGTGCGAAGCTGCCATGGCAAACACCTTCTTTATCACCAGCCGAAATGCCGGGAGTAGCATAATTACTGGCAGCTCGTAGTTCGTGTGGTTTGTCTTAGTGAAAAGCACTTGGTAAAAAGGGTACACGACGTAGAGGAAAGCTTGCAATATCGAGATTTGCTTCATTCGACGAAGTAGCTCGTGCTGATGAAAGATTTCCCAAAACGCACGGGACCCCATCACAATCCTGATGTAAGCCAATATAATCAGCGAAGTTACTCCACCAAGCGTGAACATATAGAATGGGATAGGAAATACCCACACCGTCGCTGCCGCTATTCCACTCGAAATGTATCCAATCCCGGTAGCAATGCAATAGAAGATCGTGCATAGAGTAGAGATCTTATGAATGCCTATCCACAGCCGCAGGTGAACAGTAGTTGCAATGCCGACAGCAATTCCAACTATTCCCACGCGAAACCAAAAGCCGTAGTTGGCCTTCCAGCCAGCCGCTGGGTCTTGAAGAGGAATACTTTCTTGCAACAAAACGACTGCAAAAACTAATAGTGGACTGCCGACGGTAACAAGCAACACTCGAGTTAACGATGTGTCACGAGAATATTCCTCCAGGGCCAGCATCCTTTCAATCGAGTACTTCCCCCCGTAGTGCGCGAGTTGAACTGCGAACCATGCGTCGACGAGCTTGGAGAACCGGGCTTTGCAGAATCCATGTAGTTGTTGGCGTGCGGATGGCGGACGTGACGACGTTGAGGCCATATCGTCCCGCTTCAGGTGAAAATGTCTTCTGAGCAGTCAGACTTCGTCTATATTATTCATAGCTCCAACCATTTCCAGGCTTAGTTCCCAGTCACGCAACCGTTTTAGTGTCCACGGCGAAACGAGTTCGTGTCTTATCTGTTCTTACTGCACGGTCGATTGGAAATTATAGAAAGAAGACCCCAGGTACTTGACCTAATTTGAGACTTATTTCGAAGCTAGCACTTTGACGGCTAAGTGTTATAGTGTAGTATAGTAGTGCGCAGGACAGCAGTATTGAATGGTACTTCGAAGCACGTTTAGTTCGCGATGCGACAGCAGTAGTGAAATCTTTATTATCCCATTCATTTAGGTGTTATCCACTCGAATTTAAAGGAAAAGTCGACACCTGATAAACCAACCACGCAAAAAGAGTTTGTCATCGAGGTTTATCACTAGCGTATCGGTATGCAAACGTACCGAAGTGTACAACGCGGAATGTCAACGTCATTAGAACCCCCATGAGTAGAGTTACCTGGATGAACGCCATTTGCTTTTCCAGCACAAACGCAAGCTGGTACAGCGCATTAATCCCGCAGTTGCGCTTCGTGATCTGTCCGAGCACCACAAAAGACCCGAGCTCCAGAAGTGCGTACAGGAACATTCTTAACACCATGCCATTGACATTTTCAAGAGTGACCCCGTGCATTTCCGTGTGATACTGCGCGCTGGATTGGTGAACCATCGTCAAAATGAACGCGCCGTACAGCAGAGGAATGATCACCTCCACGTACTCGGTCAACACGAGACATTCGGACGTGAATAGCACCTCGAGAGCGTCCTTCAGGACAACAGAGCTGTCCACAACGGATCTTCTTCGGCTTGAGTATATCGAAGCTCTTCTATCGGGTAGATCTGCTGGTGGTGAATTATTGCGGCTGACTATCAACGGCGGGCTAGGCTGTACGGAATTGGAGTTGCTCGGATATCGGCCTCTCGCCAGTACTAATTCACCAGGAGTCGGTCGCCTTCTCGCAGCCACTTGGCCATCTCTAGATGGCTTCCCTGCAGTGCGAATAAAACTTCAATGCCGTTCCACTCGACGCCGTCGAATCGCGCTGCCAGCCACTGCAGAATCTCCAACCGTCCGAACTTCGCCGCTTCCGCAGCAGCCGACCTCGGGACGGAGCACTCGCGTGAAGTGGGCTGCTAGGAGCTCAACCAGCTCCGAGTTCCCAGCAGTTCATGAAGCGACGCTACGACGTGGGGCAGGCGAAGGGCTTCAGGACCATTTCGACACACGACACGCACGCAGACCAGAGCTTGGAGATGCAGGTCGGTGGTGTCGAGGGAGGGAACTGGAGCCGGGACAACGCGGTGCTGCAGCAGGCGACGGCACTTACTCATGGCTCCTTGGCGAACGTTGTTAATGAAGCGTCGACGGTTTCTTTTTTTCTTTTCAAGAAAGTGATTTATGCAGGCACTAAACCGTAGTTCCTGGCGCCGATGAATACAGATCCATCGCTTCACCGCTCTTCACCGGCATGCATTAGTGCTTCGTCGAATTCAGCACGCATTGCTTCGTAGTGCTGAAGAACTCGCGAGAAGAACGGGTCTTCCAGCGGAGTTCGAGTGAGTGGATCTACCGGGTAGATAGATCCCTGGAAGCGAGCACAGCTCCTCCCACTCCCATCTCCATCGGTACTTTTCCACGAACGAAGAAATGAACTGGGCCGAGTATTGCGAGTACAGCCAATCCAAGAACTGCTGCAACAGAAGGCGCTGTTCACGAGTATTCTCGAGCGCATCCAGTAGGTCGCCGTTGAGCTCCATGCAGATGTACACCACGGCATCAAAGCGGCCAGCATCCAGAGCTCTGGCAAGAACATTGGATCCCCGAATATTTGCTCCTTTCTTCTCGTGAAGCCAACGCACGATATTCAGGTGGCCACATGTGGCTGCTAAGTTGATAGCAGCATCTGTGCAGCCCTCGGTCCTGTGTGAGTCCAGCCATAGCACCATATCGAAATGCCCGTTCTTCGCGGCCTGGTCCATTGCTCTGGTCGTGCATTCCTTTCCATGCTCGTGCAGCCACTTGACAGTCTCCAAGTGTCCATTGGCCGCCGCGTCGTCCATGGCACAATTAGTACAGCTCGTGCCGCTCTCCACCAGCACCTTCACCGTTTCGAGATGGCCTTCAGCGGCGGCAAAATCCACGGCATGCATCGAACAGGCTTCGCACTGGTACTTGAGAAGCCACTTCACAATACCCAGAAATCCTTTCTTGGCAGCACTATTCATCGCTCTTGTCGTGCAGCCCTCCCACCTGTTATAACGCAGCCACTTTACCACTTCCAGGTGCCCGTTTCCAGCCGCGGTGTCCATGGCGGCTTTCGTGCAGCCTTCAGCTCGGTTTCCATGAAGCCATTTGACCAAATCTAAGTGTCCATTACCGGCAGCAGCATCCATCACCTCCGTTGTGCACCGCTCGTTCCAGTTATCGTGCAGCCATCGAATCAGTTCCAAGTGACCATGCGCCGCAGCAGCAACGTACACAGCGTTAGAACAAATAGTGGAGTCACGTTCCAAAAGAAGGCGCACTATGTCGAGTCTTCCGCGACCAGCAGCCTCAATTAGAGCCCGTTCCAGCGCGAAGCACTTGCCGCGACGGAACGATAGCAACTGCTCAATTGTGTCGTAGTCAGCGCAAGACGCCACTAAGCCCAAGTTCACAAAGCCGTCGTAATATTCGAGAAGCCACTTCAAAATTTCCATGTGTCCGCCTTCCGCCGCCGCATTAACGATGCTGGAAGGACTTCCTTCCCGACCGAAGAACGAATGAGCCCACTTCAAGGCCTCCAGGTCCCCACTCTTGACTGCTGCCTGCATCCACGCAAGACGAGAGACCTTGTTCACACGAGGCACCAGCCACTGCGCTAGCTCCAAGTGGCCGTGCTCCAAAGCGGACCCAACAAAACGGTGACTCTTCTCAAAATCAACGTGGGCCTCGTCGTTGGCCTCATCAACATCTCCATTAGGAGCCCCTCCGCCGCCGGCAGGACGCGCGATGGTTGTAGCGTGATTAACGAAGAGGAGTTCGATAATATCTCGTCGTCCAGAGGCTGCAGCAGTATCGACAGCTTCAAACGAGACTTTCAAATCCGGGAAAGCCGCCAGGAGTATCTGGACAACCACCAGTTGGCCGGCTCGAATAGCGCTCTGCATTCCCTGATTGAATTGCCAGCATCGAAACGCCGGGTATTTCTTCACGCTGTCGGCTGGCTCGTGCTCATCCATCTCAATGATTCGTCGCAGGAATATTGGTGCGTCCTTGCATGCTTGGGCGACAGTTCGTGGCTGCCCCAAAAACTCGCCGATCGTGCGCGTAATTTGTACTGGAATGCCGCAGCTGCGGAAGGTCAACTCCGGCGTTCTAGCGTCAACTTGTGCCGGGGTCCAGCCAAGACGTAGCTGCGGCTCCATTTGGGTGTCTTCACGTAGCTGGCGGGTGGGGAGGGGGAACTCTGGCGGTTTAAGTGCTGATTGCAAACTGAGCTAAAGCATGCTTGTAGAGTAAGTGACCGACCCCACACAACCCCTTTCTACATATGCGCCGCTTCTCTTCTTCTCGCCCCTCCTCGTCCCTAGCTGGCGACCGCATCGACTATTCTCCATACTTGGCAGTAAGTACTAACTTACGCAATACCTCCTCGTCGCAGCATCAACGGCAACAAGACCTTGAATGTAAGAAACGTAAACTTTTCTGCCTTTCCTTCCTCATGCAGCGATCGCTGCTGCATTGTCAAGGTCGACCGTACATTCCTACTTCATCTGCTCCGGCTGCTTGACTTCACTGGAGCACTCTAGTAAGGTGGGATCTGGGCTCGTGGGTCGTTCTCCTGGTACTCGGACGCCGCGTTGGCCCACATCGGAACGTGCAGTACTCCGCCCGGATTCGTGTAGTAGCCGAAGACGTCTTCGAGTCGGGTCTTGGCGTATACTCGAACGCGATGTGGGACTTGTACAGCGTCCGGACCAACTCACAACGAATGTGTTGACGGTAAAAATAACGGTAAAAGCTCACAGCTGTAATATAGCGCAACCAGAAATTATCGTAAACGTGACTGAGCAAACTGCACTCGCCGTGTACTACATATATTACTGTATTCTGAAGTCCAATGTTGTTAGTCATCTGGAATCGTAAACAAAATGTCCTTCGGCCGGCCCACGTGATGGTAACGCAGGGTGGGGTTCATAGATGATATCGGAGATTTCAGCGCCTTGATCGACGCTGATACCCGGGTGTGGCGTGGCGAGCGAATAACATCTCCATGATCTCCAGTCGCCCATAGGCTGCAGCAGTGTTCACACGTCAAACGAAACTTTCAGCTCCGGGAAACCCACCACCAACACCTTGACTACTTCCATGAATCCTCCTCGAATGGCGCTCTTCATCCCTTCGTTCAATTGCACGCTATAATACGGCTCGAGTTCGTCCTTTATTGCAGCAACACTGGAGTATTCGTCTTGTGGCGGTGGCTCCACAAGTGTCTTGATCAAGGCTAAAAGGTGGGGTATTCCTTTCAGGTTCCATCAGCGGATGATCCCTGGCAAGCACGCTTGGACTTCCTCATCGACCAGCACTTGGTGCTCCATGCTCGCAAGACTGCGAGTGAGATTGGAGGAGGAGTCGATTTTAACGAGCTTTTCGACCAGCAAGTCTGATAGTGTGGTTCAGTCGCTGTGTCCGAGGCGTATGCTGTGGTGATTCTCGTGCACGATGTCCAGGTTCCCGTTCTCTGCAGGCGCGTACATGCATTCGCGGACCACAACCTATTTACTGTAAGTACATTACAAATGTAATAGCTCATGTTGTCCGGAAAAGTTTACGTGCGCCATATATCCATACACTTCCGACTTCCTCGCAGAACTGCCATCAAGCAAACTATGTTTTCCTCCTTAGGATTTCAACCTTCCGCGCATGGCACCTGGAGCAAGTTTCTACGCACCCGTTCTTCTCATCTTCGTCTGCAATGGACTGGTACAACGAAGCATCATTGTTCCAGAAGCAGTTCGGGGTTGTGCACTCCCAGTAGCAGTTAGTCAAGCCACGACCACCACCCTTGGGGTGATGACGAGACCCCCAAGCATGAGTACAGCTGCACTGCGCGCACAGATTCTGCTCTTCACAATGCAGAGTCTTCCTCGTGTGGGGTTTCTCGCAGCCTTCGCAGGTGCTGGCTTTCTTGCATAGAAACTTGTGGTGCTCATGCTCTCCTCGTACTGTGCACAGACTGCTAGAGTGGGTCGCACAGGTAACGGGGCAATGATCGCACTTTAGTTCGCCACAGCCTAGCCACAGCGCGCAGCCGTGAGCACATGTGAAGCGATGCGTGGAGCAACGGTGCTTCTCTTCATGATGAACGACCAGAGTGCACGGCTTTGCCAGCGCGCAGCCACACAGCAGACCACAGTAGCGATAGTGCTCGTTGAACTCGCTTCGTAGCCACAATAGTAGTCCTTGCTGCACTGAAGTTAACACGTTCCCGGTCAGCTTGAATGGGGAGAGGTGCCGGGAGATAATATTGTCCTGCATCAAAGCAATCTCGGGCCAGGAGTACCCCCGTCCACGCGTGACCATGCCCTCAACGATGTCTTTCAGCACCGACAGCACCTCATCTCGAAGCTTGGCCTCTGCCTCTTCGCGCATCCGCACAGTATCAATTGTCTCCGTTGCCTTTGATGTCTGGATCTCCTTAATGACCTCTTGCACAATGTTCATCGAGACCTCCAGCGGCTGTGCACCCAATGGATTGTCGATCAACTCGCGCAGCTCCTTCACTTGCGAATGATATTGGTCGCTTGACTCGCGAAAGTCTGGCACGTTGATGCACTCGATGCCTGAAAAGACCGACTGGAGTTTTGGGCTGGCGCGCACATTTGCGAACCAGGAGGGGTCCCTGTTGCGGGCCTCGTCCAGTTCCTCCGGTGTGCACTTGTTGAGTACCGCGACCAGCACAGGCTTAGTCGCCCGCGCACTCAATTTACTGGCAGCCGCGGCGACTTTGTTGGCAAACGCATCCACAGCATTGGTCGAGTCAAAGCAGTAGATGACGGTGGAACACACGGCGACAGCCACGACCATGAACGCCAGCTCGAGCTTGTCACGGTATTCGGTTGAATAGTCGTACACGAATTGTTTGTCCTTCTCATCAACCAGCGCGTTTAAACGGTCCATCACGACTCTCTTGGCGTCAGGGCCGTCAGCGCCCTCCGTGTCCAGTATGCCGTAGTTCTGGGCGATCGTGAGGTCAATACCCACCGTGGTCTGCTTGTCCCTCGAGTTGCCTGCCCGAAGCTTGAGTCCGTAGAGAGCGTTGCACAGCGTCGACTTGCCAGTTTTCTGGAGACCGAAGATGCCGACCAACTGCACGTCGCTCAGGATTTTCTTCTTGGTTGGCTGAGGCTCAAACTGCACGTGTCGCGCCGCCGCGCCAAACAGCAGGTCACCCGCGTCGTCCTCGCGCTGTTGGAAGTCACCGAGACCCGGCAAAGTGAAGCCCACGAGTTTCTGGGTCGGATGCACGGACAGGTTCCCGAAGAAAAGCTGACTCATCGCCAGCGGGGTATTATCCTTTTGCGTCGTCCATAGTTTTGTCCATGTTAACGTTAGCTTCTCCCATAGTGTCGTCCATATCGGTATCGCCCGAAAGGCGCCGTACCGCCAGGCCACGGAGGCGCAAATCAGCAAGAGCGGCATAGTGAGCCACGAAGGGAAGCCGAGGTCAAGGCCAATGCTCAGAAGCAGGACAGGGACAGCAAACAGTGCCATCGTAGGCATGGTGTCGCGGAGAAGACGCTTGGATGTCGCTCGTAGCTGCACAATCAGATTTTCCACCGACAGGACCTTGTCGTCCGCCCACACGCGCAGCTCGTCAATGGAGCGGGCAAGCGAATCCAGCCCCGGCACGTCGAACTTGAACATGGCTGGGTTTGGCCGCCGCAGAATCGAAAGTGCGCTCTGCCTCGCAGAGCCCAACCCAGTGGAGCTGGAAAAAAAATCAAGACCGGGAGAAGGCACGCCAGAGGGCCGTTGGAGGTTGAGTGGAGACACCAACAAAACCATGGAAAGCTCCTCGGTTGAGCTGTCCACCACTATTCGGGCTAGAATCTGGGGCTCCTAGCGGCGCTGACATGAATGAAGCACATGAACTGCTAGTAGCAGCCGAAGACGTCTTCGAGTCGGATCTTGGCGTACTCGAACGCGATGTAGCTCACCTCGCTAAGCTTCAGCGCATCCAGCGTCTGGACCAACTTACAACAAATTTGCTGACGGTAAAATAGCGTTAAAATAGCTCACAGCTGTAATATAGCGGAACCAGAAATTATCGCATAAAGTGTACTCGCCGTTTACTACATGTTATGCTGTCTTCTGTAGTCCAATATTGCTAGTCATCTGGAATCGTGAACAAACTGTCCTTCGTGCTGGCCCACGTGATGGTAACGACCTCATTCGCGAATTCTCTCCGCTCGCCTCAAGTCGCTCCGAAGTCCACAAGATCCATGATTCAGCCCAAAATCAAGCTCACGTACTTCGACGGCAAGGGCTACGCCGAGCTCGCGCGCATGCTCTTCAATTATGGCAACGTGGCGTTTATGGACGAGAGGATCTCGCTCGAGGACTACGAGGCAATGAAGCCCAAACTCCCGTTCGTCCAGGTGCCAATCCTAGAGGTTGATGGCACCGTTTACTCTCAGAGCATGGCAATGGCCCGCTACGCCGCTAAGCTTGCTGGCCTCTACCCGGGTGACGCGGTGACGGCCCTCAAGGTCGACATGTTCTCCTCTTCGCTGTGCGACCTGGACGCTCCGTTCATGGACTTCATGTGGAAGACGGAGGACGAGACTGAGAAGGCCGAGAAGAAGAAGGTGTTCATCGAGGAGACGGTGCCGACGTTTCTCACCACCTTTGAGAAGCTAGTGGCTGGCAAGTTCGTCCTCGGCGACACGATCTCGTACGCCGACCTGCAGCTATCTGTCTTCCCGGACTTTAGCGTGGACGGATACCCCAAGCTCGCAGCGACGGTGAGCAACGTCAAGACGGAGCCCACGATCGCCGCCTACCTGAGCCTGGCAGAGCAGTCGGCGCAGGGCCTCCGAAAATAGCATTGTCAATAACATTATTTCAGAAAATAACAATAAATTACGCATTTCGGCGGGTTCAGCCATCTACCGTGATAATTTATTGATGTGCTTTGTTACCTTTATATAATAATGTTAGCGTTTTACCAGCCATCTTCTCGCTTCCAGTCGTTCAGAAGAACTGGAATCACTGGTTGTCTGCGTTGCTAGTTGCAGCTCATTTGGCAGCGCTCACTTTTCAATTTTCACTTCTCAAGCCTCCAAGACCTCATCCAGCATGGTTCGCGCTATCCGCCCCCCTCGCCCTACCTACACGAACTCCCAAGTCTCGGGGTTTTACTTCCGCCCGTGTCGCGACGAGAACGACGAGGTGATTCTCTAGTATTTCCGTTGCCGTTGCGGCACGGTTCGGAAGCAAACCCATAGGAACGGGTACTCCAACCTGATGCAACATATCAGGCGGGAGCACCCTGACTACGAGACCGTCATGCTCGACGCTACGACGGCGGAGACAGGCTCCCTCGTGAACTTCGTCCGCCACTCGGCGCTCAACCTCCACGGCTGGATGGTTTGGATTGTCATGTGCAACCTGCCACTCTCTTTTTGTGAGAGCCGAGAAGCTCGGCGGTACGTGTAAGCATAAGGTCATTGTGTTTACATTACTACGGAAACTAACAACTTTACTTTATGGATGTTATTCAGCTACTCCAGCCTGGACCCCATCTCGGAGGAAACGCTGCGGGCTGGCATGGACGGGGTCGTCGTCGCCGTCGAGCGTTCGATTGCGTCGGAGCTCCCAGCACGCTTCGGCATCATGCTCGACGGCTGGACACACGCATCTGAGCACTACATCGCCGTGTTCGCGTGCTATGAGGTGAACGGCTGTCCCAAGACAGCGCTACTCAGCATGGCCCCGCTGCTGGACGCGCTGGACGACGATCTCTCCGCGCAGGGCCATCTCGAGTTTCTAGCGACCATGCTGCAGCGCGATTACGGCGTACAGCTGGCGCAGTGTCGCTTCCTCGTAGCTGACAACTGCGCCGTAAACCGGCGGCTGGCAACTCTTATGAGTGTGCCGCTTGTTGGTTGCGCAAGCCACCGCCTGAACCTTGCTGTTCAGGCGGACATGGCGTCGCATGAGGACGACCTGGCTGCTGTGCAGGCGCTCATGGTAAAATTGCGTACTCTCACCCAATCTGCCAAACTACGGTAAGCGCCAATGTGTGTCAATATGTCTCTAACACAATTTGTGTACTTTTGTAATTTTTTTTACAAAATAGGTTGAAAACGCCACTTCGGCCTGTCATTCGCCAGGACACGCGCTGGAGCTCTACGTTCGAGATGGTACGGCGCTACCTCCAGCTCCTCGAGTTTCTTGACGCCGAAGACGACGACCTCATGGACCTGCTGCCGCCGCCGGCGATGAACAAGCGACTGCGGGCATTGTACCAGGAGCTGTGCGACATCGAGTCGGTCTCGAAGGCCCTTCAAGGCCACGACGTCGACCTGCTGGACGTTCGCGAGTGGTTCGACGAGCTGATCGCTGTCAAGCCACAATATGGGCGCTACATTGGTAAGTTTATAACTGTTCAATATTTTCACTAACAATTGTATAATGGTTTTTATTTTGCAGGGCCTCGGGCCAACATTGTGCACAACCCCGATTTTGAGGCTGGGTGTGTACGCGTTCTCCGCGGGAAGGCGCAGCGGCTGACGCGTGCTGAAAAGGCCGCTTTGCAGCCCTTCGAAGCTGCCAGACCGGACGACGCGGCCGCGAGTGAAGAGGAGGAGTATCCAGCCGCGTCGTTCGTGGAGCGTCTTCGGAAGCGCCGGCGGCTTGCACAGGACCGTGTCAAGTATGAGCAGCTGCAGAGCATCCCACCCACGTCGAACGTGGTGGAACGCTTCTTCAGCATTGCTCGGGTGACGTTAGGTCATCAACGACACGGCCTGCTGCCACGCACGCTTGAGACGATTTTGTTTCTCCGCCAGAATCGGTCGTACTGGGATGCAACGACTGTGGACAATTTGAGCTAGACGATAAGCTAACTGGTGTCTTGTTAATAGACTTCATGCTTTTCATAATGACATTATTTATTGTGGTACGTTGGGGGCAATGCCATAATGTACTGTTGTATTGGTAGGAGCGTCAGGGGATAATTTATTCTGCAACACCCAACCTACTAAATAAAAATGCCATATTCGGAGGCCCTGAGTCGGCGCAGTAGACCATGCGGTTTGTACGTATGCCCACAGGCTGAGCTGTTAACTCTTTAATAGCAGCAATTCGACCGAACGTCTAGACACCGTGAAGGGGTATACTGATCTTGGATCCCATGGGTGTATTTCCACTTGAACTCTACGTCCTCAACGCACCTCATCCGTCCTCCCATTGCGGGGACGGATGCAGTTGGGGGGGGGGCAACTGTGAATTTATCCGGAAGTGCAATGAGCGGAGCTCAATGGAACAAGTGGATAATTAAATTAGTTTTCCGGATTGCAGGAAGAGAACAACTGCTGGATAAGGTCAGCAAGCACGGATGCACTCCTGTCCGAGGCAACTCATTCTGGGTTGAGCGTCACGGAGCTCAAACGACAAGCCAGGAAAAGCAAGCTCCGCAGGGCTCAGGCTGTGGCCGGCACGAAGCACGCTCAAGTCGGCACTAGGCCTTTGGCACCATAGAAAAATTCTACCCTCCCACCATCCCTTAGGGGCTGCCATTCGGCACATTGCCCTCTAACCAAAGTGCCTCATGCCTTTGGCCCATTAACACAATGAAACACTTGATACCCCCCAATACCTGAGGAAATGTAAAAAAAAGGTTGACATGGAAATGGGTCAACAACAAAACGGGTACTTACATTTTCGACACATGTCAAAAACGATTCAAATGTCAAAAACGTTATTGACACATCCATTATTTTCTGTGGCAGGGAGCCAAAATGGTGCGTCAGAGCAAGCGCCTGCAGGTAGCGGCGGAGAAGGCGGTGGCGGCCGTCACGGCGTCCTCTCCGGCCAAGAAGAAGCGCAAGACTGTCGCCGCCACTGCGAAGGTGTCTGTCGAGGTGTCCTCGGAGCCGTCGCCCAGCCCCAAGAAGCCTTCCAAGCCCAAGGCCGCAGCCGACGCCAAGAGCGCGTGGGGTGCCCTTTTCGCTGGCCAAAAGGGTAAAAAATCCCTGGAGCGAGCGCGCCCATTACCGGCTGAACCCATTTCCGCCGACCTAAAAGCGAAAATCCAGGATTTTCCAGCGTTTGAGGGCGTTTCGAAGCGGTCGGAGGACGCTGAAATAAAAATAGTCGCGTGGAACGTGAATGGTCTCCGAGCTATCCTCAAGCGGGACGAAAGTGTCCATCTCCGAGCTTACGTGGCCCAGGAGGACCCCGACATTTTTTGCCTCAGCGAGACCAAGATCTGCCGCGACGAGCTCCAGAAGATCGAGGACTTCCTGCCCCAGTACGAGCACCAGTACTGGTCCTGCGCCGTCAAGAAGGGCTACGCCAGCACGGCCATCTTCAGCAAGACCAAGCCGCTGAGCGTCAAGGACGAGATCATCGTGGGCGACCACGACTCCAAGGGCGTGAGCAAGAGCGCCAACAGCGGCAAGGACCAGGAAGGACGCTTCCTGGCGCTCGAGTACCCCAAGTTCTGGCTCGTGCACACGTACGTCCCCAATGCCGGGGGCAAGCTGGAGCGCCTGGACTTCCGCACCAACCAGTGGGACAAAGCCATGCTGCGCGAGATGAAGGAGATGGAGAAGACCAAGCCCGTGGTCTGGTGCGGGGACCTAAATGTCGCTCATCAAGAGATCGACATTCACAACCCCAAGGGCAACAAGCGCAGCGCGGGCTTCACGGACGAGGAGCGCGAGAGCTTCGGCAACATCTTGGAGAACGGCTTTGTCGACACGTTCCGTCACCTGCACCCGGACAAGGTCGAGTACTCTTACTTCGGCTACCGCCACAACATGCGTGCGCAGAACAAGGGCTGGCGGCTGGACTATTTCGTCGTGTCGGAGAAGCTCATGCCGAATGTGGTAAGTGTATTTGGCTGGGAGGTTTAGTTTTGTTGCGTGGGGTGTTGAGACAATGGGCCTGAAACTAACTGTGTCTTGCTTGTTTTCTATTATTGTAACTGTCTTAGCGCTCTTCCTACATTCGCGGGAGCGTCGTTGGCAGTGACCATTTGCCCATCGGTTTGGAGCTGGAAGGTTTGTCGTAAGTTGGGTCGCATGTGTCTTATGTTAGAATGACGGCGAAAAACACGCTCACTTTTATCTGCGGCTGTGAAAACTTTTGCGAAACTGTTTTATCCCGGTCTGTACTACGCAACTACACTACCTCGGAGGGTTGCGTTCGTTTCACGTAGTCTCAGCTTATATTGCCTCCATAAGGCTCAAGTCACTTGGACATTTTCGTCTTGTTCGTGATGCAACTCAACGTGATAGCACTCGCGGAGAACGCAGCAGCAGGGCCAGCTCTTGAGAAGGCTGCCACCCGAAGGCTTTCGTCATTCCAGAAGATCAAGGCGGTAAATGACCGCGTGTTTGTAGCTCATCGACTGTTGTGGCTCGTATGGATTGTCGTAGGTCTAGTGCCTCTGGGGCTCTGGGGCTTCAAGCTCGAAGCTACGCCAAGTTCGTCAAGCCGCACAAGTTGCCACCTGCCCTCGTCATCCCACCAGACACGCAAAAGGAAGTGTCGAACATGACGGCTCTGTGTCTTGTGGAGGGATTCATACTGGCCGAGATCTGGTGGAACGTCGAGGCCACGCACTACTACCAAACGGGCGACGGGATCGTGTGGCACAGCATCATCCCGCAGTACAACATCCACGGGAAATACTGGATCGGAAACACCACGACAAACCCGTATCATGGAACACCTTCCTCATGTGCCAACGACAGCCTGCCCTATCACGTGTACATGTATCATGGCAGCATCGGTTTCTACTCGTTCTTCGACGACATTGTGGGGACGTTTTGTAGTACAAAACGTCCAGAGGTCCGCCAATACCATAAAAAATTGTATTGCCAGCAGCATGACTCCATAATAAAGATTTCAATATAGCGGCAAGCAATAGTAAATATTGCCGTAATTTATATTGTATTGTTAGTTATTTCTTCATGTTCTTCTAACTCTCGCTCTTCTACCACTACTTCCCGTAGGCACGCCTATCTCGATAAAATCTCTGCGATCCACAGGCCAAAACACGCCGAGCTCCTCCTCTTCAAAACGCGCAATGGCATCTTGTGGTAAATCTGACGCTGGGTGCCAAGTAGGACGGGGGTATCCAACCCAGCTCACAAAGTAGTAGTCGTTGCCATCCAGATCAGTCTTTTTTGCATAAATAAACTCAAGGGTGTATACAATGTTGAAATGAGACGCTAGGCCGCCCGAGAATGGCGGCTGGGCTTCTCTACGAGTCTGCTCCTGACCAGTAATTGTATCGACGCTAGTGTAGTGTGGAGGACCCCATTGTTGATGTCATCGGTGGTGCCATGTGATGCCATCAAACGTAGATTTGTGGTGGGCCGCAGAACCGCACTTTTTCATATTTATTGTCAATAATTGGGTCAATATCATATTGTATTGGACCAATACAATATGATATTACTATTGGTAGCTGGGATGTCCAATAATAAAGATTTTTATTGCAAAACCCAATTATTTATTGAATTGAAATATTTTTTCCCGACATACGCACACGCCCTCGGAACATTTGACATCAACGGAGTGTTCCTTGCCAACGACATGGGGGGCGTTGAGCCTAGGATGTCGTCCTGGTACGGCGTTGTGGGCGGGCTCTGGCTGGAATATCGCGGTCTCACGATCCGGCGCTTGTCTGTTCACGGGTCAAGGAACTACCACAGGGCAGCGCTGCTTTACTTGATCGTGGAAGGAATCATGACCGACTTGTTCCTGATCATCGCCAGCGATGGCTGGACGACTCGCATCCAGTGCTTGTCATTGGGCTACAACTTGTCCGGGTTGATGCTGCTGATGTTTGAGATGGTCGAGAGCATGAATTGGCTCCGAGACAAGTGGCGACAGCGAGTCAAGCGCTCCTTCTTCAGCTACGAGAGGACATTTGTGGGGGAGTTCGTGAGCGCTCTCGTGTTCGAGACTCTGATGTCTGGCTTGAATGGCTCAGACTTGAAGCGGTCAAAACCGACAGCTCTATGTGTTTCGTACTACTTCTGGAGCTTCATCAGCCACGGTGCCATTGTGGTTGTTGTTCTCGGCATTATACTAGCTGTTCGCATAACATTGGGCGCTGATCTACGTGGCGCTTACGCACCGCACTTTGGCAGTGCTGACTGAGCCTTGCTGTGTCGACACAACGTTGGGACCTAGAAGTAGACTCATGATGCTTGGAGGCTATCGGTGGGAGTGTGCCAGACTTTACTACAGGGTCACGGCGCTGAAAGCGTTCGGGATGCGGAAGATGGAAGAGGACGGTGTCAGCTACTTGGTGCTTCATAAACTGAATTGGTTTACCGCCCCGAGAAATAATTTGGAGGCGATTGGGATTATCTCGGGTCAGCGAGTTGAGCCCTACAAGGAAAAAGTTTGCACGGGTCCCATCAGTTTTCTCCGTCGGAAATTGGGCGGCTCCTTAGACCGAGTGGATAACTATCACCACGTTCGGCCAAACCAAGTTTTGTCGAGTCCTTGACCAGACGATGCTGAAATCTTTGTACCAGTAGGCAGTGGGGTCGGAGCAATGGAATATTAGCAAAAAAAACGCAGCGAGTGCGAATGAAATCATTGAAATTAACGATCAAGCTTGTATTCTCTTATCAGCAACTTTCCCTCGACAATTGCATCGACCCCCCCAAGAAAAATATAGCGCAACCCGTGCGTGGGTTTCAGTGTTCAAGCTATTCGTAAACAGCAGTCACCTACTCCGCCGCAGCAGCAACTGACAACTGATTTAACGAATCCATTTGTCACTTGGCGATCTACTCCGCCTCGCTAGAAACACAAGACCTCTAGCAACGATGTATCTGAGCGGCTTTCTCGTCGACGTCATCTTCACCGAGGAAGTTGATCAGCTGTCGCTTGGCTGGATCCTGCCTCACCTCCTACTCATAATCTACTGCGTGCCAGCAAACCTATTCTAACCCCGCGCAATACTTCCCTACCCAGTTTATTCATCAAGAGGGCTACAAAATCAAGCACTGCCGGGTCTCCTCACCTAGTGTGCGAATCCCTTTTGATGAGGAGATTCAACGTTGCATCAGCTTTCTACTACTTCTCGAAGTACTTTGGATCCGTGATAGCACTTCAACGTCTCAACATGGCGGAAGTGCAGCATCTTCTGGACCTGAGCGCGACCCAACTTGGTGAGGCCGAACCTGTTGGTGGTTATCCACTTGGTCCAAGGAGCCACCAAGCCTCCGGTAAAGAAAGCCGATAGGACCCGTGCAAATAGTTTCGTCGCACGGCTCAACTCGCTGGCCCGATATGACCCCAATCGCCTCCAAATTATTTCTCGGGGCAGTAAACCAGTGCAGTTTCTGTATCACCAGATAGCTGACATCGTTCTCTTCCATCTTCAGCATCCCAAACGCTTTCAGCGCCGTGACCCTGTAGTAAAGTCTGGCACACTCCCACCGATAGCCTCGAAGCATCATGAGTCTACTTCTAGGTCCCAACGTTGTGTCGACACAGCAAGGCTCAGTCAGCACTGCCAAAGTGCGGTGCGTAAGCGCCACGTAGATCAGCGCCCAATGTTATGCGAACAGCTAGTATAATGCCGAGAACAACAACCACAATGGCACCGTGGCTGATGAAGCTCCAGAAGTAGTACGAAACACATAGAGCTGTCGGTTTTGACCGCTTCAAGTCTGAGCCATTCAAGCCAGACATCAGAGTCTCGAACACGAGAGCGCTCACGAACTCCCCCACAAATGTCCTCTCGTAGCTGAAGAAGGAGCGCTTGACTCGCTGTCGCCACTTGTCTCGGAGCCAATTCATGCTCTCGACCATCTCAAACATCAGCAGCATCAACCCGGACAAGTTGTAGCCCAATGACAAGCACTGGATGCGAGTCGTCCAGCCATCGCTGGCGATGATCAGGAACAAGTCGGTCATGATTCCTTCCACGATCAAGTAAAGCAGCGCTGCCCTGTGGTAGTTCCTTGACCCGTGAGCAGACAAGCGCAAGCTCTCCTGTACGAAGATCATCGCCTCCTTTTGGTTGATACCGACGCCCATTTCGGTACACTTTTGACCGTAGCGTCGGCACACGAGGTAGCTCCGACGGATCGTGAGACCGCTATATACCAGCCAGAGTCCGCCCACAACGCCGTACCAGAACGACATCCTGACCTCCTCACTCCCCGTATCGTTCGTTAAGAACACTCCGTTGATATCATACGTTCCGAGCGCTTTAGCATACACGTAGCCAGTGTTGTCCTCGGCGCAATAAGTCCCAACCACCTCGTCGTAGAACGAGTAGAACCCGATGCTGCCATGGTACATGTACAATTTGTAAGGCAAGCTGAGCTTGGCCATGAAGCGGGTGTTCCACGATACGGATTTGTCGTGATATTTCCAATCCAGTAGTTCCCATGCAGATTGTACTGCGGTATGACATTGTGGCAAACGATGCCGTGGTCAGTTCTGTAGTAGTGCGTAGCCTCGAGATTTCACCAGATCCCAGCCAGGATGTATCCGTTCACAGGACACACGGTCGTCAGGTTTACCATTTCCTTTGGGGTGTCTGGTGAGACGACGAGGACTTGGGGTATCTTGTGCGGTCTGAGGAACTTGGTGTAGCTTCGCGACCAGCAACAACCGATGCGCAGCAAACACGCGGGCATTTATCGCCTTGATCTTCTGCAGTGACGAGTGCCGTCGGATGGGCCCCTTCTCCAGAGCTGGTGCGCCACGTTCTGCGCAACTGTGATGACGTTGAGCTTCATCTCGCGAGAAGACGGAACATTGTGAAGGGACTTGACTCCAGACGCAACATGAAACAACTGGAAACGAACGAGTTCCTCCAAAACTACCAAGGTCGTGCAGTTGCCTTATTTATAGGGGTAGAACAAAAGTCACAGCTCAATCGACTAGCACGGCGAACAGTTTAGCCTACCGGTAGGGAGACACACCTGCGAACTGTAGTAATTCATTATCATGCAAGGCAACCACCTTGGCGGAAAGTTCTAGTAAGACAAGCAGCCTCTGGCTCAATGCCAATTCCAGCTTGGCCTACTCACGGGCGACCCCAATTTAACGTCCCCCCTCAGCCCTGCTGCACATGCCTTCGTGCAGCACTGTCCACTTGGAGTAATGGTTGGTGAGGCAGTTGTCCTTGTCGACCTCGCATTGGTTCTGGTACGTGACGCCGTTACTGCCACAGACTTGAGGGTCATTCTCGGAGCAGACATTCCAGCCGCAGCCCGTGGAGCCCTCCTCGGAGGACGAGGCGTCCTCGGCGGAGATACCGACGATCACGAATGAGGCAAGAACAGCAATAGCGGCGAACTTCATGGTGCTTTAGTCTTGAGTTCTGGGGTGAGGGTGTTCTCGTTCGGGGAACTTTGTAAGTGACGTAGACATCACTGTGGCGCGCTGCACTGCTGCACTGCTTGCATCTCATTCCACGTGAGCCATGACAGCCACGCACCAGTAGATTATAGGATCTGGTTCTCTTCTGCGTTACGCGATCGTGATTGCATTCTCATTGGGATTGGAATCGTTTTTTATTGTTTTGATATCGTGGAAGCTTGCCAGGCACTCCGCTGTATGCAGCATATGTGTGGAATGAGAACTGTGAGCAGCCCAGCCACGACTTGGGGAGCCGTAAGTGTAGCGATTGCAGTGAAGCTTGTTGCTGTTAGCGGCCTCTTGTCAAGAAAGCTGCTGCGGTTGGTTTCTCTCATATACGGAAGCGGTCATCACAGTTTGTAGCGGTGATCGCCATCACTTCGCGTCACAAACGTGTCGTACACATTGAACTCCAAATCCGGGCGAGGAATTCTCATTCAGAAAATCCTCGGAATTTCACCCACTCTATAGCGGAAGTATGCTCTGTTGCTACCTTTCACAAGGTATTGGCATGTAGAATACGTGTATTGTTCGTAAGGTTGAGTGGGTTCCTCGATGCACGCTGTGCTTTGCTACGCCACAATCCGTCACTGTTAGCGTTTCTTCATTAGAGGCTTGCTACTGTACCTGCTGAGTTCAACGGCGGTTGCCAATCTCCGACGACCACTTGGGTGCGTTCTCGAAGCCGTTCGCGCCGCTCTGGTAGTCTCGGATGGTCTGGTGGATTTCCGCCTCCGAGGTCATGACGAAGGGGCCGTACTGCACCACAGGCTCATTCAAGGGCTGTCCGCTGATCACGATAAACTCCAGGCCGTCCTTCTCGTCCGTCGTCACGTGCACGCCGTCGCCATTCTGCTCCAGGACAATAGCGTGATGAGCCTCGACGTCTTCACCCGCGCACTTGCCTTTGCCAGTCAGCGTGTAGACGAACGCGTTGTGTCCGTCCGGGATCTTGTACTCGAGCTTGGCGCCCTGCTTCATCAAGAAGTGGATGTACGTCACGGGCGCCTCCGTCTCGATGGGACCTTTTTGGCCGAACACCTCGCCGGCGAACACAATGGCCTCGACCTTCTTGTCGTCGTCCCACACATGCGGCACCGTATCCCGACTGATCTCCTGGTACCTGGGCTCCATGATCTTCTTGGCCTTGGGCAGGTTGATCCAGAGCTGCAGACCGTGCGCTTTCTCCTCATTGGCTGGCATCTCGGCGTGCAGGATGCCCTTGCCCGGGGTCATCCACTGCAGATCTCCCGGTCGGAGCTCGCCCTTGTTGCCCAGGAAGTCCTCGTGGCGCATGTGGCCCTTGGACGTCGGTAGCATGTACGTGACCGTCTCGAAGCCTCTGTGCGGGTGGTCGGGGAAGCCTCCGGGCAGGCCGACGTTGAACTCGTCTAGCATGAGGAAGGGGTCCAGGTTGCGCAGCTGCTGCGAGCCCAGCGAGCGTCGCACCGTGGCGCCGACGCCTTCGCCCTGCTCGCGGGCAATGAACTTGTAGGCGATGCGTCGAGTGTTGAACATGGTGTCGGAAACGGAGGAGAAGCCGATAGACGTGGAGCTTGAGCTTGAGTCGTAGAGGTCCTGAGAGGACACACAGGCAGCGTCTCCGTTAGCCACGCACTCGGCCTCGGCGTCCAGCGTCACCTCTGCGATGGGCGATGCATCGATGGCGCAGTGGCAGACCCACGCGGAGAGGAACAAGGTAGATGCAGCTGTAGAGAGCCTCATGGAGAGGGAGACCAACCTGTGCAGGGCGAGGGAAATTCGTTACTGGAGCGGAGAAAGAGATCTCACCACCAGACGCTGTGTCAGTGCTTACGTTGATGCCCGACCCCACGTTAGGGGGACATCAACGCTGATTGGTCCGACGCAAGATTACGAGACCGGTCTGCACAAGTCGCAGATTCTAACGGCGGCATCGATTGTTGGGAATTGTCTTGGTCAACGACTTCAACTTGGCTCATGAGCGAACTTGGCTCGAGGGGCCTCATTGCGCAACTTTCTCAAGTCGAGAACAGTTCTCCAGTTTGCTGGCGGAGTATGGGCGGCCCGGTTGTGTTCTACGCCGTGACGGGAGGCCGTGTCTCGGGCGTCTTCACGTCGCTGAAGCGAGTGAAGGACGCCACTGTTGGGTACCCAGGCGCCAAGTTCGAGTCATTCTCGACGATGGCGGAAGCTGAGAACTTCATGGACGAAGAGGAAGAGCGGGTGAAAAGCTCCGGTAATGAAGCTGCTGCAGGCTGGAATGGTCCGGCGTATGCTGTGGCAGTGGGGAGGCGAATGGGCGTCTTCCGAACTAGCCGCGAGGCACTGAAACAAACTCTCCGTTACTCGGGGAATAGCCTGAAGAAGTTTTCAACCTACGTTGAGGCCGTCGAGTTCTTGGATCGCCATAACTGGCGCAAGATGCCTCAAGAGACTGCGCGTGCGAAGCCCCAAGTATGCGTCGAAGTCAGATCCAGCGATGAGGGAACTTCTCCGGAAGAAGAGAACCCCCAAGATTCCGAGAACTCTAAAATTTCACCGAAGCGTGGACGGGATGAAGACCGACCCGATGCAGCACGGGCTGCTCAACGTCGCAAAGTCAGCTACGATGACATGAAGCTACCGGGAAAAGCTGACCTTATCGCCTTCTGCCGTGGAAGTAGCGCTCACGACTGTGAAGGTAACGAGGTCGTGCAGTTGATCTGCAAGTTTCCAGTCCACCCAGACTGGAACGTCGAGGAGACTCTCAATGACCCCGATGCTACGACAGCGCGGGCGGGGCTTCTGGCCGTGCTGGAGCTTCTGAAGCGCGCGGCGCGCGAGGACCCGGACTGCGAGGCGGACGTAGTTGTCTTCACGATTGATCAACCGCTGTTTGATGCCGTTAGCGAGTGCGCGCGCGCTGGCTGGCAGTCCGTCCAGGGGGAGCAGGATCTACTCAAGCGTATTGCCAAGGAGAAGATGGGGCGCCGCATCAAGCTTCTCCACTTAGGAGGCACGTGCCTCTGGGCCTCTTGAGCGTCCCCAACCAGCGGAGACCGAGGTGGCGCCATGAGCTGGGAGCCGTTTGTGTACCGGTGAGGACAACGAGTTGGCTGGTCGTTTGTGAGTGCAGCATTCAGATTATATGTTCGTTCGTATCTTCCAGTTCATTGGAGGGAAAAGTTATGCATCAGAGCTCTACTAATCCTCGCGAAGTTGAAGTGGATGTCACTCTCCCGCGGCAGTGCCACCCGCACGCAACCCCAACCACTCGATAACGGCTGTGTCGTTTTATCCAATCAGCGCGTCCGATTCTACTACCTTCTGATTTGCCCCATACAAACCGCCAGTCACTTGTCAAGAGGCGAGAAGCCGCAGACTTCCAGAGACCGCCGGGGCCTATGGCGCTGCCGGCCATCGGAGAGGACGCCAAGATGCAGACGCAGCTCGCGTCCCCGTGCGCGTCGCTGGCGCGCGCTCCGTCCCTCTCGCCCTGCAGCTCGCAGCGCTCCGTGTCGTCCTCCGCCTCGTCGTCCGCGGAGCTGCTGGAGGCGCTAAAACCAGGGACTAAAACCTCGGGTAAAACCACCTCGGTCCCATTCTGGAAGTACCCAAATAATAATTCTCGACCTATTTACCCGCAAGACGAAGACGACGTGGCGCCCATTCGCCGCCGATTCCACAGCTCCGACATCATTCTACGCAGCAGCGGGGCCAAGTTTGCCCATTTCTACAGCCAGGACGGACCCAATTGGAGGAAAAACACGTCGGGGTTCAGCGATTCCAGCAGCTGCAGTCATTTCAGCGCAGAGGACCAATACGAGCCCGAGCCGCCGCTGGCCGACCCGGCGGAGCTGGCCAGACTGGCCCTAAGAAGAAGGACGTGCTCGGAGAATTTCACGAAAAGCTCGAGGGCGCCATCGTCATTTTTCCAGAGGGAAAATTCATTTTACGATGTGGAGGCGAGTTTTGAGTATGGAGAGGGACGGAAGCACGTGGAGGAGGAGGAAGAGGAAGAGCACAAAACGGACGAGGAAGATGCAGTCGCTGTGGATAATTTACTGGCGGAGTTGAATGAGGAGCTGGAGGAAGATGTAGATGGACCCCTGGAGGCCGAAGTGCAGCCCGTGGATGATCTCTTTGATGGATCGTGGCCGTCTCAGGCGCTGCAAGGGGGATTTTACAGTGGACTTGGTTCTACGCCGGCGTCGGGGTCCAATTACTCGGTGGAAAGTGATGGCCAGAATCTTGAAAAGCTGCGGAACTTGCAGAAGCTGTATCAGGAGGGGTTCATTACGGTGACAGAGTACAAGGACCGCCGTGTGCAACTCGTGGACGAGTTGAGCGAAGCGGATCAAAGTAAGCAGCAAATTTATGTTCGTTTTGCTATAGCGTGGATTTCACGCATACTCCCCGGAATTGTGGGTGCTAATGCTATTGAACGTGGCTATTGTTGCTTGTAGCAATTGCGAAGACGTCGGACTTGCTTTCCTTGGAGCTGCCAATTATTTATCGTGAGCCACCTGACTTCGCGTTATTGCGTGAGCGGGATGCCATCAAGCACGTATTCGACTCAGAGCACCGCAGGGTAAGCAAACGATATCTTGTGATTTGTTTTACTTCAGCACAAACATCTAATCTTGTGATTACTGTGTCTTCGGTAGTGGACGTCGTCGAGAATCAAGATAAAAATTGATACCGAGCCTTTCGCCAAGGGTGGGCTTCGTCAAGTGTTCCACCTGCAAGATCTCAGTATGCCGCCTCCTGCATTAAGAGGAGACGATATCGACGAGGACAGCGTCATGTCCAAGTGCACCAGCTACGTGGCGAAAATCGCAATCGACCCCAATGAAAATCCGGACACGTACTTCAAGGACGTCGAGATGCAAGCCGTGGCGGCCAAGTACGCGAAGCTGTACAATTCATACAATCCCCCGCGACGCGTTGAATTTTTGGAGGCGTGGGTTCTTCAGCTGATTCCAAGCGCTGTAAGTGGTGGTGGAGACCAGACTATCGAGAATCTGACGCTCAGTGGCACAATTTGTGGTGTGGAACCATTCATTGCAGGGGAGTACCACAAACACAACAACAATTTTGGCTACGTGAGCGAGCTGGAACGCAACACACCGCAGGCTTTCTCACACTTCACGTACGAGGCGTCAGGCCAACAAATTCTCGTGGTCGATATCCAAGGCGTTGGTGATCATTACACGGACCCGCAGATCCACACAAGGCGAGGGAAAGAGTTTGGCAAGGGGAACTTGGCGTTGCGAGGCTTTGAACGATTCTTAGACTCGCACCGCTGCAACCCGATCTGCCGATACCTAAAGCTGCCATTGATCAACCCGAAGGACGAAGGGAGTAGACCGATTGACCCGAAGGGTACAATACCAGCGCAGACGTACATGAGCCAGCCGGGCGTCGTGGTGGACCAAGTTGATTCGGTGTTATGTCATTACTACGGCGACTCGAAGGCTTTTAAGAAGTATAACGCGAAGAAGAAACGCGACAAGAAGAAGCGCGAGAAGCACCAGCAGAAGGCGCATCGTCGGCAAAGCCACGAAGAGCGATGGCAGGGACAGCAAGAGAAAGCGGAAGGGGCTAGAGGATGTGGCAGTGGTGGCGTTGGAATGGAAACCGCTGGTGAAGTCCAGCAAGCGGGCAACAGGTTTGCAGCGGCACTTTTGGACCAGCAGCGATCGTGCACATCTTATGTGTGCGGCGGCGTCTCGCAGTGCACCGTGTCCTAAGAATCCCTCGGCGAATAGAAGTGACTAAGCGCGTGTGAATTACAATGTACAGACAATTGTTCTTCTAAGCTGGGGTCGAGCTGCAGCTCGTGTTGTTTGGAGTCGCGGCGATGCAGTCGTCAACGGCCTTGATCTTGTCCCGCATACGACGGATACGCTCGGCGACGGGGTATTTACTGAGCTGTCGGCGCAGTGGAGACGAGAACGTCAGGTGGCTGATCCTCTCCGCCTGGCCGACCTGCACCTGGGCGTCTTCGTCCTCAAGAATCGCGGCGTAGGGTGCTCGACCGACGCTGCGTCCGTATGCTGCTGCGTTCTCAGTCGTGTCGAAGATCATGAGCTCTTTCAGGATGGACTTGACGACCGTGTCTTTGAGAGCTTCGTAGCCTTTCACCATGATCACGTGGTCGAATGCGTAGCCCATGAACCCCGGAGCATCGACTGATGAAGACGTGAACACCGGCCAGAGCGGGTTATCCACCGGCACGAACGTGATCGGCCCCACGTAGCTGGAACGCTTCCGGAAGTTCATGACATGGTCTGGTGTCGCCGCCAGCACCATACTGAGCGCACTCTGACGCTTCCAAGCGACGAACCGAGCGATTCTTGGGTCGCGGAACTCGATAATATCGCAGAACATGGCCACAAACCCGTGGTTCTCGGTCGAGGCGCAGTACTGCTCCAGCGCGTGGTGTGTCGGGTGCACAGCGTGTGTGTGGGCGAGTTCTCGGTCAAACTCGTGCCGCAGTGAGAAGAGGTACGACTTGAACACCGACGTGGACGTGATGACCGTATGGAAGACCCGGCGTTCCTCGACCAAAGATCGATAAAGAGGCCCCTTGTACTGCTGGATGAAGCTTCTCCATGCAGTGTTGACGCCTTGAACACGAGAGAGCGACTCGCCATCCAAGAATGACACGATCAGCAGAGCGACCCCGTCGATCGATAGAGCGTGGAGGTGACCCTCAGAACTTGCTGCTGATACAGAGTTAGAGGCTGTGGAGGTCTCATTGCTGGGGCTGTGCACGAAGGTGGAGCGGAAGCTGCAGGAAGGGGAGACTGTGACTTGTTCAAACGCGGTTGAGACTGTGGCAGGTGAGGCGGCGGATAGCAGGTGGAGGTGTTGGTTCACAGTGTGTTGAAGTCGAGACGCCCCACTTTGCACGAAGCCGAACAGTTCCATTGCAGATGCGCGCGCCATTGCACGAGTTGTGTTGGAGGCTGGAGGTGTCAGGGTAAGTTGGGGAATGGGAATGCCAGTCAAAGGCTTGAACAGCAACTTCAGTGTAGCCATCTGAATTTGACCTTGAGCTTGGCGTGGCTTGGCAGGCTGCGATTGGGTAATTTATCTTTGGGAGAGTTGGCGATTTCTGATTGGTTGAATGGGAGGACGAACAGAGTGAGGGTCAACTTCAGCATGAGAGCGAAGGTCTTTTATTTAACACAATTATTACATTATCTTCTACGCGAATGCTCTATCAACAAATACCACCTCATGCCCACTTACCGATGAGCGCCATGAGAGCAGCCCCTGACCAGAGGCATGCGTAGAGCGTGTATCTCTGTGGTGCACTTCGCGACAGGAACTTCTGGTTCTTGGTCATGTTGTACGTCAGCAACTCAACCAAGCCCGTGTAGAGCAGGATACCGGCGGCCACGCAGTCAAAAATGCCCTGCACCCACAGCGATGTCGCCGAGGAACCGGAGTACGAGCTGTGGATGGCGATACCAAAGGCCTGGCCAATCGGGGTGGTAACTGCAAACGCGAGGTTGAGCAGCATGAGCTTGCTACGACTCTCGGTCGATCCAATGGCAGCGTTGCCAATAGCGACTCCCTCGAAGAACTGGTGGAAGCACAGAGCTGTCAACAGGGTGTTGAACTCTTCACCTGTGGACACGCCGAGGTCCAAGCCAATGACCAGCGAGTGGAACATGACTCCGACTTCGAAGATGAGCGTGGCGATTCTGGGGCGTCGGTTGCTCGTGGTCTCGATCTTCTCAGTGGTCTTGATCTGGTACGGATTATCAGCGAGGTGAGGTGTGACTAGGCTGCCCTTGCGAGTACTGACGCCCAACTCGGCGATGTCAAGAGCTTCCTCTTCATGGGCGTGTCCGTGTCCGTGGAATGCTGACCCTTCGCTGCCGAAGAAGACGGAGCTCTCACACTCGATGAAGTGCATGAGGATCATAGTGATGAGGATAACCGCTAGGCCCAAGCATCCGTACTCCACCACAATGGGGCCAAGACACTCGTCGCTCAACTTCTCGATACCTTCGTTCGCCATGTGGATTAATCCCGTCGCGAGGACGACACCGAACGCGAACGCACTGATCCCGTCCATGAGAATGGAGTCCGTGCTCCATCGGACCTTCTGCGTCAGCACTGGGAGCAGTGACCCAGCCCAGGACACCGCGAAGACGATGAAGATGGCGCCAACGTGCATGGTTGTGTCGTAGTCTTGGCCACTCTCCGTCGAGATGCATCCGCAGCATTTTTCTTCGGACATTGTCGTGAGTACCGCTGCTTCGGAAGGCTGGTGGACGTGGGTACCGCTAGTCTGGAAGAGGCTGTAGCGCAAATTGCGGTGTGAACGGTTTACTGGCGGATCCTGCTACCAGTGGATCGCTACGTGGATTGTAGATGGCAGAGGAGCTCTCATACGTCTGCAGGCTGCATTTCTTGTGACTAGCTCCAGCTGCTGCGTGTTACTGCTGCTCAAGTGACCCTTTCCAATGGGCACGGCTCTATCGTTCACGCTACGCATAAATGCATTTGTCGCTGTCATTTGCAGCAACTGCATCGTGTCCGCACAGATTCACAGCTGTCGCTGAAGAGGATGACGGTCAAGTACTCCAGCTGAAGAACGACTGGAAACGATGGCTATACCAGCAGGCCCGAGTTTCTGGCATTACAGCAACCATATGACGACAACACGACAGAAATTAAAGCAACAACAAGGCCTAAAGCAACCCTAAAACCAGCTGGCACCCGGTAATTTATTTTAAATGACGCGTAAATGACAGGGACACGTCGCCCTCGTCATGGTCTTGCTACATATATCTCTAAATTTAGACACGTCGTGGTGGCGTCTAACTGATGTTCTCTACACAGCAATACGTGAAACACATGACAATATGTGTCCCACATTTTCAACACTTGGCAGATTTTGAGCGACAGCAAAAATGGAGAAGAAATCGCTGGCACATGAGCTGGTGCGCGCGAGAATCGCCGAGATTGAACTCCTCAAGATGAAGCTAGATGAGCTTACCGAGCATCTGGAAAAGCTTCTGGCAGCGCAGCTACAAATCCAAGCCCTCGTCGAAGATCGCGAAGAGAACAGCTATGCGTTAGCAGCCGTCTTGGGCGATGAAGGGGCCGACCAAGGTGGTCTCACCGCAGAGGACGACGCTGTTTCCCTCGATGTTCTACTGGAGCTGGCGGTGCGAAAAATGAAAGACTAATGCAGCATAGACTCTGTATTTAAAGGTAAATACAGACTGTAGTGTTTCTCAGAGCTGGTTCTGTAGCTGCTGATGAATCTGGCTAGCTTTAGCGACGTCGCGTTCAGAGAGATGACGTTCTTGGGAGTAACACAGGATGCCCCACAGCATTTTCAATCGCATCACCTTGACGTCGTTCTTGGAAATTCTAGAAAGTTGCATCTGCAAGTTCCCCGTAAGATAGCTGTGGGCTTGGGCTACTACCATTACACCACAGCTAGCAAAATCAGGTTGTTGAGGGGCACAGATCAACTCAATCGGATCGAGGAAAAGATGGCCACGGGGGTCAGAAGCCTTGTGCCACCGCTCCACATAACCACGAAGCCCCTCCTTTCCTTCATTTTCTTTGTCTTTCGGAATTCCAGTCCACACGATTTCCATTTCATGGTGATAGTCATCATCAATGAGCGGTTCGTACATGTAAACATGCAGCCGAAGCTTGCTTTTTTTTGCCGTGTAGCGTAGGCGAAGGATAATTACCCCCCCCCCCCCCAGTGGTCTGCGTGCAGATTAACGGGGTGGATAAAAAAATTCGTTGCTGCAAGTGCTGTCTTAGGGAGACTTGGCCATCCGATAGCCCATGTCAGTGATGACAGCACATGGCACTTCCCCACCGATCTCGCAAGGGTCTCCAAGCAAAAGCCCACAGGGCTATCATTTAGCCATCCACGACAGATCCCTCCCACGATGTAGTCAAAGCTGATCAGGACTTTGTTGGAGAGCGTCACAATTTCAGTGCGTAGCCGACTTGAAGTAAACTTTGAGATAATTTCGTTCGCTAGACCTTGGTGTCGCTCGGGAACAGCATCACGCGGAAGTCCTGCAGTTGCTGTCTCCGCAGCGAAAAGATCCACGATGGAGTCAACTTTACGCCAATCTTGCTCCAGCCACTTTCGGTCCTTCAACCATGAGGTACACTTCGCCTTGATCGCGTAGAATCCTGTTAGAGCACCTACATATTGTCTAGAAACATAAGCATGTTAAAGCAACCCTATTAAACCAACCATATCGCTAAAGCAACCATACCCGCTAAATTTCCACAGTTTTGGATCAATCGCCAAGACGACGTCGAGAACAAGTCCTTGCTTCTTGGCCTTTTCATCCAGTACAATTGGCTGCTTCTCCTTCCGGGTAGTAGTCGTTGCTGCCTGCATTGATAGGGCGAGGTCTTGTGGAATTACAAATGTGTGCATGTAGTCCACAGGTCGTACAATTTCCCAATGACAATCAATCTTCCGAGCTCTTAGATCGCATCCTCCAGCTGAACAGGATGCTTCGACAGCATCTCCACCACGCGCTTCAGATTTGAGGTGTTTCTGGCCCAAATCAGGAACTGATCCAAGTCACGGCAAGTTCAGTGGGGTACTTGTGAATAGCAAGACGGTCGGCTTTGAGACTGATCGTAGTTTGCCTCAGCTGTTTCGGAGTTGACCTTGACTTTCCTTGGCTTGGTGGATTAGAAACTCTAACGACATCGACCTGGCGCACGCGCGACTCTGTGTCAGGCTTCGTAGAGCTTGAAACCTTGTCACAGCTACTCATTCCGCAGCTGTCATGAGATTTCTCGTCGATGGGAGGTCGAATTGGAGATGACTGCGAAAGGTGAGTGCGTTGTGTCGGTAACATACTTTCGTCGGACCCGTAATCGCCATAATTCATGGTCATGGGGCTGCTTTCCAATGCGTCCATGAGCGTCATAGTTCCCATTGCCTCCACGGGGTCCAAAATGGAGTCCGATACAGGTTCAGAAACATCTTCTTCTTGCTTGCTATCTTCAGCAGATTCTGTAGAACTCGGTTGGGGGGGTAGGGTTGACACGGTTGAGCCCTATGTCGATCGTTTCCTTCCAGGCACTTAGCTCTTGGTAGAAGTCTGCACTAGACAAATCTGACAGGTGTTCCAATAGCGGTTCCAGCATCGCTTTTGCGTATGCGTATTTTTCAGCTGAAGACAATACAACCTGGTTTGCCCGTTCACCTCGCCGTAGCCGTACGTACGCAACTTGCTTCCTAGCTTTGGTTGGCGAAGCGTTACCCCCCGCAGCATAAAGTGGTTGTTCTGGTTCAGCCCCAGTGTCGTTCGGCAACTTTACTTTCGGCAACCTTAACTTGGACATTTGCACAATTGGCTGTAACATTTCCGCTGCAGCCGTCAATTCGTTTTTCACTTCCAAGGTCTGGTACGTACTCCACCGATCATGAATTGCCATAGATGGAAGCAGTTTGAAGCCTCGCGTGCTAAGTGCATAAGATGACGACATGGTAAATGGTGACTGCTATAAAATAGACAAGTACACGTCCACTCCACATCGTGACAGCGAAAGGTTTGATTCCCGCAATAAATTTTCCATTGTGAAGGACTCGACACTGTACGCTCACAAGTCGCATCTGCCATGAAGTTCACAAATCGTTCCCACTCTTTTCTCGCTTTCTCGAAGACGTCAGGGTACAGTCGAGTTGCTACAGTCCGGAGAAACATCGGTATGGTTTTAGGAACGGGCGAAGTCGAATGGTGCTGCGCGATGACGAAACCGATCTGCTGAGTTATCATGATTTGATGCTGCACCAAGCCCGCAATAGTCTTGTCAATTCATGTCTTGTGCCCCAACAGTATTTTCACTTGATTCCAGTTTGACTCGATCCTGTTCGTTGTAGTATTCCCAGCCGTGAAAAATTTGCTGCGAGCAAAGTTCGCCCACATGTCTCGACACGAATCCCAGTTCTTTTCAAAGTACGAGAATAAAGCTTGTTTCTTGTTGTCTTCGCAGTATTGCTTCAATGCACCGTAACTAGAATCGTAACCTGTCTCTGTGGAGCTGCATATGGTTTGTTTTCCAAAGTTAGCGTTACCACAAGAATCATAAATAGAATCTGTTGCGTACCTGTACAGCGTTTTTATCATCAGGTTGAGTAACTCGTCGCGTTCAGACACCTTCAGCTTGTATGGGGCCCGCTACATCACCTTCTTCCAGTACGAAATGGTATGGAATTGACAAAGTAAAACTTTCGCAGCAGGAAATAGTGTTTTCAGCACCGTCCACTCAACGAAATCTTTGTCGATCACGATGGAGGATATAATCCGCCAACTTGGGTTCTTCTCTTGGAAATACTCCAGGATTGTTGTCATCATCGGAGCTCGTTGGTTGAGGCATATGAAGTCTACAACTGGGAACCCTCTACCAGTAGCGGTTGTGACGACCAGACTCCCTGAAATATCCAACACACAACAGTAGAAAATCACTTTGTTAATAAGGTTGCTATATTATCGATATGGTTGCTATAACTACGCAAGGTTGCCGTAACAAAGACAATGTTGCTATACCGAACAACTCATACGCACCCAAGTGATAGCCCAAATTGTTCGTGCCGTGAGTGAAATCCATCGTAAGAGTGTCGCCCCAGCGCTCGACCATCAACTTCTGCACCTTTGTTTGCATCACGATACCGCATGTCACGTCCATTTGGTCTTGAATAACAAGGACGTCACTACCGTCTAACTGGCGGATAGCTTGCAGCATGTCTTTCAAACGGGCCTCCGCTGCGTCGTGCCCCATAATACTGCGGATCAGATTACGGGTCTGTTGAGGTGTTATTTTGCAGCCTAGCAAACACACAAAGCGCGAACAGTATCGTAAGTATCACTTCAGCATATCATATATAAAACTACGCACCGATTCTCTCATTCAGGAAGTTCGTGATGTGCTTGGAAGAAACACTAGCATCCGTTAAAGTCTAGCGAGCGAAGCATGTCTCTGGAGCAAACGCCGGAGCGACATTCTCGATCAGCTCTTTTTCATTGACCTTTGACGTATCCGGATACTTGCTACGCCGTTTACGCGGCATATATTCGCCCGAACTTGGACGCTTAGAGAGTCTGTTGTCGCTACCAAGGTCAAACGGGAGTGGTTGGCCGTGCCCAGAGCTTTTCGTGCCTTGACGAGAAGATGGAGGGGGAGATGGAGAGGTATGTTCCACCACATGAGGAGAATGACGCTTCAGCGTCTCATTCATCCGACGCTTAGCAGGCACTATAGTCAAAAATAACGCAACCATACATGATATTAAAGCGACCTTAAATGATAAAGCAATCATAATGAACCTAGTTTAACAATACTTTGCTTTGGTTTTGGTGTTTCCTGCTGTCTTCTGTTCTTGGAATTCTTGCGCTGCTTGTGCACTGCAAACGCATATCAATCGTCCGTTGTCAGGGTCACAAGCAACACTCTGAATGACCTTACAGGATTCACATTTTCGCCGATGAATTGGAGCATCATGAGGAATCGCCATGGTTGACTTCATTTTGTCGAGCACAGAACCTACACAGATAAGCAAAGGTTCAGCAGTGTCAATGATGCATAATAAAGCAACCACATAATGCGAAACTGTCTTCGCCGATACCTGGGGTTATCTTTCGTCCTCGTTCACCTGTGTGGTTCTGCTTCTTCCCCTTGCGCGACTTTCCTGCTAAAACACGCACATCGCACAATATCCAGCCTTAAATACTTTAAGTGTCGGCAAATGTACACTTCATGGCCTCACCAGCTTTTGATCGAGAGTCAGATTCATCGAAGGAGAGCGCCTCTTCTTCATCATCATCCTCTTCGCCGTCCTCGACCACGAAGTCTTCGTCTTTTTCGTCGTCCTTTTCCATTCCGAGGGCAGAATACACGTAGTCGATGCCGTCATTTAGCTCCCGCATAGACCTCCCTTTAATGTACATGCACACGCATTATAAGACACTCCAAACCTCCTGCCGTCAGCTCGTGAGTAAAACTTGCTGCGTACCGTGCATAGTGGCCCTCCGGGCAGGGGCCACTAGTTCCTCTTCGCCGCGTGCTGTCTCAGTTCCGTTCCTGATGCGCGAGAATCCGTGATCCACGTGGCCTCCGTCCAATTGCGCTCTTTTGGAAATGAGCGGCTCAAGGCGACCGAACTTATTTATATCGTACTTAAATGCAAACGAACTTAAAACTACGAACTTAAATGATTTACGCACCTAAGGACGACCTTGAAAGTTTGACATTTAAATTACGCTCGTAATTTTTGAAATCCCTAAAAGCAACCATACATGTCTCAGAATGGCTAAAAGCAACCATACTTATGGTTGCTCTAACCATTCCCACTATACCAATACGGTACATGTACAACACAGGTACACAGGAATCCTGTCGTGCAATCACAACCACGTGATTATTTTTAGGGACTGTAGCCATCTTTGATTGATCCTGTTCATTGGCCAAAACGTCCGTCCAATCACAGCTTCCATTTCCTGAAGCTTCAAGTTGCAGTCGATAGCCGCAGCATTTCGCTTCCTAGTGTTGGCTAGTAGCTGCTATTGTGGTTCATGTAGATCCCTGTAACTATGCTACCGCTTATACCAGCACAACAGCCACTCGTACAGCAGTGTGTACTTTTCATCTTATACTGCAGCAAGTTCATTAGAATGTTGTTTTGGGCTATAGGGATGTAATTCTTGGTGTGCCGACGAGAGCTTCTTCGTTATATCAAGGCAAGAGTACTGCAGTGCTACCGTTCGACATGCTACCGTTCGATTGTGCTTTGGATAGAGCTGATTTTCTTCGGTTTGGACATGCAAACTGTCTCCGCCGTCGGAGAAAGCGGGAGTTGCAACTTGCGGGAGATTTCGCGTAAGCTCTCAGAGTGCGACGTATCATTTGTCCGACGGCGGCAGACCCACTGCCTCCAACTGAAACGGACTGTGGCGTTGAGAAATGGAGCACCAACTTTTCATTTTATCGTCCTTTGCCGGAATTTGCACATTGGCGGTACCATTTTAACAAAAAATGTGTCCACAAACGCATCGTCGCTACAACATTCGAATGAATGGAGGCGGGTGGGCAGCAAACATGACACGATTTCAGCTTTTTCGGCTCCATACTCGACGAAAGCTTCGCTAAATTTGCTGTATCGTTCTCAGATTTGTTTTTGGGGCGTCCACAGTACCATTTTGTTTTTTTGTGGCCAAGCGTATGGAGTATTCCAGCGCTGGAGTTATTGTGCATGCGACCCGCGTACGTCGCGCACGGGCAGGTAAGTTCATAACGCCTATATGTTAGATTCAGGGGCTAGAGCGCCCCACCAGCTATCACTTTTCTTTCCACTGGACTGGCTGGCAGGCAGAAATTCAAGGCGCGAACTCGCACGCGTTTAATGGAGGATCTGGGGCTGCATGTCGGGGCCATTTTCATCATTCTCGCCGTGTCTGTAGCCGGGACGCTGGTGCCTCTCGTCTCCAAGCTCATTCCCCAGTCCAGCGTCAATGCTATCGTCATGGAGTCCATTCGTGCGTTCTCCTTTGGTGTGGTATTGGCGACTGGCCTGATTCACATGATCAACGAAGGCATCGAGAAGCTAAGCGACGAGGCTCTTGGTTCCATCGTGGAGGAGTATGGCTCCTTGGGCTTGGCGGTTGTGCTGATGACTCTGATGCTCTTACATTTTATCGAGTGCGAAAATGTCGTATTTTTCGGTGCTCAGGGCTCTGTGCTTCACGGTCATGGCCACAGCCACGGCGATCGCACCTATCAGGCTGAACACGACCACCGCGTTCGCAACTCTGACAGCAGCATGCGAGAAGCTACCGGCACCCCCGGCGCCGATTTTCGGGCAATGCAGCCTTCACCGAGTCCTACGCCAGAGCAAGTGGCCAAAGAAGCCTCGAGCGATTCCAGCATCCGTCACACGATCGCGACCGTCATCTTCGAAGCAGGTGTCATCTTCCACTCTGTCATCGTTGGGCTCGACCTAGGAGTAACCACTGGAACCGAGTTCAAGACACTTTTGACTGCTCTGTGCTTCCACCAGTTCTTCGAGGGGGTCGCTATCGGTAGCGCTGCCGTCAGCGCCGTTACAAGCAAGAAGAAATTGTTCCTGATCAACTTCGCGTTCGCGATCACGACCCCAATCGGCCAGGTGATCGGCATTGGAATTCGCAACTCCTATTCCAGCGAATCAACCACGGCGCTGTGGGTGCAGGGAGTATTCGACTGCGTGGCCGGTGGAATTCTGCTCTATACAGGCCTCGTCGAGCTGCTGACGTACAATATGACCACCAACCAGAAGTTCCTGGCTCGCAGTACTTCACAGAGGTACGCGTTGTACGCCTGCCTGTGGTCGGGGGCCGGCTTCATGGCGCTTGTCGGTAGATGGGCGTAAAAATCGCATGGAAGTAGTAACGAGCAATTCCCCGTTCCAGGCACTGACAAAGTGGACAGAAAATACAAGAGCACAACAATGACAACAAAACTAATTTTAACTTGATGGCGCGTCGAGTTACGATTCAATTAGGCTTTAGCGTCGTTCGCACGAGTTTTTGTTTGTTTGAAGGAACCAAGCAAAACTGCGGACATATCGCAGTCAACCCTATTTAGGAGGTCAAGACAAGAACCGTAACCTCAGCGTAATGTCGCCGTGAATCGCGTCATGGCAGTCTATTATTGAGCTTGTCGTCTTGAGCGTATCGGGTATGGCTGGATAAGACTGAGGACGCCCTCGTTTTCAACGGGTATGCACCTGTGTGATGGTGACTGGATCTATGCAGCTAACAGACTACTACTATTACTGCCTTACTACTGTTGGCTCGTTCTGTGCTTCTTACTCTTATCAGGGACAAGGACGAGAATTCGGTCCCGAGGCTTTCGAGGGTCCCATTGATAGCTAGTACATGTATAAGCGTCTTAGCTGTTGCAGGAATTTGAGACCGGAGTTTGTAGCGGAAGAATACAGTCTTCATCGTACTCTGTTGGGGGCAAGCAAGAAAAACAACACTGGGGAAAATGGGGCTCGATACGGGCGCCATCTTTATCATATTCGCGGTGTCTGCTGCCGGCACGCTGGTTCCTGTGATCTCGCAGAGAATTCCGAAATGTAACACCAACACGATCTTCATGGAGGCGATCCGCGCCTTCTCCTTCGGTGTCGTCCTCGCCACGGGTCTCATCCACATGGTCAACGAAGGCATCGAGAAACTAAGCGACGAGGCGCTGGGGCCGATCGTCGAGGAATATGGCTGCTTGGGCTTGGCGATTGTGCTGATCACGATGATCGTCCTGCAGTTTATAGAGGCTGAAAGCGTGATCTTCTTCGCTGGCGGGGGATCGATGCTACACGGCCACGGTCACAGCCACGGCCCTGGAGACTTGCACACGAACGATTCTGATGAGAGTGCTCCCGAATCCCCAAGCGGTCAAGATGGGGCGTATGTGGTGGCGCCTGCTGATATCTCGCTCGAAAAGAAGACCATGGTCCACAATACCAACCTTCACCGTAGCAGTCTCGATCACGGTCACTCCCACACCACCGAGACCGTTCCGGCGTCCCCGACCGATCGAGGTGAGACGAAGTTGTCAGCTGAGAAGAAAACTGCGGCGCACAATGCCAACATTCGCCGCAGGATCGCGACCATCATCTTCGAGGCGGGCGTCATCTTCCACTCAATCATTGTCGGGCTCGATCTCGGCGTCACTACAGGCCCCAAATTCAACACGCTTTTGACGGCCTTGTGCTTCCACCAATTCTTCGAAGGGGTCGCCATTGGCAGCGCCGCCGTCACAACTACCCAAAGCAAAAGGAAGCTGTTCCTGATCAACTTCGCCTTCGCGATCACCACCCCCATCGGCCAAGCCATCGGCATTGGTATTCGCAGCTCGTATTCAAGTGAATCGACGACAGCACTGTGGGTGCAAGGCGTGTTCGACTGTATTGCTGGCGGGATCCTGCTCTACACGGGGCTCGTGGAGCTGCTGACGTACAACATGACCACCAACCAGAAATTCCTGGGGCGCAGCACTCCGCAGAGATACGCATTGTATGCCTGCCTGTGGTCGGGGGCCGGCCTCATGGCGCTCATCGGCAAGTGGTCGTAAAGCTGTAGTCGAGCTAAGGTTACACGATAGCAACTAATGAACAACACGCCAATGCCTTTTATCCTCCGGAAGGTCTGCTACTCTACTGCAGCAAATCTGGTCGTTCGCCTCTGCAGTCTATCGGCGCGACTACTAACTACTTCTTACTTGAAATGACGCGACATCTGCAACCGCTCTCGCAGGTTCTCTAGCTGTGCGCTTGTACTTGACGGACGCGCTGCATTGCTCGACGCTCCACGGGTTGCAGCGAAATCATGAAAAGAGGTGAAGCTGCGTCCACGCGTTTCCGAGGCAAGTGGCGGGGCTGCCGATACTGTTCTTGTTATGCGTGTCGTGCTGTCAGTGTCTCGGGGTGGGAAAAGTTGCCGCGTAATGCTAACTCCCGTTGCTGCTGCATCATCGTTAGAGGCACTGCCACCACCGAAGTGGCTCGTAATACCTCGCGGCGCGGCTGAAGCAACGTGATTGCTTGTGTCATTGCTCGTGGTGCCGAGGCCCGTCGGCTCAGCAGCAAGCTGCTGTTGCGACTGACCATACCCCATCTCCTCGATAACCTTGCGCACAGGTGAGTTAGGAGGCACGTCCTTCATCGAGGCTTCAAAAGCACTTGGCCGAGTCTTCATCAAACTCTCGGCAATGATCTGCAGTGCCGACCGCATATTGTCGTTGGCGATATCCACCATCATGACTTCAGCACCAGGGAGAGTCGAAAAGAACATGTGCATCTGCATAAGCACGCCAAAGATATCAATGCCTTCGAACGGGGTCAGCGAGCTGGCTTGGACGTTCGACAGCTTGAGCAGGATACGCCCAACAAGCTGATCCAGCGAGTCCTCTTTTAGCAAGTGCTTGAGGGTGTCGTTCTTGTTGTAGTCACCGACATCATTGTGCATGAGACGCTGCAAAAGGTTGATCACCGACGGGTACACGTCCCCAGGCTTCGCTCGCTCAGTCAGCTTGCGCATAGCCTTGTACAGGGCCTTGAACACCATCAGGTATCGCTTCTCTTCATGCGGCATTGTTGCTAGCTCCGCTGCAGGTAAATTCGCCTTCTCAGAAAACTTTTCCAAACGCGGATCCATGATTTTGGAGCACAGTTCCAGTAGCACGCGTTCTACCGTGTAGCGCTGCATGCTTGTCACCGCTTCGCTGCTGAACACCACCGTCAACGTGGTGATGCTGATGGCAAGGATGTACATCTCAGGCCTCTTCTCAGCATTGCCTGCGTAAAATGCTCCATGGATGCAGTCGCAAAGCGCGAGAACGATCTCGTTCACATAGGAGTGCAAGAACTCAACCTCCGACGGATCCGAAGGGCGGTTGATGATAGCGTACAGGCCCTTGAGAGCGTTCCCTCCCTCAACGTACGCAGGCGTACCAGCCGGTACAACTTCTTTCGACGAATTAATCAACAGCTCAATTGGCCTTAAGAGAAGTTCTTCAATGGTCGCGCTCGATGCAGTCTCTTCGACGATTTCCTCAGCTGGCACGCCCATATCCACATCGCCATCGTGGGGCGCAATATCAGCCTGATTCACCCCAGCAATTGGAGTCGGCTCAGGAATATCTTCTTCAGTCGGCTTCGTGAAGATATTGACTGGTGCTGCTGTCGCAGTAGCCGGGGCTCGACCGAAACCAAATCCAAAACCAGTTCGCTGTTGCTGCTGCTGCTGTGGCACTTGCTGCTCTGGGATCGCCTCCTGTACAGCAGGTGCTCTGGTTTCGTTGACAAAGCCACTGGCAGGCAGATGTTTCAAACGCGCGTTCAGCAAGTCGATACCTTGCTGAGTAGTAATGCCTGCGAAGCGGAAAAACTTGTCTGGGTTTCCTCCTTCCGTGCGCATGTACACAGCTACTAGCGTGTTAATCGCACTTTCACGAAGTTCCTTTTCATGAGCGACGACATACTTGCCCACGTCTTTAATGCACTTGCGGCCAATCATTTGGTACCCGTGCACACTAACGATGTACTCGACCAGGTCGATGCACTCGCAGCGGCTCTTCATGTTTTTCGACCCGTTGAAGCACTCCATCAAATATGGAACATACTTTTCTGGGTTGTACACATCCACAACCAGCTTCATCACATCACGGAACCGCACTCGGAAGCGTGGCTTTGACTGACCACTCTCCTGGAGAAGGTATGGCAACAAAATTGCCGCCTCAACGTCATCCAACTGATACCCAGTGTCCTTCAGCATTTCGAAGAGCTTCACGAGAACTTCCAACAACTTCGCCAATGCCTGCACGTTGTTGTCTACAATGCGTAGGGTGCACCACTTCAGCACAAGATCAAGATATGCGACCACCTCTTCAGCTTGGTGCACGATGCACAACGTTAACTCATCCATAGCAGCTAGCATTCCCTTTTCCAACGACGGGGCAAAGAGTTTGGCATAGAATTCCGGCGACAAAAACGGCTTCCATTCAGCTTCGATCTCGCCCTTGCGTGCATTCATCTCGCTCACCGAAGTAGTCTCGAAAATCCACTTATTGTATTGCCCCTTGGCAATTCTAGCTGGTTTGTTGGTACTCATTTTGAGCAATGGTGCAGCTTCCTTCTCGACGCTCTCAGAAGGCGTTGATGGCGCACGAAGTGAGCCCGGACGCGCAAGCCGTGACTTCACCGGGGTACCGCCAGCTGCAGATGCACTAGCTCTTCTGCGGATGCCACCACGACCGATTCCACTACCCGATGCGCTATGGCCAGCAGTCGGTGGAGCAACGGGAGGAGTTGCACTTGGCCCAGGGATGGATGAAGAAGGTTCATTGACAGGGGTAGAAGCGCTACTGGCTTCGACAGCTTCGCACACTTTCTGTAACAGTGGCTTAAGTGCACGCATGGCAGCTGGCTTTATGCCACGGCACCCCGCAGTAAGCACGGTGTCCTTGCCAACCGACTTCATCACTTCAACAAGTACCAGTTGAGCTTTTTCACGCGCCTCGGATGACTTATCCATCATACATTGAACCGTCGGAGACACCAAGCTGTTCAAATCTAGTTTTTCACAGTTCTTGAGGTGTTCCGCTGCCCACCCGAGTAATTCAGCTCGTCCAACAGGATTTAAGAGGCCCTCCGATAGCGGGGAGAGCAGGCTTTCCATGCATGAAGACGACGTTTCTTCGTTGTGGCATACCCACTTGTGTAGAGCTTGGATGGCTGCCGCCTGCATCGTCTTCTTGTTGTCTGCAACACCTGCGATCAGGCTTGCTCCGAGAATTTTGGACATCTTGGCGACATCAGGCCCAACGCTTGTGGCCACCACACCGATGACATTAGCAGCCTTCACCTTCAAGTTTGCGTTTGAGTCATTCAAGCGAGCTTTCAAGCTGCGCAGCACCTCTTGAACTGGCCGCGTAAATTCAATTGCGCAACCAGCACCCTCACAAATGGCTTGGACTGTGTCCATAGCCTCAGAACGCTTCTTCCACGCCACTTTATCCGTTTCGTTTTTCATATCCTCGAGAAGCTCCTTAGTAATCTGACCACTCACATCCACTCGACCGAAAAGTGCACCAGGATCCGCTGCAGCTGGGGCTTCATCCTGGTCTTTCACTTGACGGCTTACGCTCGCCTTAGCTGTGGCCGGATCAAACCCAGTTTTCTTAAACTCAGCGTCGACTGTAGCGGCCAGTGCTGGCTTCCAGCTGTCTAAATTCAAAATCGGGAGCAGTGCAGGTCCGAGTTGCGAGTACATAGCGCAAAGCAAAGAGGTCGCGGAACTGCGAACCTTGGGGTTCGACGACTCCAAACCCAGAGCTCCCTTCGCGAAGTCGATCAACGCACGTGGATTGCAAATGGAGACGCCAAAGTCCTTCACGCATTCCGACAATACTGATAGTGCCTCGATGTGTGCAAGCGGCGTCCGGACCTTCGGCATGTACTCGATCATGCAGCCGGTTGTGTATGAAGGACTGGTAGCCTCACAAAACTGCATGATCATGTTGCGGACTGCCTCACTCGCTTTCCTATCACCGATCTTGTCACAAGCCCGCGGGGTAACAAAACACACCACTCCACGCGGAAATTTACTTGAAGCTATCTCCGCGAACGTTCCAACCGCTTGGAATGAACTCTTCAGAACATTGATGTTGCTGTCCTTAAAGTCCTTCACTTGCTTCGATAAGTACATCGTAAATGCCTCGATAGTACGCAAATTCATCTGGCTTGAATGAGATCTGGCATATTCTTCCAGCCCCTCGATTGCTCCTTTCCGCTCCATCCACTTTGAGCTCGCAAACCCGTCCTGAATGGCACCCCAGCTTTCAATGCGAAGATCTTCAATGATACCTTCAGCTTCTTCAGCAGTAACCGAGATCGCCATAGGCGTAAAATCAGTGCTTGCACCACTAGCAGAAGCTCCAGTACTTGAACCCGCAGTAGACGGTTTTCTTGCTGGCGCTGCTTTCGGTGCTGCGGCCCCAGCTGCACCAGGTTTCATTCCAAATCGAGATGGTGGCCCACGTTTCTTTAGGGGTGGACGCCGAGGGCCCGCCGAAGGAGCAGAAGCCTCCATGTCAACATCATCGTCGTCTGGTTCTGATGTCTTGGGTCCGCCAAAGCTAGACCGACTGGCAGCGCTACCTGCGCTACCGGGCCGCGAAGGAGGAGCACTATCTGAGCGAGAAGGAGGTGCACTACCAGGGCGAGAAGAAGCCGCACTTCCGGGACGAGACGAGGGTGTCGAAGCTGCGCCAGTGCCTCCTAATCCCTTCTGGATGGTCTTAAAGGCTCGTGGGTTCTTCCGTGCAATTTCACCCATCATGCTCTGCAGCCATCCAGTCGTCTGGTCTGTTGCCTGCAAAAGCACGACGAAGGACTTCTGTCCAGCCTCGCGCACCTTTGGGTCAGTGTCATCAACACCCTTCATAAACATCGACGCAAACGCCAATATGAGCGCCTTGTCATTCAAATCCACGTAGCGATTTTCCACGGCACGAGTCAGGAAAACCATCGTTTGCACACGTGCAGGTGGTGGTTTGTTCTTTGACGCATCGCACGCCAACTTTAGGTCATCCATCATCATATCGATCGGCATGGCATGCTGAAGAAACAAGTCCAGCGTCTTGTTGGTCGCATTCAAAATTACGGACTTCTTGTCGGACAACTTCCGCAACATCTCGGGGAACATGGTTCGCGCGTGCTGTGTGAAGTTCTTGCGTAGACCATCTGCCAGTGCGCCAAACACTTCAATCGACTTGGCTACAATGTTCACGTTTGAGTCATTCGTCAACGGCTTCAGCGTCGACACAAGTTCATAATAGTCGCCATTCGCAAGCTTCGGTACGGGCCCGATCGTCTCCAGCACAATTTTCAACGCCTCAACCTTTTCACTCCATTTGGGTAGAGCCAACTTTGCCTTGAACTCGGTCTTAGGCAGCTTCGCAAGCAAGTCCACCGTTTCGGCAAAATCTCTCGGGTCAAACGCTGCAGGAGCAGGCTCAGCCGGTCCAGCAGAGGCGCTTGAACCCTTTCCACCTGCACCAACAGTAGTCGTTGCTGCTTTCGCTCCTCGCACAAACTTGGTCGGTACTGTCTGGCCCGGAATGATATCCTTTGTGTTTGCCTCATACTCTGTCTGCTGCGCTTGTCGAAGGTTAGCCACAATATCTTGCACCAGCGCTGGCCCCGTCCACCTGTGAATCTCCACCATAACATTCATCGCAATCGGGCGCACTTTCACCGCGCCCTCCATCAACTTCGGCAGCGCCGCCTTAATCGCCTGCAGCGGCACAATCCGCGGTCCGTACGCCGTCAACGCCTCAAGAACACAGGACATACACGCCGGCGGTACCTTCGGTTTGCGGTTGTTCGTCCCTTCCAATAGCGCTGTCACAGTCTCCTCCGCTGCACCTGCTGCAATAAACGCGTCTGTCAGCTCTTCGCAGAGCTTGACGATGCCCGGCCGCGCCGAGAAGCCTTTATCCGTCACGCGCGCCATCACAGCAGGCACGATCTCCTTGTCGAACGGCTCCACGTTCAGCGTGTACGCCAGTACGGCAGCAATACCCGCCTCCATGGCACTAGCATTGGCGTCCTCGCACATCTTTGGGAACAGCTCCATGGCCGGTCTCACCTGGCTCGTGGACACTCCAGGCTGCTCCAGCACCGCCTTGAGCTCCTCGAAGCCCTCTTTCCGCACCTTCCAGTTCTTGTCTGTGAGTTTGGGCAGCACGCTGTGCAGCGAGACGTCCGCCGTCTGTCCACCAGTGTCCTTCCTCGTGTCCACCTCCATCTTCTTCAACGTAGACGCCACCGTATCCACCTGCGCCGTCGCCTCCTCCATCACGACGTCCGGCGTCTCCTTCGGCCTCTTAGCAGCCGACACTGGACGCTTAACGGCCGCCACCTGGGGCGAGTTGCCCCCGAACGCCGGCTTCTTGCGCGCCGGGACGGGCGGCGAGTTGCCGCCGAATGCGGGCGCGGGCGGGGGCTGTGCGTCTTGCTGCGCGCCGTCCGCGTCGTCGTCGTCGTACTTGATGTTGGACGAGATGGACTTGGAGATGTCCATGAGCGACGCCACGTCGAAGCCCGCGCACATGCTGCACTTGCAGCTGGCGTTGCGCAGACACTTCTCCTCGGCCATCGCTGCGCTGCGGGGGTTCTGGCGGCCTGCCCTTTTTGGCTCGGAGTTCCTTCCGCCCCTTGCTGCGCAAAATTTCAAGTGAAGCACTCGAGTGCGCAATTTGGAAATTTGAATATGCTATGCGACATGACTCCAGTATAGTGAAATGAAGTTAAAGGCGGAGTGATGGTCGTTGTACTGCGATTTTTCCCGCGCACTCGCGTTGCTGCGGAGGATGGAGGATGGCGACGCCGAGGCGTCCAGCCTCATGCGCTGGCTGGGCTTCTACGCGGTCGACGCGCGGGAAGAGTGCATCACGATTGTGCTGCGGCTGCTGGAGCTCGCGTACGATCATTAGAGCTTGAGTTTACGGAGAACATTAGGTTAATAGCGACGAATTTGGGTAGCTGCTAACGTTATATTTGCTGCTGTGGCTCCGGTGCGTAGATTTCCCGCTGTATTCGAGACGCAAAAAGCGCTAGATGGCTGGAGTGTTGTGGTGGCGGTGCTGGAGGTCTTTTACGAGGCCTCGTTGGCTGTTAATGTCGAGAGACTGAAGGGTTCCAGTGCCGAGCGGCTCAATGGACCGCTACGGTCCTTGCTGGAGTTAGTGTTGGCCGCTGTCGTGCAGTGTGAAGCCAAGGAGAAGTTTGTGAAGGACATTCTGACCATGGAGGACACGGTGCAGGCGGATCTGATGGCGGTCATCGAGAACGTCATGGCAAAAGGAGTATCAATTCTGTCAGAGGAGTGCTCTGAGGAGCAGGAAGGGCAGAAAGAGGAGAAGAAGAGAGCGGAGTCGCCCGGAATGGGATCGCCGCTATATTTGTCGAGGAATGCGGCGTTGGAGCGGACCAAGAGGGAGAACAAGGTGATTAAGGAGGAGAATGTACGTGGGATCGGAAGGAGGTACGGATAGAGGTTCTTGAACTTATGATTATGTCAATTTACACCTGCAGATCCACCTAGCTCGGAAACTGGAGGTTGTGTCAACGAAGTGTGGCGCGTTGGAAGACGAGAAGAAGCTGTTGGTGGAAACAATTCGCCAATTGAAGCAGCAGGTGGATGCAGATGCCCTGCGAAAGGAGCGAGCGATGCGCGCGATGTACGACGAGCAAATGCAAACGCTTCAAAAGGAGTTGAGTGCTGCCAAGACTGAATTGCACGACAAGATGGTGCTGGCAAATCAAGTTCCAGCTCTCCAAGACGAAGTCGATCTATTGCGGCCGCTAGCCGAGAAAATGGCGAAGATGGACGTAACAGTGGCGAAATATAAAGCCAAAATTGATGAGATGTCTGGTGCAAGGGACAGCTTACGGGTGCGATAAAACTCTCTGACCAAACGGTATATCACAGTGCGAATGTATCTGACCCTTGACTATTCGTAGCGTCTAGAAGGCACGAACTCGGAGCTAGTTGAAAGAAATCTGGTTTTGGAAGGCGAACTGGCGAAAACCGCATCTTGGCAGCGCAAGCTTAAGGAAGCGAAGGAGGCAAATACTGCTTTGGTAAGTTGACACTGCCTTATATGATTGTTAGGTCTTGAAGTACCGAGGTTGGCTGAAGTATTTTTTGTCTTTGTTGCTTCAAACAGGAATTCCGAGTTTCCGAGCTCGAGGTGCTGGTTACACGCGAAAGAGAAGAGCTGGCAGCGGTTCGTGCAGAACTTGAGACCACTCACACTGCCTTTCAAGAAATGAAGGCATTGAACTACCAACTCCAGGAGTCAGCAGGTCAACAGTCATCCGAAGACTTGACGGAAGGCAATAAATCGTGTCCTGCTCCAGCCATGTCCGGTGGAATCTGCGAATTTAATCCTGAGCTGATGCAGAAGCTTACGCGTTTGGAATACGAAAATGCTGAGCTGAAGAAACAGATCGACGGCGAGACGTCAGCGCGAATTGATAGCCTGTCCGATGAAATCGATGATTTGACACGGCTCAAAAAATCATTCGAAACGAAATACTTTGAAACCCAGCAGACTCTTCAATCAACGCAGACCGAGTTCAAGAGGACGAAGGAGCGCCTGGAATTGGTTGTTGCGGAACTGGAAGCACGAATCCGAGTGGCAGCAGAGTGGAAATCGTGTCTGGAGGAAGATGTTTTGTCCCACGCTCTCGAAAAACAAACGCTGCTTCAAGAGCTAGATCTGCTGACTGAAAGTCTCCGTCAAAGTACAGAGCGGGAGCAGAAACTTACCAAAACGTTGGCGAGTCGACGTCATGAGCTCGCCGAGCTACAGGAGGCTAATCAGTCACTAACAGGACGATATGAGCAGTTGGCAGAGCAGCGCGAATATCTAGCAAAGATGAAAGATGACCTTGAAGAAAGGCTAGTGCAACAGATTGCATGTACTGGCATGCAGCTCGAGGATGCCACTGCTGAACGAATACGATTTCAAGAGTGTAAAGCGTATGAGCTGAGCGAGGTTCGCCGCAGTCACGACGAGCTAGTTGCCGAGACGATCTCACGCATGACCGCTCTCGTTGATTCTAAATCCGCTGAGGTTGACCAGCTAACATCAAGGTTTCAAGAATATACGACCAAGCATGAAGCAGAACTTCAGGAGCTTAAGGCCGCAAGTCTTTCAGCAGCGCAAAAGCTGGAGAAGTTTCAAGAGCTTCATTCAGTTTCCAACGCAGATTGGGATAAAAAGGAAGAGATGCTGAATAATCGTATTGATGATCTGGAGAAGTTGATCGGCGAATACAAACAGCAGGAGCAGACACTGAAAGCGACCATCAAGAGCCAACTGCAGTCGAACGCCCGCCTTGTTGAGAAAAATAAGGTTATGAAAACGGAGATTGTTGAACAACGGCAGGCGAGCTCAAGGTTTGAAAGCACTATCACGCGGCTGGAGTCCAAAGTGACGTTACTCGAGAAAGAGCGGACTCACTTCACAAACCACAAGGAGCGCAAACGGGACGTAGAGAGCGGGCTTTCGGCTTTTTCAGCGCAGCTCAATACGCAGGTTACCCTAGTGGTAGCGGAATTGGAGAAGATGCTTCAAGAAAACAAGGAGCTGAACTCGAAAATTGCTGGCTGTCGCTGTGGAAGTCGGTCGCCGCTTCAACAAGGAGGTTTTGACTCGGCACAAAAGATGAAGAACGCCTATTTGACTCGGATCCAGCAGCTGGAGCATGACAAGCAGCAGATCGATCAAAAGCGTCGCGAGCTGCTTCTCGTGAATGCCAAGGTTATCCAGGAGCAAAAGCAGCTCCACGTCAAAAACATGAGCCTAGTGAATGAGGTACATGATCTCCAGGAGTCCGTGAATCACTGGCGATTGCACGAAGAGAGGCGCAAGAAAAAAAAGGAGGAACCATCAGATCTGCATCTGGAAGACGAAACATCTTCATCCCACGTTGAGAGAGCTCCGGCGTCGGCAGGAAAAAACTCGCCCTCAAATATGCCCGAAGCAGAGCTACAGCATGAAGAAGAAAACACCAAGTCCAGCCAGGAACAGATTGAGAGCAAGGCACAATATGAGTCGCGTCCTGTTGCTTCGACACTAACCCCGAAGGAAAGCGAATACTCCACTCCAGTAAATGGACCCCGCGCAAGCAGCAAACCCACTTCTAAATCAGCCGGACGAAGGAAGCGTAGATTGGAGGATGACTTCACGACTGCCGAAACTGTACAGCCATCCAGCAGTGCTGCATCTGCAGCAGCAGACCCTGACTTCGCAGACGCGAAAGATTTCTTCTCGTCCAGGTCTCCAGCTCCTCAAACTGCATTCAGCTCAGTTCCCTCTTCATGGGAACGGCGGTCAAAGCGCCGACTGTCACGATTCATCACGAGAAACATGTCCTCTAATGACGAGCAGTCAGAGAGGCCCTCGGAGTGCAAGCAACAATAAATGCTCCCCAAGCCAAATCAAACTGATCATGTACGTACGAAATTGTGTTGTATATTAGGAACATCCTAATGGTTGTTTCATGCGAGAAATGCAAAGCAGGCGATCGATCTCTCCACCTCATCACGAGAAGTAAGGCTTCTGTCCACACTCCATACCCCCTTCCTGGAGGTAGTGGCAATACTTGTCCTCGGTGCACGTCGTCGTCGCGTTGCCGCACTTCGTAGCTCCGCTAGCATCTTCCACCGCATCTGCCGGGGCGCAGACGCAGTTCTGGCCAGCTCCATGGAGACACAGACACTGGAACTCCCGCTTGCACACTGGCGGGTCGCCCATCTTGCGGTTCATCTCGGCCACGGGGTCGCAGTTGCCCCAGGGCGCCACGGCCGTCTCCTCGATCTCGAACGGGTTGTCCTGCATGTTACTCGGGTCGTAGGCCAGACACGAGGGCGCCGTGGCGAACATCTCCTGGCCGGGCTCCATCCTGCACACGAAGTCCTTGTTGGCGCACATGGGCATGGTCATGTCCGGATAGTCGCACTCGTCGCCGTCCGCCACCACGTGGGCGTAGTACTTGACGTTGGGCTGGGCCACGGGCGGCTGCGAGTCGGTCACAGCCAGGTGGATCTTGCCCTTGAGCGGCTCGGCGAGCACCAGCGCGGCCGCAGCACTCGAAGCGATGGCAACGAGACGCAACAGCTGCATATTGACACTGAAACTGAGCTTTTGAGAAGTGCCTCTTATGTCGAAAAGCTCTATAACAGTGACAAGTACGGTTAGAGAGCAGTTTGCTTTCACTGGATTGTGGAATCGTGCTGCACTTGAATAAAGTATGGATGACAGTACAACAGCAAACGGGCAGGACTCAATGGCGAAGCGAACACCAAGATAAGATCCGATGCTCTTGTTTACTGGTTAGGAGCTCAGCTAATAGAGCCATAGGAATGCACAGATCTCTCTCATTTACGAGATCCTTGCAGCTGAACGTACACATAGGGAGAGGAAGTGGATCAAGGCCACAGACTTGAGCGGCGCTTTTAAGCGCTCGAGGCGTCGGATCCGTCGTCGCCATCCACGCAGATGCCGAAGTTGTCGTAGTCCTCGCACGTGAGTCCCTCGTCGCAGGCGCCGTCGGTCGTGCAGTCGCTGTAGAGCGCCGTGCTGTTGGGCAGGTAGGGCGCCGTGGCGCACTCCTGGGTGCTGCCCTTGGTGCGGCAGTACTTGCCCTCGTCGCAGGCGTTGGTCTCGCCGCTGGACGTGGTGCAGGTGGCGGCATTGGCGCGGCCCGTGCGCCAGGCGTCGGGCGGCATGCAGTAGCAGTCGACGTTGGCGTAGTCGTTGCAGAGGCACGTGAAGTCGAAGAGGCACTTGGAGGGCAGCGACGCGTTGTTGAAGCTGCACTGCGCCCAGGGCATGGTCGTGCTGCTGTCCACCGCGTCGAGGAACGAGTCGTCGCGCTCCAGGCACTTCTGCGTGCCCGAGCCGTCATCCTGGCACGCGAACGACGCGCTCTCGCACAGCAGCACGTCGCCGCCGTTGGGGCACTCGGCGTTGTCGGCGATGACCGTCACCTCGCGGAACTTCATGTGGTGGTGGTGGTGCACCTTGAGGTTGGCGCCCAGGGCGGGCGACGCCAGCAGCGCCAGGGCGACGAGGAGCGAAGTCGGCTGCATGGTGAGCTTGAAGGATCTTCTTGGGACTTGGACGCTGGCTGCGGGATTGAGAAGTGACCGATCGACCCGGTGTGCTTGTGCTTGGCTCGTGAGCAGCGAGATAAATCAGAATCTTGTGGACGCTGCGTCCGGAAGCAAATGCCGCGGATCGGGTGATGGTAACCTTAGTGTAGCAAATCCATGAGGGACACACGTTCGGACACAAGACTGGATACAGCTGCGCCACCGGCACACCCAAAAGATCTGCCAAACAGTCGCAAGTTGCAGCCTGCAACACGGTACGAAAAGTTGGGTAAAGTTTTGCTCCATACCTAGGCGCATTGCCTGTGTCAGGTTACGTGAGGTTTGCTCATACCACACCGCTATACAAATACCACCATCTTTCGATTTCGATGCCTTCGCAGTTTTTTCTTATATTTAATAGGCTCACTTGACCCACTCAAACCGAAAGGAGAAGTCAACACCTGGATACATTTAGATATCGTTCGGTCAGCCATCAACGAGAGTTTTGAATGCACAAGAGCAGATGTATACGAACTTACCGAAATGTGAAACACGGAGGGTCAATGTGAAAAATATCCATTGCATCAAAGTAGCCAGAATGAAAGATAACTGTGTCTCGAGCACGAACGCCAACTGGTAGAGTGCATTGAGACCGCAATTGCGCTTCGTAACGATCACCAAAAGCACCAACGATACGAATTCAAGCAGCGCGTACAGGAAAATCGTTGAAACAATGCCGTCAACATTCTCGTGTGTAATACCCGCCATTTCAATGTGGTATTGGGCACTGGGTAAGTGCACCATTGCCACGACAAAGCTAGCGTAGAACAGCGGTATGAAAACTTCCACATACTCGGTCAACACGAGACACTCCGACGTGAACAGTACTTCCAGCGTATCCTGGAGAATACTCGAAGAGGCAACGCCCTGCTGGACCGGTGAAGCTTTTCTCAACTGTTTTGCATCGCTTGCGCTCTTCCCCTTGGTGGCTTTACCTTTAAGAGGAAGATACTGGATAGCGACCATATTGCGCAAACTTGTTGCAGCAGGAACAGAAGTTGATGGTGTTGTTCTCGGTGACACGTGGGCCTTACTTAAGGAACCCTGATGCACGTATGAACTAGGGTCAGGAGTTCTCACAAATTCACCTTCGAGTGTTGTAAGCAGGGTTCTGCTTTCGAGAGAAAGGCGATGAAAGATACACGAGCCCAGGCGAATATTCGAGTTCATGTGTGATCCAAGAGTTTCTGGGCTAGAGCAGAGCGACCTAGCTGTCGTCAGCAAACTGCCTTGATCTGTAGCTTTGCCGTTGATTATCAAGTTGCTTTTAGACACGCTGTAATTCTCTGCATTCGACCGTGTAGCTCGCGCAGTTCAATCAACGTATCCACAACGTCGAAGATCATTACCGCGGCTAAGGTTGCCGACGATAAGCTTGGCATGAATGTTGCGAAGTAAAACGCGTCGAAAAACTCCACCGTAAAGACGACTTGCGCAGGAACCATATCTTCTCGATGGGAAGCCAAAGATGCAAAAACGGCTTTCATGGCGAACTTGAAGAGTGGAAGCGCCAGCAGCACTGGCAGCTCGTAGGGAGTGTGGGCTACTTTGTTGAAAACCACCTGATAGACGGGGTAGATAAACACGTTGTCCCTTGTAGTGATGATATATTACCGATTCGACTGAGCTGTGCTCATTGTGCTGCAATACACCAAAAGGCTCGTGCTCCCACAACCAAGCGTAAATACCCCACGAGCGCGGATGTTGTGATCATTGAGAGAGACTGAAAGTAAAAGGGAACTGGAAATGCCCAAATATCTGCTACCATCACACCCGAACCGGTGATAGTAGACCCCACGCAAATGCAGTACACCTCTTAGAGAGTGGCGGGATATCAAGCCAGAATCCAATTTGTATCGCGCAGGCGTTAGCTACAACAGTTCCAACGAAGACCGAGCGAGCCCAAAAGCCATAATTGTTTTTCCAGCCCTCCGCGGGATCCTGCAGAGGGACGCTTTCTTGACCGAGCACAAGAGCGAAGACAATAAGCGGCACTCCGACCGTCACCAAGAGAACGCGAAACACCGAAGTGCGTTTGGTGTATTCTTCAAGTGTCAGCATGCGCTCGATGGAGTACTTGCCCCCACAGTGAGCAAGTTGTTTCTTCTGTAATCGATGGAGAAACTTGGAGCTCCACGCCTTCAAGAAGCTTGGCGACATGCTGTCGACCACCCACCACCTTCCAAAGCGACGAGAGTTACGGTGTTCCAGTAGACAAAGTGAGACGGACCTTTGTACCTATTTTGGTGAAGTCTTGACCATAATAATATCCTCCGATCATCTCTAAATAGTACCTTTTACTTCAGGTACCATTTAGCCCCGCGTTTGGCCTCGAATTTAAAGGAAAAATCGCAACCTAATCAAATAGGACGTCGGGGTTAGTTCATAGAATTGTAACGCAAGCACCATTTGAACTTACCGAAGTGCTCCACACGGTATGACAAGGTCATCAAAATCCACAACATTAACGTCGACTGCACAAACAAGGTTTGCGTCTCCAACACGAACGCCAATTGGTACAGCGCGCTAACGCCACAGGTCGTCTTCTTGATCAATGCGAACACGATGAAGGAAGAAAATTCCATCAGTGCGTACGCAAAAATACTGGAAGTGATTTCTGTGACGTTGGCTCGCGTAACACCATTCAGATCCGAATGGTACTCCGCACCCGGAGTGTGAGCCACCGCAAACACAAATATGCCGTAGATAAGCGGGACGATAGCCTCCATATACTCTGAGAGGACGAGACACTCGGAGGTGAAAAACACTTCCAAAGATTTCTCCAAGATAACGGAAGTGTTTTCCACTCTTTGGATATTTTTCTTGTTGTTGGATTCAGGGATGTCGTGCTTTGTTGGGGAGGTTAGTGGAGGCGCAGTTAGAGGGAGCGGCTCCACGGTGACTCGTTTTCGAAAAAGCGACTTGCACCAATTTTTGGTTGAAATACTGCGTACTGGCGTGGGCTCACTGACTGTAGCTGAAAACCTTTTTAAATTGTGCTGGTGCGAACTGATGCACGATCCAGTGCACGAACTGGATTCAATTCTACGAAGCAGCAGCCTATTCTCCTGCGATAGTTGGTGATAAATGCACGAGCGAATCTTGATATCACTGTGTGTTCGAATCCGGAGGGTTTTTGGAGTGTTGCAAAGCACACGGATAGCGTCGAGAAGGTTGTCATTTTCGCCGAGTGAGTCTGCCTGTTGACGGAGTTGAGCCAGTATTTTTTGCGTGTTCTGGCGCAGCTCGAACATCTCACTTGCCGTCTGGACAAAATCCACAGCCATCACTGCTACCAGCGCCTTTAGAGCTGTGGACGGGATGAATGTAGCGAAGTAGTACGAGTCGAAGAAATCCACAGTAAAAACAACTTGTGCGGGCGTCATATCTTCTTTGTGCGATGCGGCGAACGCGAATACCACCTTCAGTACGAGTCTGATGACAGGAAGCACGAGCAGTACGGGCAACTCATAATTAGTCTGATTTGCCTGATTATACAGCAGCTCGTACGCAGGGTACGCGATGTACATGATCGCTTGCACTGATCCGACCTTGTTCAGCCGCCGAAGTTGCTCGCGGCGAGACGCAATCTGTTGAAAAGCCTCAGCTCCCATCACAATGCGTGCGGCCACTGCAACCAGCAATGTCACCAGAAGACAGAGCGTGAACATGAAAAACGGGATGGGAAATATCCACAAGATTGAAGTCACAATTCCAACAGCAACGTAGCCGACCCCCATGAATGCACAGTAGGCCACCACTTGCTTCAATGTGAATGCAGGGACATTAAGCCAAAACCCGACTTGAATTGCGGCCGCATTCCCCACTCCAACGCCAAGTAGCCCCACGCGAATCCAGAAGCCATAATTCGCTTTCCAACCGTCCGCTGGGTCTTGTAGAGGGACCATTTCTTGAGATAACAGTAGAAAGGTAACAAGAACCGGAGCGCCGAGAGTCACCAGTAATACACGGACTATCGATGTATTTCGAGTGTATTCTTTGAGCGCCAGCATTCGCTCGATCGAGTATTTGCCACCGTAATGAACAAGTTGGATGGAGTACCACGCATCGACGAGTCTTGTGCATTGGCGTATCAGGAATCGACGAAATTCAGTTGATTTCGATGAGGGTAGAGAGGATGGAGATGGTGTTACGGGAGGTCTTTCCTGTGTTGACTCAATTGATGCGAACATCGGCTTGAACTGCTCTGGTGAATGTGGTCAATGCTGCCCACTTCGAAGTATATTGATAGCTCGAGCGAAAAAGCTCATTGTGAGAAATCTAATTAAGGCGAACGATCTGTTGCTGAGCGAAACCAACCAAGTTGCGCATCGTGACAAACCATCTTACCACGCTTACAGTACCTAATAGAAGTAGTGAAGAACCCTTTCAGATCTTTTAAACCACCACCAACGGTGACGCCCCAGCGCAACGCGCAACATACACGCCAGTAGCTGGTTCTTGGGAAGACCGGAGTAGCCACCAATACAGCATCATAAATGGTGTTCAAGCCACTCGAACCGAAACGAAAAATCGCAACCTTGTCAAACAGCTTACTGCCCTTAGTGTTTGCTGAAAGCAGGATTATGGAAGAATTTTTCAAGAGCTGAACGTACCGGAATGGACCACGCGGTATGTCAAGATCATCAGCATCCACATCATTAGCTTCGATTGTACGAACAGCGTCTGGGTCTCCAATACAAAAGCCAGTTGATACAGCGCACTAATTCCACAGCTTCTCCTCTTGATCAGTGCAAGGACGATGAAAGACCCAAGCTCCATCAAAGCGTACAGGAAAACCCTTGAAACGACCCCCGCGACTTCATCATGAGCGATCTCGACCAAATCCGTGTGGTATTGCGACCAGGGAAAGTTTGTCACGGCAAGCACAAAAATCCCGTAGATCCCAGGGACGACGACCTCCATATACTCGGATAGAATAAGGCACTCAGACGTGAAAAGCACTTCCAGAGCTTCTTCCAGCACAGCCGAGGTTTGCTACGAATGCAACTGAAGATATAGTTCTGAAGTTTTGCTGGAATGAATTGATAGCTGACCCAGCGCTCGAGAATCTCTCAAATATCGTTAAGAGCAGTCTACCTTCCTCGGATAATTGATGGTATATACATGAACGCACTTGGATACGGTTCTCCACTTGCACGTAAGTGGCCTGCATCGTGCTGCAGAGGGCTCTAACGGCGACAAGAAGACTGCCATAGTCATTCGTCGCTACAACACCCAATCGATGAAGTCGGTGAGATATCTTTTGAGTTCGCTGGTGTAACTCGAACATCTCCGCCGCTGTCTGGATTAAATCCACCGCCATCACCGCTGCGAGTGTCAACAAAGACACGGAATGAATAAACGTAGCAAAGTAAAACGAGTCGAAGAAATCGACGATGAACACAACTTGAGCTGGGATCATGTCCTCCTTCTTGGCAGCGGCGGATGCAAAAATCAACTTCAACGCTAGACGAATAACAGGGCACTGGAAGTTCATAATTTGTCCCGCTAACCTTAGTGAAAAGCACTTGGTAGACCGGATACACGAAGAACATCAGGCTCTGCACAGTTCCGACCCTTTTCAATTGGTGACGCTGTTCGCGTCGTGAGAGGATTGCCTGGAAGGCGTTAGGACCAACCACAAGTCGGACGTACAGCATTATAACGAACCAAGTCACCGGGCAGAGCGCGGACATGAAAAATGGGATTGGAAACACCCCAGTACTTTGCGATCACCATCCCACCAGCAACGTAGCCGGCTGCCATCAACATGCAGTAAACCACAATTTTCCTTAACGAAAGTGGAGGAACGTCCAGCCAAAACGCGATTTGAATCACCGCCGCATTCCCAACGCCAACTCCAACCAGCCCCACTCGAAACCAAAAGCCGTAGTTTGCCTTCCAACCAGCGTCAGGAGCTTGAAGAGGAGCGCTCTCTTAACAGAGCACGAGGCCGATGGCAAGAAGGGGATCACCGAGAGTCACGACCAATACTCTTCTTAAAGATGTTGTACGCACGTATTCTTCCAGTGCCAGCATGCGCTCGATTGAGTACTTCCCGCTGTAATGAGCAAGCTGGACGGAATACTTCGCATCGATAAATCTTGTCGCCTGACGTATAAGGAAACTTCGGAAGCGTGTCAATAGGGTCGGCGGTAGAGCTGGTATCGAGGCCGTGGACATGGACTCTGTCGACTCAAACGACGCAAGCATGATCGTGGTGGGATTGGAGAGAAAAAAAATGATTGATTACTCGGCGACTTTTTGGTTGGGGTTGGTGTGACGCCCTCCCCCGGAACGCGTGACCAGCATGATGCTAGCTACGCGCTTCCGGCAGGTGCTCTCGGGCATCTGTACGTCCCAAGCGGGTCTTTCCTTCGCCCCCAAGCCGACAGCACTAGCGACAACTACACCTCCCACCCTCTTATCGCGCTCTCCTCGCCGCGCGCATCAAACTAACCGTTTTAGGATAGGTTCGTTTAATGTCCAGTCGTTAGGTTCGACCCGCAAGTAGCAGGACACGCTCCCCCAGGACCTCCGGCGCTACCGCATCGACGTTCTCGGCATCCAAGAAACACGCATCTGCACCCTCGACAAGAAACGTATCGGAGACTACACGCTACTCACACTACCAGCCGTACAGGAGCGCCTCGGGATCGGCTTTGCCATCTCCCCCCGCGTCCGCCCCTACTTACACAGCTATTGGGCACACTGCGATCGAATCGGCGTCGTTCAGCTCTTACTCCCCCACGCAGGCCCCGTGAACATCGTCACGGCGTATGCTCCCCACAGCGGTCGGCCTCTCGCCGAAGTAGATCGATTCTACGCTGATCTCAGCGACACACGTGACCAACTACCAAGGTGCAACATCGCGTTCGTGACCGGCGACTTCAACGCCAAGCTCGGACAACAGATCAACGGAGAGGCATTCATGGGACCACATGCACGAGACATACGCAACCGAAACGGCCACGCATTAGCTGACTTCTGTTCTACTCACCTTCTCTTTGCCACTAACACTGGTTTTCAAAAGCGAGCCCGCCACATAACAACATGGAGTCAGCGCCGGACGAATCACTGTATTTACAACCAGATCGACTATATCCTATGCCCTCAGAACTGCCGACGGCTCTGCATGGCCGCACGATCCTGGGGTGGAACGTTGACGGCGTCGGACCACAAGATCGTCACCGCCGACTTCATCCTGAACGCGGCCACTCACCGTCTCCGCTACAGCGCGGTAAAAAAAGCCAGATCCAGCACTCAAGTTAGCACGCGATCATCTCATCTACGACGACACAGCACGAGACGACTACACGAACGCGCTCCAGGCAGCGCTTTCACAGCCAACAGCACAAGGCAGCACCGTTCTCCAGCGCTGGACAGACACGCTCGATCGAATCCGAGAAGCAGCCGAGGGGATTATAGGATTCGCAGGTCCTAACCGCCGGCACGTACGACATCACGACGATGAACTTCAGCTGCTCTCTGAGGCCCAGCGAGCGCTTCAGCTTCGAATCTACAACGACTGCGCCGCTAACACGATCGAGCTCCGAGCATCCCGCAACAAGATCCTCCATCAAATCCGAGCGCGATGCCGAGCCATCGCATCTCGCAAACTGGACGAGCGGATTACACGCATCGAAAATCTGAGCGACTCGGCACGAATGTATGCAGCAGTTCGAGACATTAGCCCCCATCGACCCCAACCGCTGCTACTCCACGACCAAGAAGGTAAGTATATCCTGCGGCAACAAACTACTAACAAGGTGATCACAGATCACTTCCGAACGCTGTTTTATGACCCGGGGCGGCCCCATCCTGTTCCGGATCCTGAACCGCGATCTCTAACCCGTCCTGTTACAGCAACAGAAGTCGAAGCAGCCTTTCGGCGCCTCAACAACGGACGCGCCGCTGGGCCGGATGAGCTCCCAGCAGAACTTCTTAAGTACGGGGCTTCAGTCCTCGCGCCTCTCTTCGCAGACCTCGTCAACGGCAGCTTCGAGCAAGGCACCCCCCTCGCACTCGGTGAAGGAACACTCGTGTGCCTGCCCAAGCCCAACAAGCCCCGAGGTGTATGTTCCAGTCTCCGCCCCATCGTGCTGTTAAGCAGCATTCGCAAGGCCTTATCTCTCGTCGTACTCGCACGGATATCCGCTGCCGTGGACACATTCCTGTCCCCCAATCCAAGCGGATTCCGCAAACACAGAAGCACTGCTGACGCCGTGTGGGCGCACAAATGGCTCTGTGCCCGCGTGCAACGCTATCGTGAAACCATACATGTCCTCGGCATCGACCTCTCGCGCGCGTTCGACACAATCGACCGCGTAAAGCTTGTAGAAGTACTCCAGACAGTCTTACACGACGACGAGGTCCGATTGATCAAGGTTTTGCTCGCCGACACCAAGCTCTCTCTACGCTCCGGGTCCAAGGCACAACACAGCTTCGATAGCAACATCGGAACGCCGCAGGGCGATGCGCTTTCACCGGTCCTGTTCGTCATCTACCTGGAAGATGCGTTACGCGACCTCGCATCCCACCTCGGAGTGAATCGGACCCTACTCGACCAAATGATCGTCTATGCTGATGATGCAGACTTTGTCTGCCGTGATACCGAGCTGGTCCAGCGCATCCAAGCCGAAGCACCAGCAGTGTTCGCACGCTGGTACCTCCAGATGAATGCAACTAAGACAGAACTAACCATGATTCAGCGATGTACAGGCTCGTCGGGCTACTCCCAACACGCTCGGGCGACAGAAGAGGCGTGGCGCTCCACACAGAAGCTTGGCAGTCTACTCGGCGATTCAGAAGATCTGACACGACGCAAAATACTCGCAGCAGGCGCGCTACGTCGGCTCTGGACAATATGGATCCGGCCCCAGTACGTCAGTGACGCCACCAGAGTCCGGCTGTATAACTGCTATGTGCTTCCGGTTCTGCTGTACAACAGCTAAACGTGGGCACTGACGCCGTCCGAGCAGAGCGGACTCGAAAGCTTCCACCGCCGACAACTACGTAGCGTACTAAACATTCGCTTCCCGTAAGCTTGTTGAGTTGGCTCCGCGTGGCACGGGGTCGATCCAGGAGTGCTCGCACGCGTCGACGGGCTTTGTCGATCTTTGCAGCTGGAATAGAGAGCGTGCGGCGACTGAGGTCCCATTCTAGTCCCAGCGCTTTGCCTTGACGAAACCAGCCAGTGAATTTGTCTTCGTTGCGCGCTGAAGGACCAAGTACTTGAACCATAGATGTCCGAGGCGCTCATTCTGCCTCCGCTAGGCGGGTGCCGACATCGGGCTCCACACAATTGTGGTCATCGCACCAAACCTTTCCGTCGAAGGCGGCAGTTGCATGTGCAGGCCGGCCTGGCCAAGAGGGTCGGGACGAAGAATACAAATGATTGATCGCTCCTCCCGCGATCGCGTATGAAGCGGGCGAGTTGCGCCAACCAAAAGGACATCACAAATCCACAACGAGAACGCCCAACTCAGGAATTGTGCCCGCAAATTTGCAGCAGTGGTCCGCGTGGAAAGGGATATGACGAAACGCACCACTGACATCGCCAGACATCATGCGAGCCAGGCCAGGAAAGTTGCGCTCCACCTCTTCAATGCGAGGTGCGATAGCCCGAGCACTGTCGTAGCGAATATCGATGTCGTCTTGCAGGACAGTGAAGTCGTTTATCGATCGCCCAGGGGGGAACGAAAGATCATGAATCACGCGCGCGTCCTCCGTCAGGGGCTTGTCGTCCTTTGGCACAGCACCAAAGGGGCTTATGGCAAGTTGAGCTCGTAAGGTAAGTTGCGAAGTGAGATTGAGAGTTATAGTTCATCCTGACAAACATCGTTCCTACCAGCGACCTCCTTGGGGCAGCAACTCCTGGGCTACTGCTCCTCCAATAGCTGCTGCTGCTGCTTGCCGGCAGCCAGTCCTCGGTGCTGCCGCGTGCCGCTCGTCCACTGCCGCTGTCGAGTGCTGCTCTGCTGCCTCCAATGCACGCGCCTCGCTTGGTCATTCGCTGGGCTTCTGCTCCAGGAGCTCAGCGTCGAGATTGGCATCGGCACCGGTGCCTGGATAGGCACCGGGATCGGATCCTGCCAGCGCGCAGTGTCGTCTGGTGATGGCGCTCTGACCGCGTCCAACTGGGCTGCAGAAGACGCCATCCAGGCGTTCGAGTAGATCGACGTCCAGGACGAGGTAGCGATCCTCGTCTTGACCCTTCCGGATGTTCTTCACCAAGGCATTAAGCGCCCTGCGAGCCGAGCCGTGGTTTGGTGGAGGCGTCTGTTGCGAGGGAGGGATCTCTTCCCACTCTGGAATGACGCCATGCCGGACAATAGCTGCCCATTGGGCGGCAAATCGATAGGACTTCCACGCAGGAACGTTGGTTGGCACGTGTAACGCCTTGTTGGGTCCGGGGTCGGAGGACGCAAGAGGCGAACAAATTCAGCAAGACTCGTGCCTGACCGTCGCAAATACTCACTGTAGGCTGCTTGTTTGTTCTGGTCGAGCTGATAGCGCGGTGGCCCCGCGGCAGCAGACGAACAAGTAGTGGGACAAGAAGCTGGGGCCGAGATACCGTAGTCGGCTAAAGCAGCGCGGAGTGCGCGTGCTCCAGCTGCCTTACGTAGGCGAATTTGGCTGAGTCTAGCGTCAATCCCGTAGCGCTGAGCGAGTGAGCTCGTGTGCAAGAAACCCGTAGCGTCGTCCGTTGACTGTTCCAGCCGCGACGGCCTCCACATCGCCGACGGTGACGCCCAACACTGCGCCGACCGTGGTGACTCTGACTGCGCCGAGAGTGGCGTCTTCAGCTGCGCCGACAGTGGCGACTTTGACTGCGCCGACGGAGCCATCTTTGATTGCACAGACAGGAGCGCATGTGACTGCACCGAAGGCGGAGGCGTACGCGAGTCCGTGGAGTGCAGCGCCTCCATCTGCACCGAAATAGGCGCCGGTACTACCGTTGACGATGGCGAACGAGAGTGCAGCAGCTGCGATGTGCGAGTGACTACACCGGCACCAGAATTCTTGGTAGAGCACTTTACACCGGCTCGATGAATCACAGTATCGTGGGGGGGGTAAGTACCCAGCCCGCACACCTCGCCCCCAAGAACTCCCTGCCCGAGCACCTTCACAGGTCTTTGAACTCCGGTTTAAGGCCGCCGTACTTGGCCTCAATGAACTCTTTCACAACTGCAGGGAGTTGCTGCGGACGGAAGTGGCCCCGGTAATTGAATGTGCACTGTAAACCACGCCCACGACAGCTCTCGACGGCCAAGAACCTCATGCACAGCCTTTTCCCATTCTGACTGGGTAGAGCGGCCAATACGTTCTCTGGAACGTGCTTGCCCTTGGCCGAGGACGGTGGCTCGCTTTGTTCTTGGAGATGCCGTGAGAGCCCCCGTGTGACTGCTCGAGCCGCGCAAGCTGTCGTTCGTAGATGATGTTCTGCACTTACACGTAAGACTCGTGGGCCACATTGAACTCGCTCTGGATGGCTTCGCAACTCTCTGTGGACCCCAAGACCACGCGCGTTCGGATTTTCTCCAGGCGTTCATCGATCCAGAACACTAGGTCAGCTAGCGCTTCTTTGTCGACGATAGCGCGGAGCGTCTTCTGGCGGAGGAGAAACTTTCGTGCCGCTGTGATCACCGCCCTGACAAACGACTGATAAACCTCTTCGACAAGAAGAGCCAGAACATCCAACGCGGCCACTATATCATCCATGTGATCAGCTTCAGGTGGAGAAGGAAGACTGTTGCTGCTGGAGAAGTCGCACATATCGTAATGTCTTAACCGTTGACGTCGAGAACTCACATCCAGCCGCCCGAAATGCAGAATCGATAATCCTCGTGTTCCAAATTCCCACGCGTAGAATCCCTTCAGAACAGCCGGATGAGGGAGGAACGCCAGCAGCTCGATTTGGGCATGAAGTTGCTCCACAAACAGTTGAGCGTTCATATAGGCGTACGTACCGTTCACAATAGCGTAGTGTACCGTATTATGTAGCCGTGACGCCCGAAATTGACCCTTGCCGACGCTGTCGGATGCTCCATTGTCCAGTAGCGGCTGGTGCGTTGACATTGGAAGCCTCTCCGACCCAATTGTCAGCCGAGGACGTGCCCGCGCACGGACACCGAAATCCATGAGATCGTTTTCACGTGCTCGCTTGGCAGTTTCTCGTGCTGCAGAAGTAACATCCGCCCGTGGTACATCGCTGGCGCTGGAGTCGCTGTCATCATCAGATTCTTCGAGTAGGCTAGGCTCCCCAGTGTTCCCTGCTGCCCGCTGCCTGCGGTTGCCCACGCTGGTTGCCGCTGGCCGCTGCTCGTGACCACTCAAGCGGGTTGCTGCTGCCCGCTGCCGGCACCTCCGTGGTCGCGTCAGCCGGCGAAGTCGTCGCCGACAGCGCGTCCGGTGTAATGGGCTCATCGAAAATTGATTGGCCAAGCTTGATTGAGGAAGGGACCCTACGCCGTCCGCCATGGTAGAATGTGAAGTCCAACACATATTTAGCCGATACTTGAGACACCTGCATGCTGGAAATGTCGAACAATGGAACGACCCCTGACTCGTCCACATTCTCAATCTCGAGCTTGTTGCAGATTGTGGTGACCGCGCGCACAGCCGAACGTCCTCGCCCGTGGAACAACTTGTAAGCTACCTCGTGAATAGAGCGCATCTCGGCTGGCATCACGGAGAGAGTTGGCTTCCCTTCGCACAACCTCATCGCTTAGGTCTCCGCAGCAGGTGAATTCGAAGCTACCGGCAGAGGCAGTGATGTGGAGAACACATCGGTCCGGGTCCACACTCCATCGGAACCCCGTTACTACCCCGTACGTCCACCGCTCTGCGCTTCCGTCCCATCGATGCGCCACGCAGACACAGCTCCCAACGTAGCTCCCAACGCCGCTTAACGCCACTTGCTCGGACACTTCACGGTGACGAACCGCCGAACCAGGCAGCTCTGCTGCAAACTCGGCGAGGTCGATCCAACGTCCACTCGCTAGGCGCCGCACGTGCACTGTTGCGTCTCCGTCAGGCGAGCTATCGCTAGCTCCGTAGCAGAACCCAGAGGTGGAGAGAACCTCTGGCTTGAGATAGAAGTAGCGCGTAGTTGACATCCGAAGATCCGAGGGTTTCTAGACTGAGGGTCAAGGTTATTAGCTTGGGACTAAATCTAAGAATGAGCAGGCCTGAAGGCCCCCTCCTCTACCTGTCGCCTAGTCGTTGTCGACACGAACTGACGCTCCTCTTGTACGGGTAAATCTTGTCTCGAAGATCCGGAAAAACAGATTCCCGTCGCCTGCGTCGCCGAGTAATGTAATGAATGTAATGTATTACGTTTTCGCGTTCCCACACTATGCTGTCGCTAGGCTCAACTTTGCTAGTCGACGGCATAAAATGGTGTCGGGTCCTTCTTCGCCGGCAGTGCGGCGACAATTGCCCTCTCGAGGGCTTTCCATTTAGGTTTCTCTTGTGCAAGCAGCCGAAGTTGGTCCAGGTCACGGCGGGTCTCGAGGCGATAGGCGTATCCGCTCGAGATAAGGTCCGCATCGAGCACAGTCGGTAGTGTCGTGCGTGGGCGTCCACGCCAGGTTCCCTTGGACGACGAGTCGAAGTAGGCGGCCATCTGGGTATACACTGGGATCTCGGGCCGGCGCAGGATGTGGCCGAACAGACATCATCGTGCTACTGTGATTCTGTGGCGGAGCGGGCGTATTATTACAAACCAAGCTCAAAACACGATCCGATCACTGCTTACGAAGTATTCTTTCAAAGATGCTGACCAGTACATCGATCACTTCATCGTGTGTGACTTTGAGGCCATTCTTAAGCCTACTGCGACTCAACACGGGGAGAATACTGTCTTCACGAACGAGCACATTCCGTTGTCTATATCAGTAGCTGATAGTTTAACCGAGGAGGTGCGTTGCTTTGTGAATGATGATCCGAAGATGCTACTTGTGGATATGTTCAAATACATCGGTGATGTATCTGTAAAGATCCAGCGGTTCAATGTCAATAAGTACCGGTCGCTTCTACAGAAAATCATCAACGCTCATGGTCTGACCGGTATGGAAATTCCAGGAGTGAATCTTGGTAAGAGGTACAGCATGACTGACGTGATGAATTGGATTAAAGAAGGTAAGTATGGTAACTTCTTTGATTTCCATAATATTCTTGGTTTTGGAAAGCAAAGGTCTGATTACGGGAAACTGAAACAGCAGCTTGATCAGGTACCAGTATTTGGTTTCAATTCTGGCCGGTACGATATTAACTTGATTAAGAAGGATTTGTTTGCCGTTATCGGTACCGACAACATCAAACCTGTCATCAAGAACCCCAGCTACATGTGCATTGCTACATCGAACATGAAAATGCTTGATATTAGCAACTATGTACCTGCTGGTACCAGCTACGAAAAGTATCTCACAACATACCTCGGTGGCTGCAAATGTGATGACAAAATTAGATGTGTCTGTGGTCTTGGTAAAGGTCTTTTCCCTTACGAGTACGTCACTTCCTTCAATGTACTAAACCAGACCACATTACCACCTAAGTCAGCTTTTGACAGCAAGCTTCGTGGAACAAGCATCACCGATGATGACTGCGAACGAGTGAAGTTCGTATGGGAGTACTATGAGATGAAGTCCATCAAGGATCTACTGATCTGGTACAACAATCTCGATGTAGTCCCATTCATCAAGGCTATCAATGCTCAACGAGAACTCTTTAAGAGCTTCAATCTGGATATGTTTGCTGATGGAGTGTCGCTACCTGGTCTTTCGGAGAAGGTCATGTATCAGACCTGCTTCAATAATCTCCAATATCCGGATAAGAAACCTGCCTCAGCATTCCATTTCCAGCTAACCGTTTGGGTGGATACAAGAGTCAGGATGCTAAGGCAAAGCGACAATTTGGTATGACACTTCGGCATTTGAATACGTTGCTTCAAAAGCAAAAGTATCTATGTGGTCTATGCTACTGCCAGCTTACCGCTGATATTGCTTCAGCAGATCGTATCAATAATAAGCTGGGACACATCGATGGCAATATCTTGATCAGCTGTGTGAAGTGCAACACAGCTCGTAAGGATATGTCGCTTGGTGGATTTCGATATATGAAGTTGCTTGAGTTCAACTCGAACAGACTGGTGTATTCTATTGATCAAGAGGAGAAGGATATTTACGCTAAGATGAAGGCCAACATCGCTGGAGGTCCGTCTATTATCTTCAACCGCTACGCTAAGCGCAACGAGACGAAGATTCGCGGAGGTAAGGTCTGCAAGAAAATTATCGGATATGACGCGAACGCTCTATATCTGTGGGCACTTGGTAATGAGATGCCTTGCGGTCGATTGACAACCATTGATGCATATCCGGGTATCGTTGATGACATTATCAACGACAAAATCTTTGGTTTCCTCGAGTGTGATATGCGCGGCTTCTTTATCAAATGATTGCTTCTTAAGACGATAAAGTACGTTTGACCCAACCTCAAACTCCTTCTCAATTCTATCGGCCTCCACTTGGTTATGTGTGAGATCAGCATCCATTACTTTGCCTTTGGCCTGATTCGGAGTCATACCAATCGAACGATGAAACGTGCTGTTGTAGTTTTCGATTACATCGGCGATCAGCTTTTGCGTAATCCGCTTGGGAGACATTTTAGTTAGTCTCTGCTTTAGCGTCGGGTTGAAACGCTCAATTTTCCCCATAGTACCATGATCACCGGGTTCGTTGTTGTGATTTGAAGAATCCTTGAGCCTGCGAGTTTATGAACTCGCTACCATTATCACTTGTCAGGATATCAACTTTGTGGAGGCGAACAAACGCTTTAAGTGCTGCTAAAACGGTTGGCGCAGTCTTGTTTGACAAGAGCTTTGCGTAGCCCAACCTTGAGTTAATATTGATAGCTGTCAAAATTGGTCGTTTCTCCCAAAACGCAAGATCCATTTGCCATGAGTTGGGGTTATGTGAAGCAATTTTGAATCCATCGAATCGCTTCTTCTGCTCCTGAAATCGTTGAATATCAGCCTGACTGGAATACCAATCCTTCACGATTTTGAGAGTTATTTGAGGATCTATCTCCTTTGCCTTCTGATACAGAGCTTGAGCCCCGATATAACCGGTTTTTGGGTCATAGTAGAGTTTTGATAGTAGATCCGTCCGTAGCTCAGACATGATCCTATATGATAATAGACAAAAAATTACCCAAGTCGGTAGTTGCTTAGATATTAAGTGGCTCAGTCGTGATACCATCCTCTAACACTCGACGCTTGTCGTAGTAGTAATTAAGGGCCGTTTTGTTTTGCGTATAGGTTATGATAGACTTGGTTTCTTTCGAAAGTCGAAAACCTTTGTTGGTTCCTTGAAGTGTGATACGGTCCCTCACAACAGTCTCGAATCCGTCGGGGTTAAGTACATTTTCATTGCGACCACGCCCTTGCTGCGCCCCCTTAGCTGAAACCTTGACCTTGTACTCAGCGTCTGGTAGGTAGCAAATGTAGTTTTTACTCGATAGTGAGACCATAGCATCACCTGACCATTCGTCCTTGAACAAGCCAGGGGTACGACGATCAAACTTAGCCACCTTAGTATTGTAGTCGCGTGGAAACCAATCGTATTTATGCTCCATGAAGTGAGCGCGTAGTTCAGGCTTGATACAATCCTGGAAAGGATTCTCACAGCTAAATGCGATATAAGCCGAATCAGTGTCCATCTCCTGGTACTGAAAGTCAGAGCGCCTAAAGTAAAAATGTATACAGTCGTAGTAGAACTGAAGCATCCGTAGCTTGGCGAGCTGATAGATTGCAATAGACAAATGGATGGGGTTCTTGTTATTGAGTCGCCGTTTCTTCATGGTGATCTCACAGGCGTCATTAAGCTCCTCGAGACCATGGAACGTAAAATGTTCGATCTTGTTTTTAATAGCTTTGTCGTTCGACTCATACTTAACCTCTTTGTGTTTGCTCATGTCCATTCCAGATCGACCAAAAGCACTGTTGCCTACCAGCTTCATCATCTCAGCAATCATAGCCTTAGACTTATCAACATCGCCCTCGCGCCGGGCATTGGATACAGCCTCCATAAAGGGGGCAAAAGCCTTATGAGAGCTGGCTTTAATAAAGCAGTAAGTCTGAGTGATCTCCATGCCGTGAGAAAGATACCACTTAAGCAATGGTGTGTAAATAAGAATTTTTTCGCCAAAGTAGCTACCGATCAGCTTACGAGCTGGCTTTGCTCGGCTTTGCTTGCGCGACTCGTTGTAATCAAACATATGCTTGCCAATCACACTCTCGTCAGCACAATCGATTAGAATATTCTTAAAAATTGGGGTCATCTCACTGAAGTAGTCTTTTAGGTGTGGCGGGGTACGACGCCCCCTAGCTCAACGAGTGCTCTACCTCTAAAGCATGACAACAAACAGCTAATAAGTGATTTAAAATACGACCAAGCTGCAGCTTCAAAACCGAAATGGTGTTGTTTTGTAAATAATAATAATATTAAAAAGATTATACCAATGATTTTAAATATCATAAAATTTTTAATTAGCGATGGAGCAAAGCTGTCTATACAATCGTCGGAATCGATGGATACCGAGTTCAAATTCGTTCCAAGAATGGTCATACCCTCTACAAGGCGCCAAACGATCTCAAACTTGTTAAAGCAGAGACAACCGATGCTACTATTAGCCGAGGCGACATTCTTGAGGCTGAGAAAATCTTGGATCACAAGAAGATGCGTTCTGGGAAGTTCAAATATCTCATGAGGTGGCTTGGGAATGAGCCTGACTCCTGGGAGCAGCAAGACAATCTGCGCTTGATCAACAAAAACAGAAGATCATCGCTTGAAAAGAAGTATTGGGCGCAAAAAATGAGCCATAAATAGCTTTATAATAATTAAATGGAGATATCCTCCGTAAGCTTTTGACCCATATATTATTGTTTATATTTTTGTGATAATTTGAATTATCTGACTTTATGTATAGACACTGATCTCGAAATAATGTGCCCAAATTGTACCGAAAAGGAACGTGAGCATCTAAAGCTTCGACGCAAGCTCTGGATCATTCAAGAAGTGAGCCGAATCAAGAACGAGTTGCTTAATCTCGATGCAGCAGCTAATTTCCGTAAAACGGTAGTCAATCGAAAATATACACGAATTGGAAGCAATATTTGGTGTCCCTTTCCATTGTATCAGGGATCAATATCTCAATCTCCTCAATGAGCGAAATCGGATTTGCCATACATATCAACCATTCCGATATGATTCAGTTATGCCAAGCTACTGGTAGAAACGTAATTAAGAGACTCATTTTTTTATGATTCTCAACATATAGTATCGGAATGTTTCCAATTTTCTGATCCCTCGCTCAGAGAGAGCAAAAGCGACAGGAGCTGCTCGAACGAGCTGAGCGCCGAGTCCGTCAAGCAAAAGCTAAGCGCCTGATGTTTGAAGGAGCCTCGCGGGCTTCTGATATTTCCAACGGGATTACTACCCTCCCAAAGAAAACAACAGCAACAACTCAGACAGATTCATCCGAGTCAGCTGAGACCTTAAAAAAAACTTTGATATATGAAAACTCTCAAATAAACCCTGAGTTATCAACAACAGGAACCAATACTGACCAATTGGAAGTGAATGTTAAACATGTGATGGTTGATACTGGAATTAGCGTAAAGCCAGATACGAGTGATACAACAGCTACTGCTAAGCCTAGCATGAGTGATGCTGGGATCAGTGTTAAGCCTACAATCGCTAATGTAGGAATTGACAATAGCGTGAGGATGGAAGATATCGAGACCTCGACGAATACAGCAATTATGGATAGAGAAGATCAGGTCACATCAAGGAATTGGATTAAAGCATTCTTTAAATCCAATCCTAACTGGGCGTCAATTGGGATCAACCCTGTAAAGAGAGATGGTAGTGATGACGAAAAGCGAGTCATTCGCGAAAATGGTTCTATTCGCTCGGTTAAAACTGGTCGAAAATATCAAAAATATGACTCGTTTGATTGGGTTGCTACTGAATCAAAAATCCGAGATATTTTCAATAACGGTGAGAGCAATTCAATCGATGAAGTTGGCTCAATGCGCAGTGAAGACAAACCACTACGATCTGATAGAAATAGGAAAGATGACATTGAGGACCTTGATATCCCCATAAAAGACCCCAGGCTTGATTTGAAGTTTTTGGATAAATCAACTTCTACGAAGTTGGACGATGATGAAGCTAAGTACAAACTGACATGGTTTATCATTCAGAATAAAAACTTAATTTTAGTTAACAAACTAGAAAGACAAATAACCCCTGTTCTAAAGAACGGTAAAGAGTATCGTGGTGGATATCTATGGATCGACGACAAATTTAGAATTGACGTGTTTGGTGTAGATTCAAACAAGCATCACCCAGCTGTTCAAAAGGATGTTGATTGGATTGCTACGCTCGAACGGTTCTTGTCCATTACCAAGGAGAAAGGACTAAGTTTAGTGTCCAATACTGGAATGGCTAATGAGAAAAAAGTAAAACCATATGAATTAGCTGAAAATAACATCAATGAACGACCTGGTGTAAAGACCGGTAGAGAGGAATACATGGATAAAAATCTTCCTATTCCGGAAATCGAAGCTAAGACCATTCTCACCGAGTATTATCAGAAGCTTGCGAAAAATCAAGTAAAGATAGTCGTAAGATTGCGCCCAATTGTAGAGTCTAAGAAAGGCAAGAAAGTTCATCCAAGCTACTATCTAGGGGTACCATCTCTTACAAAACCATTAAATTTTAGAAATGGACAGCACAAGCAAGTTAAGGGAGACGCGATGTCTCATTTAATGAAAACTATTCGATGGATGGATACATTTGAATCTCTACTAACTGACCTTGAGGATTATGTGAAATATGTTGAAGAGTCAGAAGATCGTAATTTGGAAAAAATCCTCGATGATAACCTAAAATTACTTCGAGAAGCGACCTTTACCAACGTTTCTGATGTCAAAACACCTTTAGGCTACGACGATTCGGGCTATGACGAGCTTCAAAAGCTCCATGACGAAGCAGAAGCAGCATTTCAAAGCTATGGTGAAGCTTATAGTCAGTTGGAGAAGAATCTTAGTGATTTCAATAAAACTAACTCAGAAGCTGATAAGCAGGCGGTACGAGCATCGCGATCCGCTGTTAAAGCTACCAAGGCAGCCTACTCGATTAAGGTTCGTGCTTATAACGATAAGCTCCGGGAACTCGAAGAAGTTAATCAAATGAGTTATAACGATAATCCTTTATCAGCATCTGTGAGAGC